GTCATGCCTCTACTTTTCCTTCCCTTTTCCCCCCTTCTTTTTTTTTTTTGTTTTTTTGGTTCGTTTATCCCACATCGATTATGGTGGGAGTTGTCCGTTTACTTTCGCTTCAATAGCTGTATGACCATAAACCCACATCACGTTTCTCCCGGGTAGCGTACTCCTCGAGTGTCGGATCAAGGAGACTAGAGCGTTACAAGCAGCATAATTGTCCACAATAAATAAAAAAACGGCCTTTCTGGTCTGGCGCCATATATGATGTCTTTATACATGGGCGAGCTTCGGATAAGCTCTACTAGACGAATGGGTCTAGTTCACTGGTGGCCTCGCCCAGCTATTCATACACTGACTGCCCCTGGATTCTCGCAAGATGAGCCCAAAGATCATCCCAACGGTCCGGCAATATGTCCCATTGCTCTTAAGCATTGGGTTCCCGGAGTTCCGGTATCGATACAGACAGATAGATAGATCATCCTCAGCCGTCAACCGGGCCGCACACTCGAAACGCCATCCACATGCTGAAGCAGTCGTTTTGGGTCTGGTTTTCTTCTCTGGTATCTCCTCCATACTAGTACAACTTTTTTTTTTTTTTCTTTGTAAAAAGAAATCGCGAAATTCAAGCCTTTTCAGGTGTCGGAGGTGTAGAAGGTTCGGTCATCGATTTCGCGGCAGTCTTTGGGTTCAAGAATCCGTTGGGGCCGTATTTCGGCTCCAGAATACCAATCTGCATGGAATAGATTGGATTCGCATCGCGTTAGAAAATGCCAGTTTGTCTTGCACACTCATGCGGCAAAGCGTCCACGTCACACAAAAAAAGTAGACGGGCCCAAGGACCGGGCAAGGAAAACGCACCATTGACAACAGACGCCAAACGGTATCGCTGGGCTGCGCGCCGACGCCGATCCAGTACCTCGCGCGCAGGGTGTCGAGCTGGATGTTCTTGTGCCGCTTGGAGGACTCGTCGTAGGGATCGGTGCGCGGGACGGGGTCGTAGGTGCCGATGACTTCGAGGGGCTTGCTGTTGCGGGCCGTTCTGCAGAGCCGGGGGGTGTGCAAGGTCAGTTTTACTGGGGGGGTTTTTTTTTGCCATTTTTCTCCTTCCCTTTCCTTCCCTTCCTTCCTTGGAATATTCGCCAGAGGGGGGAATTCGTGAGGAGCTGCGTGGGGGAAACGTGCCTTGCGTGGGCGACCACGATGTTGTAGAATGGTTGGTTTCTGCGCCCGAATCGGGCTAGACGTAACCGAACAACCATGGCAACCGAGTTTCGCTGGCCGCGGTAGACTAGATCGGCTCGAAGAGTTCTGAAATGTTGTGTCGTCTCTCGCCGAGGAGGGGATGAAGGAATATCGTTTGCCTTGTCGCCGTGACGTACGGCTCGAGTGACCGTGACATTGAATGAAACCAGGACTGGGACTCGAATTGGACTCGCGACGACAAATTTGGTCGGTATTTCGTTTTTCCGAGTCACGTTGTACAAAGTGCTGCGCCACATCCATCGAACTGTGGCGCATCAGCCACATACCGGGTCAACGTCCATCCGACTTCAATGACCGTCGACTCCGCGTAAAAGATGATGTCAGTCTCCTGGGTCCATTTCATACCTTGCCTTGAGCTATGCGAGTGAAACTCCATTCATCCTGTAAAACCTAGTTTCTCTTCTTCGCCGTCCAACAAACCTGTTATCTACCATCGTATTCCTTTTGCATCGCGATATTTCTCGTACGATACTACGACATCATGACGCTCAAGGCAACGTACATCCCTTCCGCGTATCATGGGGGTCTCTGTCCACTAATGACCAACGTAGACACTCGGTGCTCAGGCCGCTGCGGCCCTTGACAGGGAACTCATGGGCTCGGGGGCCTTTTCGATTGACCAGCTTATGGAACTTGCTGGTCTCTCGGTCTCTCAGGCCGGTGAGAACGATTGATCGCGCGGGCTGTTCCTCTGTCAGGTCGTCAAGGGGGCGGCAGGCTGACCGCACCGTGTCTTGCTACAGTGTATCGTGTCCATCCGCCTCGTCTGGGTCTCAACATTCTCGTAGCCTGTGGTCCCGGAAACAATGGTGAGCCGAGACCTCCTGGAGCTTCCAAAGCATAGATGGCTCACCGTGACCCCTTTTCAGGAGGTGATGGCCTAGTTGCTGCCAGGCATCTTTTCCACTATGGATATAAGCCGTCTATTTACTACCCAAAACGGAGCAACAATGAGCTCTATCAGGTTAGTTGAGTTTATTATTTTCATCTTTTTCCTGGCCATCCGTTCCATATTGTTCTTGTCTTCCTTCTTGGTATGGTAGTATCATTCACACATCACACAATTATCGTTGCCTGCCTTTCGTCGATATGACCGATGCTTAGTCCCGTCAATGCTTAATGTCTTGTGTCATGAGATTTCCCATACGATACGCAGAGATGATTCCAACTGGGCAACCCCATTTTTCATTTTCTGAAACCACCGGTCCGTTGTTCAAGAGCAGTAACCATGCTTGCCGTGTCCTTGTTTAACCCCCTTTCTTGACCTGGCCAATTCCGTCATTGTCACTCACTGCATGACGCGTCCAGTGGCGCCCGCTGAACCGACACTGACACTGACCGTGACCATGACCAGCGTCTGGCGAAACAATTAGAGGACCTTGACGTTCCGTTCGTGGACGATTTCCCTGCCGCCCTCAAATCGACGCACCACATTGTCGATGCCGTATTCGGTGGGTGCCCGTGTGATTTCTTTCCAAGGAGTGAAGTATCGGAGTCGAAGCTGATGTGGAGACTCAGGGTTCAGTTTTTCAGGGGAGGTTCGCGAACCTTTCCCGGCGGTGATTCGGGCTCTAGAGGAGACAAAGCTTCCGGTCACCTCGGTGGATGCCCCCTCGTCGTGGAACATCGATGAAGGACCTCCAAAGTCCGGGCTGGGGAGCAACTTCCAGCCTGCTGTCCTGGTCAGCTTGACGGCCCCCAAACCCCTCGCACGCTTCTTCAAGGGCCGTCACTTCGTCGGCGGACGGTATGTACCCGGCCATTCTTCGTCTTCTTCTTCTTCTTCTTTTTTTTTTCTTCAGCTGTATTTCTGTTGCCACTCGTGGTCCTCCTTGACTTGACGCGTGGGTTCAGGTTCGTGTCGCCCAAGATTGCGAGGCAGTATGATCTCGACCTCCCCCAGTACGAAGGGATCGACCAGGTCGTCGAAGTAGACCATAACGGACAAAAGCTCTGAATGAATGGCCCGGGGCCGGATGGCTGTCCTATGCAAATCGGGGGACCGCCCAGTCGGATCCGGGACGGAGAGGGTCAGAATCAGATAACCTGGCAGCCACCGACCCGACTGTTAGGACAGACGGGGCTATGACAGCGACCCTCGAGCATATCGGAGGCTTCCACGACGACGCCCCCTGGACAGAATAGCCAGGGGGGGTGGTATTCTCTGCAAAACTCGACATAGACGAGGAAAAGCCTCCGGCAGACAGGGCAGGCGGACCTGTGCTCGACGCACATGAAAACCGAAGGAGGGGGGTTAACGGCTTTCCGTTGGAATGTGATGATGAAAGTGCCAAGTTAAGGAATCGTCGGGCGCGGAAGAAGAAGGAGCGTCGACAAGGTTGTCGTTCGAGCTTGGGGGACCACATGGGCGATGGGGTCGGGGCTGCCAAGTGAGCCTCGAGCGTTGAGGAAGAGGAAATTTTGAAGAAGACGCAGAAACAGCAGAGGGGCCGGGGGTCACCAACAACAACGGCAATACCGGAGATGATAAAGGCACAGAGAAAGAGATAATATAGGAGTCGTGACACAGGATATTGAAACGTGACAACCGCTTCTAGCCTCTTTGCTGAGGTTGGCCTATCCTGACCCTGTGCCAGGACTGGACTGGGGGTTGGGAAATACGCCTCCTGAAGCGGCAATTCGACGGGTTCTGGGACGGCGGGCCCTTGGGCGGCGGCCTGGACCGATGTGGCTGGAGGTGTAGGTCAAATGTGGGTTGCTGGTAGCATACCGTGGGGCTGAGCTGGAAGGCGAGAGGTGGGGGAAGGGAATCCGAAAGCTATCGCCAAGCCAATGGACGTCGTTCGTTTGATGGGCTTGAGGTGTGGTAAGCTAGCGTGGCAGCAGTTCCGACCTCCGGAAGGCTTTTACAACGTCGATCGCATCGGCAAAATCCTTCCGTACGCTGTCCTTGGCCCTCTTCTGAGCGATATTCCCCGGCGATCAGACCATTCAGACCAGGTCGCGGGCGAAAATTCGAAGGGCAGGGGGAGGCGGCAGTTGAGACTCAGTGGTAGACAGCCGTTCGCCGTTCGTAATGCATGTAAAAATGCAGGTAAAGGTGCAGGTAAAGGTGCAGGTAAAGGCGCAGGTGATGGTGAAGGCGAGGTATAAGGTAAGGTAGGTATGGCGAGACGAAAACGGGTTGACGTGGCGGACAGAGGGCGGCGAATTAGTAGGTGGAAGTATCCCAACAGTTAACGTAAGGTCAGGTAAGGTAGGCAAGGCCAAGCAGAGTCCATCAGGAAGGAGCAAGCCGCAATAGAGGGGTAAAACTAAGATTCAGAAGGCGCGAACGAGTGACCCAGAGGGCCACATACCTACGAAGTAGACCACCAAGACCGACGGGATACCCCGGAAGTCACCAGTCGACCCGTCGCAAGCACGCTACGTGTATAGGTGAATCGTAAGGTATATCTACCTTACTTTCATATTGCCACAGTCGCTCCTTCTGCCGCTTCTGATACCAGTCGTTTAATCCCTCTTCTGGTCTCCAGGCTTGGGCATGTTCCTGTTCCCAGCCCGTCTCCTTTCTCCGAGGTACCATCACAACCACGTACATATACTTTCGCTTTTACCTGTAACTCACCACCCAAGGTACCCTTCGCCCTTCGTACATCAGACACGGCCACGTCATTGGGACAACTACTCGTTCTACAAGACTTTGGTTAAGACTGGGTAAGGTAGTCCTCGGAATATCGAAGAAGTTCGAAGATGACAGAAAACCAAAGAAACTCAGGGGGAGAGAGAGAACATGTAGATATATGAATGGCAATGAGGGGCCTTACCGGAGCAAATGCTCCTTGCCTAGCCGGAATAGGTTGTTAGGTAAGGTAGGCATGTGGCAGGTGCTTCCCAATGTCTTCTATCGGAGCTCAAATGGAAGGCTGCCCAAGTCCAGTGACACGGTCCCCACCGCCGTGCTTCTGAAGGGTTCTGGACCTAGGGTCCACTTATCCACCGAACCACTGCGCACCGTCAGCTGATCCGGACGAAGACGTCAAAACTAAAAGATACCTTAAGATAATTAATAATAATTACAACGGTCTTGCTTGCTTCGTACAAACGTACACCGCATACGAAATTCCCATCTCCAAAATACCATGCTATTTATTACCGTATAAATATTTGATCGGCATTCTTCATTCTTCCATAACTAGTCGGTCCCATTCGAAGAACCTTCGAAGAACCTTAAGGCAACCTCTTCTACCCCTTGTCCTGTTGCCACCACCGCCACTGACACCGCCACTGCCCTCGCTCACCCCTCCGCGAATCATCTTTGCAGCAGCCGCCAAGCATTACACCGAGCCCAACCAGTTGTACCGACCCCTGTTGCTGGGGACTGGGAGAAATACCACAAACATAACGTGGGCCGCCCCTGTCTCTTAAAGGGAATAAACGCTCCGGCAGACCCCTCCCAACACACAACGTCCACAAGGACCTATAACGTCCCAAGTCGTACAGTCCTACCAAGTACGACGTAAATTTACTCTCACCAATTGCTCTCGAGACTTGACGAGCCAGTCCATGGATTCATGGATCCACGAAGCCCCGAGCCTGTCCAATTCTACGACCTAACGACCCTCTGCCGCCTGCGAGGCAGATCTACTCCCTATCCGGTCCTCCGAGAGGTTGGTACGAGGTCGGCGTGTCCAGGGTTAAAATCGACGCGGGAACGACTGTCCACGGCAACAAACCACACAACACCTTGGCGATGAAAAGCTGGTAAAAAAAACAGCAATTCAAGAACAATTGAAGAGAATGGCGTGATAATGACGACCTAGCCGTTTTTGGATGACCGGCATCCTCCCAGGCCACGGTTACATAGTGGACCTTTGATCTACAATCCACTGAACATCATTGTTGAGCACCTGCCAACTTAACCCCGATGCTGACCAGGAACTACACGTCAATATTGTTCGTTCGCGAGACAAGTTCGAGAGGCCACTTCGCGACTTCCATCAGGATTAGGAATATCCAACTGGACGCCGCGCATGCATCCCTTGGCTTCAGATGCAACGCCACTCACCGTCACCGTCACCGTCACCTCCATTATTTTATTTTATTTTTCAGTAGCCCGTCAGTCGCCACCGTCACCTCGATCTAGCACCAAAAGCAGCGATCGTCATTTCCACTTTGGGTTATAGGCCGACTGCTTTCACCGAGGGGCTTGCTTCTCTGCACTCTTTGGCCCTTTTTTTATTTCTATTTTTCCCCCCCTCTTTTTGCCCTTTTGAGAAAAGGAAATCGAGGCGCTTGGCCCCATTCTGAGAAGACCCACTGACACTGTAGCCCGCCACCTGCCCTCCCCACAAAGCTTTCATCATCGACTGACATCGCCGTGCCGGCCCTACGGTGACCGTATCTCCGCTACACAGTAGTTGTGGGGGGGGGGTTTCGGTTCACTGAGCACTCTCAGTACACTTACACCGCCAGGTCCCTTCCTCAAGCGCCGTAGACGCCTTCCGCAGACCCCGCAGAAACAAATCCCTACGGCGGCTTGGGCCCGCCACCAGCGTTCCATGTCATCCTTATCATTTAACATTTGTTGAAGATTCGTCCTGCCTACCGACCGACGGCTTTCCCAGCGTTCCCAGTCCTCTTTCCCTTGCGTGTGGGTTGCGAAGTATCCGGTCCGCGCTCGTATCAACTACGCGCTGTACCAACCATGGTGTCGGTCGGGATGCCAGACGATAAATAGCCCCTGAAACCGATGTCCAAGATGTCCTTTATTTCGTCCCTTTGTTCGTACGAGTCATGTGCCGCCCGGTCGTTCTGTTTTCTTCGTTCCTGTCTTCGCTGTCTCCTGAATGTCCGCTGTATGGCCTTGTTACGAGTCGCAGGTCTCACGCCAGTTGTCCCGGGTGGAGATGGTTCGTGATGTCACGGATACCAGTCTCGGTCAGCTTGGGTGCAGAGACGTCTCCAACCAGACAAACGGGGCCCAAAAAAAGGGGGGAAAAGAGGAAAAAAGAGGGTAAAAAAACATACAACACCGGGTATTCGCTGGTGGTCACCCACCCAACTACTAATCCGGCCCTCATTGGCTTATCTAGGGGAGAGCGGACGGGATCCCGAGTTTTCCAATGGGTATGGTCGTATGTGACAGAAGATCCTCGCCGAGGCTCTTATAAAAGACCAGGCGAGAAAAGGAAGGAGAGCAAGAACCGGAAGACGAAAGGCTGTACGACACCGTGAAGGTCGTGGTAGACTCGTCATCTTGAAGACAATACCCCAAGTTAGTCCTACTATCACTGATAACACGTTCTTCAATTCGACGTCGAGGTTGCCCAAGGAGGGCATCTTGTTGCCATACCACCTCGGTGAATTGCCTGTGAGAGCTGGCCCTTCCAGTCTTTCTAGTCGTTCAAATCTTTGGTGTAGTAATAGCAGAAATCAGCCCCGACGAACCCCACACAGGCACATGCACCCCTTTTCCACACACTTAGCGCGCGCCCTTTCGGCGCTCTTCGTAGTGCTTGAGAGCGATAACGCACCTCCGGATGTCGATGACCCTCTCCCGTACACCTGCCTCCTTCCTGAACTGGCAGCAAAAGACGTAGTTCTTCCCGGTGTTGATGCAGCGAATCGGCATATCGTCCTTTCCTAGCGTTGGGGTTCCACTGTCAGCATAAATCAAGGACGGGATGTGGTGAATGATGGGTATATGGGAAGAAGGGATGGAGGAGGGGAAAAGAAGAAAAGAAATTGAAAAAAAAGAGAGAGGGAGAATGTGAATGTACGTACTACATCTCGCCCACTCGAACCTGCCCCTGACACAGAAGGGCTTCTTCCCAGCAGGACAGGAGGGCTCAGTGAAGTAGCGGCGGCAGTAGCAGTCGTTCATGGCGGCGTCCCGGTCCTAAATATTCCAAACCTCCCCATCTCGGCGTCTTTTTTTTTCCTCGGCAGAAACTCCGTACGTCTCCCGGTCCCGGTGCCGCCAACGGGTCCAGAAACGGATCGGAAGAAACATAGTATATAAAATGGCATGGTGACGTACCATACCTAGACGACACTGGCATTGTCTCTTGCAGTCGTTCCACCGGCGAGGGTCATCACAGCTGCCGCGCCCTCTTTCGGGGCGCCCGGTGTCCTCCTTGAGGGTATTGCTCTCCTCGGCGATGTTGTTCCCCTGGGGGATGTTGAGCTGGTCAGACTCCTGCCCTGGGCGGACGCCGCTGGGGAAGACCTGGGAGGGATTGTTTTCGCGGGCGCAGAAGATCTTTCTATCCTCCATTTGCGAGCAGAAAGGGTCGTTGTGGTCTAATAAATTTACCTTGTTAGTTGAGGGGCCAAGGAAACGGGTAAAGAGGGAGAAGAATTGAGAGGGCGGTCCCTGTTGAAACTAGGAGAAAACAAAACAGTGGGATTTTGCCATAATCAGAACTTTCAAAAGAATATTCCTTGACAAATAGGCGAAAGGCAGCGGTGAAAGCTACATGAAACTCGAGGAGCAAAAGCTGGGGGCAGAGGATAGGTGAGGAGGAACTCACCGAACTGGACGTAATCATCCTTCCCACGGACGCAGTAAAGGCGCTCGTTGGCACGACACTTAGGGACGCCGTCAACCTTGGCCTCGGCGCGGAGGCACCGGTTAGCCCTGATGTCAAAGTCCTCGCCTCTGCCGCACTTGCACATCTTTTCGATCTTGTCCCAGCTGGAGTTGCCAGGGCACTCAATTTTCTCGTTGAGAATTTTCTGGTCCAAGTCGGACGAGGCCGCGACTGAGAGAGCCGCGGTGGCGGTGAGAAAGATGACGGTCAACTGCATGACTCTGTTGTGTGAGAGTGTATTCGTCGGGAGAGGAGCTTTGTCCGGGTTTCTCTTGAGAAATGAAATTATATAAAAGAGATCGGAGAAAAGGTCAAGGAGCAAGCGACCAGAAATCCGGCGGACTGTTGTTCACAAAGTCGATGAGGAAGACGGACGATGAGGGTACGGTTCCCACAAGGCGGGCAGTCTTTAATACGCAAAAAGGGTCCTCTGAGTGATCCATGGGGAAGTTCATTTCCCTCTTGAAGAGAATTCTGACGGTGTAGAAAATTATTTTCGAATGTTGTGTCCATGTACCTTTTGGCTGAGACGCCTCACTGCTCACAATATGTTGAGTGAGTGGCACGGCTGAGTTGGCTTTGAGACTAGGGAGGAGAGAAAACACCCGAACATGGCTTGTCGAGGCAAAGGGTAAAAAAAAAAAAAAACCAAAAAAACCGCAAGTGATGCGACTTGAATGGGCGTCCCCTTGGGCATGTTTGTTCAGCTGCTCAGCTGATACCGGAAGCGCGTGTATAGAGTTCAATTGCATATGCCCGAGAAACGAGAATATCCCACCCTTTCCTCGTCCTCGGCCTCACGTCCGGACGGAGCCATCTCGAGCGAGAAACGAGTTGCACAGAGCAGGGGTATTCGAAGAGGAAAAGATCGGAATGAAGGCGGTGGTCGTTTCTGAACATGTACATTCCACGATTGTAAAGCGTCCTTGCAAAGCTTGATGAGAATAAATGGAAAGCACAAAGACGACGTCTATACTCCGTAGAGACAGTTAGGATGGTATTCACCGACAACGCCGATCCCACATATTCAAACCCCACGAACCGTACCAACAATGATGCCCAAGGTGGGATATGCCTCTTGAAGGGGAGTTGGTTTCGTCCACGGCTCCCTTCCACCCATGCAAATACCAAAAAAAAAGCTCGAAATCCCGTGCCAATCGTTAGATAGGGGGAAGACCTGAAAAGTCCATGGCCCCGCGGTCTAAGACAAGAAGAAAAGAAGAAGAAAAACGAAAAAAAAAGAAGGCTACCGCTGAGAAGAGTTTCAAACTCAGCCGGATGGATACTTGAGGGGAAAAATGGAAGTGAAGAACAGAGGAACAGGCTCATGAAGGAAGAAAGGGCAAGTCCAACAATACCCTTGTCCACCACTATCACTCCCATCACCGGTGACCACCATTGTTCCAGTGGTCCTGGCTGTCACCGCCGTAGCCTTGGTTGGCACTGAAGCTCCGGCTAGGGTGCGAGGGTGCGGGGCTGCCCAACCTCATGTTGCCGTACGACTGCGGCGGCGTGGACACGCTGCGGTGTGGGTCGGCGGGGAGTGGCCCTCGCGGGGGCATTCCGGGACTGCCGGTCCTCAGGGGTGACTGGAAGTTCTCGCGCGTCGGTGACGCATCATGGTATGGTGATTGGTGCGGGAACGTGGGGCTTTGCAGGGCCTCGCCGTTCCGTTCCATGAGAGGCGATCGTGGCGACTGGAGACCAGTTCCGGGAGCAGAGCCGTAGCCGCCATTACCCCAGCCTTTTTCGGGAAAGCCAGCGCCACCGAGAGGGCCGGCGGCCGCGACGGGAATATCAAAGGACTCCGAGCGAATGGAACCGTCCTTTCCAACGGCCTGGTTGGATTTGTACTCCGTGCCCGTTTGGCCGGCAAAGGAGTCAGGGTTGATGCCCCTCTTCTTGTAGCTTTCCATCTCCAGGCGTTCTTCCTCGGCTATGCGGGCAGCAGCCTCGGCCTCGCGAGCACCGCGGCGGCGTTGACGGATGATGTAGAAGACGAGGGTAAAGAGAATGAGGGCGCCTACACTGCCGCCCCCGGCATAGACGCCGATGCGGGCTGCCTCGGGGAGGTCGTTGAACTTCTCGGACAAGGACTTGGACGGAGGGGCGAGGAGGGCTTCTTTGACGGTCGAGTTACCACTGAAGGGAGACGGCGTTAGCGGACGGGCCGAGGTCACTAGGACTAGTGGGGAACATCATGGGAACACCCGATATCAGGGGCAGCCGTTTAGGGCAGCAGACTTACTCGACAATGTCAATGCTCTCCCAGGAGCCCGAATCATCACCATAGACGTACTCCCTGCCAGTGCTGAAATCCTCGACGAGTGCTTTCTTGATGTACATGACGTAAGGGCCATTCTCATACTCGGTGTCGCCGCCGGCCCACTCGCGAGTGCCCTCGGGAAGACGGGGGTCGCCGCCGGCCCAGATGCCGAGGTACAGACGCATCGGGGTCTGCGGATAGAGGTAACCGTCTCTGAGCGCGTCGGCGCGATGGAGAACCCGGACTCGTTCGCCGTCAATCCACCACTCGAGCCTGTCCCTTGTCCACAAGGTGGTGTAGTTGTGGTAGTCGTCGAAGACGTTGAAGGGGGTGACGTGGTTGACACCTTCGGTGTAGATCTCCTCGCCTTTGCCGAAATAGTTGCTGAGGGCCATGGTTTGGTTGACGCCAACGAATTCCCAGTCGACCTCGTCGAGGGTGTCGCTCAGCCACATCATGGAGCTGATGATACCCTTACCGGCAGCGGCCCTGAGGTGGATCTCGGTGCGGCCACCAAAGAAGTAGAACTTGGAGCGTATGGTGGGAGAGTCGCCCTGTTGGTGGATGGCGAAGGAGACGCCGGTATCGGGATGATACTCGACGGCGCCGGCGTGGGTTTCCCAGGCGTCCCTGTGAGGCGTGGCGTTGAAGTGGAAGGTATAGTCCATGCCGAATGCTGGGTTCGGGGGGCAGGCCGTCTCGTTCATGGGATTGCAGTCTGAATGGACCTGGGCGAGACCGGGCCGAGCGAGGGAGGCTACCAGCGCGAAGGCTGGTAGAGCGAAGGACCGCCACATGGTTGGTGCGAGGGGGGTCTGTGTCGAGCTGGTTGGCGGGGGAAAATCGAAGGTCGTGACTCTGTGAAGAGGAGTGCGTGTAATGTGCGAAATGGGACAGCTCTGAACCGGCAGAGCAATAAAAGCAGAAGAGCGAGGTAGGTGTCAAGGCTATCTGGACCAGACAAACGAGCGACTGGTGGTGGACTGAGTAAGGACTGTACGTATAAAGACGAGGACGTCGTCGAGACTCAAGTTTCAGGCGAAGAGCGAACGTGAGATGGAACGATAGCCGCGGTAGCTTGACGGAGATGGGTCGAGTGTGGGCTTGTCTGTATGTACGTAAGGTATGTGTGGTGTGGCACGCTGGAGCTTGACAGTTAAGGATAGTTGGGTGTCGAGCACGTGTGTAGTGTAGAGAGAGTGTGAGCTCGAGTATGTGACGCAGATTGTAAAGGAGTGACGGACGAGCAGAGAAGACAAGACCGCTGTGTTCTCACTCAACTCGCTTACACCCGTTGGACGTACTCGGTCGTTAGTTGGGTACGAAGCATAGCAGCACGAGAAGAGGACGGAAGCGCGGAAAAAGAGATGGAAAAAGGGGACGAAGGGGGTACGGCGGTTTTCACTGCACTCTCCATTGCTTCAGGGGGCGGGCGCCGAACTGCCAACGCAGCTGGTGCATCTGGTGCATCTGGTGCAGCCAATGCAGGTACCAGATCCTGGGCCCCCTGGTTGAGGGTGGAGACGAATTTCAAGGTTGGTGCAGCCGTTGTTCCCGCACCAAGTTGAATAGGGTTAGAGTCCGTTCTTGGCCCGTCCCCTGGAGGCCCCCTTGTTCTTGGTTTCCCACAGAGGACAGGACCTCGTTCGTCCGCTGTCCTGCCCGTCTCCTCCATCACATCCACCATCCCATCCACCCACCCACACTCTTTGGCGAGTCTTTGGCCGGCAGAGCGAAGGATTTCGGCCTATCCCGCAGTAGATAGAGTGCAGTGCCGAGATACAAGTTTCATCTTTGGTACCCAAGAACATGGGATCGGCACATCCCTGCCCTGTTGTGGATATCCATCAGCGGTACAACGTAGTTCTTGGTCGGCGGGTTTGTCGATGGTGAAAAAGGGCATGGAGGTGCGAAATACTCCGTATGGAGTACACAACGTACAACGTACGGATACAACACCAACTCGGTCTTGCAAGTATGTTCGTGGTACAGCGCTCCCTTGAGATTCTTGGGAGAAACCGATGTGAGACTTGGTGGGGATCCCCCAGTGCAAGACAAGAGCCCCGGTCGCTCAAACTTGGCCGAGTAAGGATCAGCGTGGTCCTTGCCTTTGCCAAGCTTGATCGGGCTCCAATGGAGCAACGCGACGGCGGCAGCTTGGCAAACTGCAGTGCTCGTATTGATTCATGGTCTCGGTACAAGCCCGTTGATAGCCTGGCTGTGTGGTTGGTGCAGGACGAGAGGAGTCGTCGAGTGTCTCTGAATATGGATTAAGATTGAGTCGACAGGGACAGGGGAAAAGCAATCAAGAGGGACGAGTGAAGAAGTAAGGTATAAGAAAGACCTTGAGGACAAAAAGAGAAGGTGGAGGGGAAAGGTACGTACCGTTTGAATTTCGAACCTACCAAATCTGGCAACGGCGTCAGCTCCGGGCGGTTCGTTCATTCCCTCGATCAATCCTTCCCATTTAGTACAGTGTTGTAATATACATAAACTGGGTTATTACTGCAGCGCCTCCGCTATATGTACAGTACTAGGTACAGTGCTGACTCGGAAGAGCCGTTTGTGGCTTGAATCTTTTACTTAATATCTGACGCCCTGAAATAATTGCTTTTCCAATGGAATTTCCCTTTTTAATTTGAGTTGGTTTTAAAAAGAAAGAAGAAGAAGAAAAATTGGCGTTCTACGAGTCTCGGAATGTATAGATATCCGCTTAGGTATGTCCTGCCCACATTGAGGTGCCCTGTAATTATTTTGTACCAAGTTTCTTCTTATTCTCACCCAGCATGAGGTACCTTCAGGATGAAGCCGTCATGAGATCAACATGATGCCGACATCGGCCCTGTCAACTTTGACGACACACCGAAAAGCACCTACGATAAGACTACGGTGTACTTCGTATTTTGTATGCGCTTGCTTACCTATGCCAGGGCAGATACCATGCAAGTGGAGACGGGACTTGAAATTGCGTAATAATCGGCCAGTGCTGTCCTCGTCTCTGTATGATTGCCCGTTCTTGCCCATGACTGGAGAAAGGGGTAAGAAAAGAAAAGGGAAACAAGGGAGAGAAGAGAGGAAAGGAGAACAGAGATTATAAGAAGAAAAAAAGAAGAAAAAGAGGGGGGAAAGGAAAAGAAGGAAAAGAAGGAAGAGAAGGAAGAGAAGGAAGAAAAAAGAAGAAAAAAGAAGCCTTTCCGTCTTCTCCCTTCTCCCTCTTGTCCGTTCTCGAATGAACCGACCTTGCATCACACCCGTCCTCCCTCATCTTCCCTCAAGATTCCCTCTTTTGCACAGTCATGGCCGGTGACGATCTGGAAAGGGGACGGGCCCCGGAGGCTATAGCTATAGCTTCAGCTTCAAGCACCCCGGCCGGGACCTCCGACTCAGATCGCCGCCCCACCAACAAGCCCGGCGCGACCACCGAACCTAGTGCAGCCACCGGTGCGAAGGATGACAAGCCCATGCGGCGGCCCTGGCTCTCCCGGCTCTCCCGGCTCCAGGACGACGTCCACCCCCGCCACACCGACCTCCCCCTCTTCGCCTGCAGCTTCACCTCAGGCCTCTGCGACAGCATGACCGTCAACGCGGCCGGCACCTTCGTGAGCATGCAGACGGGCAACACCATCTTCCTGGCCCTTGGCAGCGCGGGGCTCCCCGACGACGACGACGACGACGCCTTCCTCTGGCTCCGCTCCCTCACCTCCATCGCCTCCTTCGCCCTCGGCTGCTTCGTCTTCGGCCAGGCCCGCCGCCTCCGCGCCCGCCGCAAAGCCACCCTCGCCCTGTCCTTCCTCGTCCAGGCCGCCGCCATTTTCCTCGCCGCCGCCCTCGCCCACGCCGGCGTCGTCGCCGACCTGGCCCGCACCTCCGTCCCCGGCTTCGGCGCCCCGGACGACTTCCGTCCCAGGGGGGGCCAGATCGTCCTGCTCCCCGTCGCTATCCTCGCGTGGCAGTTCGGCGGCCAGATCGTCACCAGCCGTGTTCTCGGGTACGGGGAGGTCCCCACCTGCGTCCTCACCAGTGTGTACTGTGATCTCTTCTCGGATCCGAACATCGTGGCCCCCGTCTCGAGGAATGTCAAGCGGAACCGCCGCGTCGGCGCTATTTGCACCCTGCTGGTGGGTGGTATCGCCGGGGGCTGGCTGCAGCGGAGCCCGGCCGGCATGACTGGTGTTCTCTGGATCGCTGGCTCCATCAAGGTCGCTATCGCCTGTGCGTGGGCTCTGTGGCCTAGCGAGAAGGCGGCGCAGGAGAAGGGCCACGTATGACTGTGCTCATTCACGAGCACAACTACAGCAACTTTCATGTTACCTCTACTGAATGGGAGCTGACGTGACGTTCCATCTCGTTCCATCTTCCTACATTTCCATTTCCAGTCGTCAGTGTTAAAATCGCCAAAATCGCATTGGTCGCCATGTTGAATTCACATCCGTCCATAATACCTTTCCCTTTCGTCGCAGGTTATGTCACAACCCCATGTCCAGGACCCCCTCAACGTCATGATCGTCACCGTCCACCAACCTCCTCCTGGCACGCGACTATAAACTGCCTAGACGAGGAACAACTCGACATTTACGTCCTACGTCAACAACGCCATTTCCTAAACGCCCATTCAGTCATATCTTCACAACCCGGTCATTAGCATACGTTATCAATCCGTCGGTTGTCCAACTTTGCTCGACAACCAGAGGACTGAGACGAGGATGCTCTGAATCCCTCCCCGCCAGAACAAGCCGGATGGCATCGATTGGCCCTTTCCCTTCCTGGAGGAGAAAGAGAAAGAGAAAAAGAAAAAGAAGAAAAGAATCCAGGGTCCAATATGTATGCTCTCGCTTCCACAGTTCTATTGGACCGGCCCGCGCCGTAATCACTTCGTTCTCCATGTTCTTAGCCTACTCCCACTTTTGACGTCACATCCCTTGAACAACGAGCCACGATGATCACCCCCCAAAAACCTGCTTGGCCCTTCACTATGACGGTGGCACATCCCATTCATTCTGATCGCATTTGGCAAGAGGTATGCTCTGTAACCCCCAGGGCTTTAGGGATAGAGAAGAGTAAACCAGCGAGCCAAGAAATGTAGAAATACTGTCGCTACGCCGCTCCGTTCCCCAAGATGTTTTTTCTTGTTCACTTCCTGTTACCTTGGATTTCTTAGAGCGCCTCTCACGACATACAGCAGAGAGCTAGGTATTTCGTATCCCGAATCCTTTTTTTGACACCGCATCCCATCACCAGCATCGGCAAAACACAACACAACCATGCCCTTCTTCTCCGGTCGACCCCGCGAGCCCTCCCCGGCCCGCAACCCAGCCCCACAACAAGTCCCGGCCGAAGACCCTCCCGCCCAGAACCGAAAAAACAACGGCGGCGGCGGCGGCGGCATCTTCCACCGACGCCGCTCCCCAACCCCAACCAACAACTACGGTGCCGTCCAAGCACCACCACCACCACCAGCCCCAGCCCCAGCATCCCGCAACGAGCGGAGGAACGGATCAGGAGGAGGCGGCCTCTTCCACCGCCACCGCCACCGCCACCGCTCCCCATCCCCATCCCCCGCCTCCGCCTCCGCCTCCGCGACACGCGTCACCACCGCAACCCAGTCCGTGTCCTCCCTCTCCTCGTCGTCGTCGAGCGCCTCCGACCGCCGCCCCCGCCGCCGGGGCACTCTCCTCTCCAAGTTCGGCGGCCGCGGCCACGGCCACCGCGATGGCGATGGCGATGGCGACGGCGACCTGGACCCTTCCATCGTCGGGGCCCGCGAGCGCGTCATGAGCGCCGAGGCCGCCGAGCAGGATGCCGACCGCGCGCTGGCCGCCGCGAGGCAGAGCGTCGCTGCGGCGCGGGAGGAGATGAGGCGGCTGGAGGCCGAGGCCAAGGAGGATGCGCGCCGGGCCAAGATCAAGTCGTTCCATGCCAAGGAGGTTTCCAAGAGGGGGAAGGCTCTTGGGCGTGAGTTTTGCCCTTTTGTCTCTTTGCTCCCCATCTCTCTTCCCTTTCTTCCTTCTTTTCACCCTTTGTCTTATGGAGTCATTGGCTGACGAAACAACCCATGCGCTAGGCTTTGGATGAGCTGTGCGAGCTTGATTTGCTCTTTTGCTTTCTGTCTGATACCCGCCCCCCCCCTCTTGCGATTTTCGAGATGTACTCAAGCGAATTTTCTGTTGATGTTGCCTCATCCCCCTGTCCTTACTGTACAAACGACAGCAATACAAAAGCGGCCACGTCCTTTCATCTTCTTACCTACCCGGGGAAAGGGGGGAAACATGTACACGATATGAGTATGTTTAGGATGACGCAGCTATCCACATGCCAGTTCGTCCAGAGATATGACTCCTAGTACTATTCATCCTCATCTGTATACATACTACAGCTAGACGACAGGTTAGAAGAATGTGCGGAAGTTGAATACCATACCAACGAGGCGTTCAACTCACAAATGAAATGTATTGGGAATCTTGATACCAAACCAGCCGCCCGGCACCACCAAGCACTGATCTGACAGGGGTAGTTAGTTACTGCCTGGAATATATCTCGGGTAAGGATATTCCAAGTCTGGTCCAGGTAGGCAGCTGCCATACCTGACTGTCATTGTCATACCTGACTGCCACTACGACGCCCAATCAAGGCCTTTCCCCCTTAATAATAAGAATAACAACCAGGACAACGACAACGACAAGGATAGCAGCAAAAACAACGACAACAGCGTCTCGAGCAGAGGCATGGGCGACCTACGTATAGGGCCTTAAGGAGATCACGGGCAGGACCAAGGTAAGGAAACGTGGAAAAAGCAGAATCGCTTGTATTGAAGATAATCGCTCTTGGCGGGACTCGTCTTCCTCCCCTTCCCTATCCCCCTCTAAAAAAATTAAAAAAAGGAAAGAAAATAAAGTAAAGTAAAACAACGCTGTTTCTAATAATATACAATTATTGATACAGAAAATTTATTTTCTGCATCGTCGGTTCCGCCAAGGCGGGATTCGCCTTAAAAATCGGCGTATTAGGCCTGGAGATAACACAGGTTAGGCCACGGTTTCGTTAAGAGGGACGTTTTTAGAGGGAGGCAGGGAAACCCGAAAAAGCAAGACACGGAAGAACAAACCTCACACTTGGCCTCGTGCCTTTGCTCGCGTTACAACTCCCTACATGGCAACGCATTTCAGGCCCTCGTCTTCCTTCTTGATGCTGAGGGCGACACGGGCAGCCTCGGTAAAGGCCTCGTTGACTCCGCGGTTCCTCATCGCAGAGCATTCGAGGTAGCGAGACGCGTGGATGCGGTGGGCGACCGCAATGCCCTCTTCGTAGTTGACGAGGTTTTGATTTTGTTTTTCTGCCCTTTGTTCCTGCTGACCTTCTTCGGCTCCGACAACATTATTATCGTCGTCGTTGGACGATTCGCGCAAGTCGCATTTCAGGGCGACCAAAACCACGTTGACGCCGGGGCAGTTTTCGGAGATCTCCCCTAGCCATTTGCTTTCGACGTTCTCGAGCGATTCTCGGCTGTCGACGCTGTAGCAGAGCATGACCACGTCGGTGTCGTCTATTATGAGATGTTTATGTCAGTGGTGCCCCGAGAAGGGGGAGGACGACGCCTGGAAAAGCGGAAAGAAAGAGAGAGAGAGAGCGCACCATAAGATAAGCTGCGCAGGCGATCGAATTCTTGTTGGCCAGCGGTATCCCATAGGGAGAGTTCGAGATGTACGTTGTCGACGAAGACATCTACAGACAAAACAAAGCGAGGCAAGGGTCAGCGTTCATGCGTTTCTTTCTCAGTGGGGTGTCGGGGGTTTTCTTGTGGCAAGGACATACCATGGATATAATTCTCGAAGATGGTGGGTTCGTACACAGTCGGAAAATATCTGGATTCGTCGTGTTAACAATGTGATTGGTATTGGTATAGCGGCGTGTCGCAAACCGTACCCTCTGGTGAACACGTTAAGTAGTGAGGTCTTTCCCGCAGCGCCGTCTCCCCTACGCCAAAAGATGAATTGATTTAGCGAAAGTGGAATACCGGAGGGATCATTGGAGGGAGATGCCGTTAGGGTAAGAAGTGAACAAGGTGTTTCACTTACAGCAGCACTAGCTTGCGCTGGACAGATTTCGAGCCTCCGCAAAACATGGTGGATTGATGATGCACAATTGCGTCGCGAAGAGGAAGAAAGCGGAGAGCGTTGTTCCTGGACACTGGAGACTTTGTTGAACGAGAAGGTTGGACGAAACGGGGGTGGCAGAGAGAGACCACAGTCGTTTATATGGACGAAGGTGGCGTCGAGTGATTTGGATGGACAGAGATATATATCGCAATCGGTTATATCGAAGACGAAGATGGCGTGGAGTGATCTGGTCGTACCGACGGGGCGTCGAGTGAGTTGGTCCTACGGAGTGAAGGTTTGGTTTGGTAGTGGGCGTGGAGAGAGAGGTAGATGGAGCGTCCTTCTCCTTCTCCTTGACGGACGGGAGAGCAGCGAGATATGGTGGGTGGATTGTTCGGGAGTCGAAGCAGGGGGGGAGAGAAGCAATGAGTGGCTGCAAAAGGGAGGGGGGCCTGGCTCGGCAAATGGCAATATAGCTCCAGATAAAAGAAACGAGTATGACGACCTTGCGCTGCGTTGCGTACTCCGAACGGGGAATTGATTTCGAAATGAGGAATGTATTCGTAGTAGTAATGCACGGAGAAAGTGTAGTAAGTGTAGGTGGCTTGTAGGAGTCACCTATCCGTCAGCGCGAATGGCTATGAACGAGAGGGGAAGAAAAAGGCTTGGCCCATGTTACCACGGAGCAAATGAAGAGAGAGAGGTAGCACGTAATGAAGTACGAGTAATTACGGGATAACTTCGTCGAGCATCTAAGCCGCCTAAAGTAAGGTACCTAGGTACCTTAGGTAAGTACCTTACATAAGGTGCCTGATGTAGGTAGCCCACAGGCCAAGAGAGAAGCAGGGAACCTTGTGTACCTGTGTGTCCCATAGGTACTGTAGGCACAGTACTTTGTACGAAGTACGGATAGCGGATAAGTAGCTTGTGTCTGCAAAAATGGGTAATTAGGTACCTTACCTAATTACCGGAAGAACTCGACCAATTGGAATTTTAGTAAATCCCATTGTCCCCATTTTACAAACAAGGCCAGCCAATGAATGAATCAAAGACCGTTTGCACGGTATTCGAGCCTCGATATCTGGTGATCTGGTATCTCAATTATAACCCAGCTGTCCCTATTTCCAGGGCTGGAAAAGGGGATAAGAACATGTAGACGATGTCAAATGTCCAGGAACCTCGTTGGTCTTTTCTGGTATTATAATCAAACTACATGGGTATGGAAAAGGTGGTGAGCGTTAATTGGTATTAGGAATCGTAGGTCGTCCTCGAGCGCAATCCGGGGTGGACAAGTCGACCTAAAACCGTGGGACACGAGTTTCGTGGCCGAGGACGTAGCTTGCTACTAATGGCCTTCAAACCAAAAGGTGGGCAGATTCGGCAGGCAACTAACCATCGAGACCCGGGGGAAAAGTCAAATACCGTCTGGCGGTCTTCTGTTATAGTTTAATTTACGCGTTAGGTCGGGAAGCCGACATGTGCACAAAGGCCGTTCCTCCTAATCGTCGTCACGCTGATAACCCTGGCGCCCTCGTCCAATTCTCTCCGCCAAGCCCATCTCCCCGGCCTTGCGATGTAGTTTGTTGGTGAAAGCTCGGTCCCCGCCGTACTTGGCCGCGCGCTTTCTCGCCTCGTCATCCGCCTCCCGGGCGGCCCTCTCCCGCTCCGCCAGAGCCGCCAGCCTTTGCTCGCGGACGCCATCCAGCTCGTTCGCCGCCGACTGCATCGCAGCGAGCTTGCGCGCCTTTTCTTCCTCCTCGTCCGCCTTGCTCGTCGAGCTCCCGCCGTTCCTGTCGCTACCCCGGCGACCGTTCCTGTTTCCGTTCTTGTGCCCGCCATTCCACCTGTCGCCATCGGCAGGACGTGTGCCGCCGTTGTGGTTTCCACGCCCGCGGAAGGCGTCTCTGTCTCTGTCTCTGTCTCTGTCGTCTTCTCGGTCGTCTTCTCGGTCGTCTTCTCGGTCGTCGACGTGGCGAGAACGTCGTGGCTCCGGCGACCTGTCCCTCGCGCTTCGCCGACTCCGCCGGTCATCTCTGTCATCGTCGCGCCGTGACCGAGGCGACCTGGACCGCCTCTCGCGGCGCCGCTCCACCGTATCGTCTCCCTCCGAGTCATGTCGCCTGCTGCTGCGCCTAGGAGAGCTGCGCCTGGGGGACTCCCTCCGCCTCTTCCTGTCTCGATCTCTCTCCCCGTCGTGGGACCGATCTCTGCGCCGCCGAGGACTCCGCGACCTCGACTTTGACCTCGAGAGCGAGCGCCGACTCCGCCTGCGATGCCGATCCTCGTCCGAGTCGTCATCCCCATGTCGGTGCCGCCGTTTCCTCCGCTCATCGTCGCGCCGCCTGGACGATTTGCCCTTGCCCTTGTCCTTGTCCTTGTCCTTCTTATTTCCCCCCTCGATCCCCATAGAGGCGAGAAGCTGTCGTCGCTTGATGGGATCGTTCATCATGGCTTCGTAGGCGGCCTGCTCCTGCTTCTTGATGGCGAGCAACGGGTCCTCGCGGACCTTGGCGGCCGTGTCCCTGGCCGTGTTCGCCGACTGCAGCGCCATGAAGCTCTCCTGGCTGGCCTGCTTTTCGAGCTTCTTGTGGTCGTTCCCCTTGATCAGGTTGTCGATGCGCCGCTTGCCCAGGAGGTAGCCCTCCGTCTCCTCGGTGGTGCCCGTCTGCCCGTCGGTGGGGCCATTGTATAGGAAATCGACGCGGTCGACGCGCTTGCTGTGGCCGGCGGCCTCGAGTTGTCTCTGGATCTCTTCGCGCGCTCGCTCCTCTTTGAGCTCGTTGATGCGTTGTTGTGTCTTCTTGCGTTCGTCGAGCGCCTTCTTCTCTTCCTCCCAAACCTTGGCCTGGTTCTTCAACAGACCCGGGTGGAAGCTTTTCTTCAAGTTCAAGTCTCCACCCATAGTTCCGGTCGACTTTGGCGAATACGGGGAGACGACTGGAATTGACCGAGGAGTGGAATATTTGTTGAAAGTTATAGGAAGTTGTAGGATGATGAGTGGCGACTGGAGCAACCAAGCTGAACGTTGCCTGCTGACTTTGGATTGCTTACTAAGAGTATATTAATTAGTAAGACAGGCGTCGATTGCTCTTGGTACAAAAGTCCGTATGAATACAGTTTTTCCTGATATGTGCACGGAGTACGACGTACTTTCTCGTGCCCCTCGTTGGTGGACGTCCCATAGGACGTCCCATAGCTCAACTCACAGCTTCCGTCAATTATCAGCTTCGACTCTGCCGCACATACATCTCCCGTCCTAGAGCATCGCTTCACGAATTACACAGCTATCCGTACAATTTTGGACCACAGCTCCTGTAATCGCAGCGCCATCCGAAAGTCCACGATTGGCTTGAATTGTCGACATTGATACAGCATCACATCACCATACCCTCTCCTTCCCCTCACGAGCTCTCGCCAAGCGCCATCATGTCGGACGACGATTTCATGCAAGATTCGGGCGATGAGCAGTACGTCAGCTGCTTTCCTTAAGCTGGAAGCCCCTGGATAATCTGCTGACGACCGTCAAAGGTACGATTTCGAGTACGAGGATGACGACGACGATGACAGCGGCGATGTCGACGTCGAGAACAAGTATTACAACGCCAAACAGCTCAAGCTTACCGACCCGGAGGATGCCATCAACGAATTTCTCGGGGTCCCTGCTTTGGAAGAGGAGAAGGGTGAATGGGGTTTCAAGGGCTTAAAACAAGCGATCAAGCTAGAGTTCAAGCTCGGCCAGTACGACAAGGTAGTCCAGCGCCCTTTCCTTTGCCCTTTCCCTCTCCCTATCCTCCTCCGTCTCCTCTCTGGCCAAACGTTTGCCGACTGACCTCTCGGCATCCAGGCTGCAGAGCACTATGCCGAACTCCTCACATACGTCAAGTCCGCTGTGACAAGAAACTACTCCGAAAAGTCCATCAACAACCTACTCGACCACGTCGAAAAGGGCTCCGATTCGCCCGAATCGTCCAAGTGCGTCGAGAAGTTCTACTCCCTCACCCTCCAGAGCTTCCAGAGCACCAACAACGAGAGGCTCTGGCTCAAGACCAACATCAAGCTGGCCAAACTCCTCCTCGACCGCAAGGAATACCCGGCGCTGTCGAAGAAACTCCGGGAGCTCCAGCGGGCCTGCCAGCGCGAGGACGGCACCGACGACCCCAGCAAGGGCACCTACTCGCTCGAGATGTACGCGCTGGAGATCCAGATGTACGCCGAGACGAGGAAAAACAAGCAGCTCAAGCGCCTGTACCAGCGCGCCCTGCGCGTCAAGTCGGCGGTGCCGCACCCCAAGATCATGGGCATCATCCGGGAGTGCGGCGGCAAGATGCACATGAGCGAGGAGAACTGGGCCGACGCCTACCAGGACTTCTTCGAGTCCTTCCACAACTACGACGAGGCCGGCTCCCTCCAGCGCATCCAGGTGCTCAAGTACCTCCTCCTCACCGTCATGCTGATGCGCTCCGACATCAACCCCTTCGAGTCCCAGGAGACCAAGCCCTACAAGAGCGACCCCCGCATCGCCGCCATGACCGACCTCGTTGACGCCTACCAGCGCGACGACGTCCACGCCTACCAGGCCGTCCTGCAGGGCAACCAGGACATCCTCGCCGACCCCTTCATCGCCGAGAACATCGACGAGGTCACCCGCAACATGCGCACCAAGGGCATCGTCAAGCTCATCGCCCCCTACACCCGCATGCACCTCGCCTGGATCGGCCGCCAGCTCGGCATCTCCGAGCCCGAGGTCCGCGACATCCTCAGCTTCCTCATCGTCGACGGCCGCATCCGCGGCTCCATCGACGAGCAGCGCGGCACCCTCGAGATCCTCCAGGACCCGGACGCCCACCGCGTCCGCGCCATGGCCCAGCTTTCCGAGGCCGTCGCCGACATCTACCACGCCGTCTTCAAGGAGGGCGAGGGCTTCCGCGCCTCGGCCGCCTCGGACTTTACCGGCGACGAGCAGGGGATGGACCTGTACGGCGGGGGTCCCATGCCCAGGGCGCCGCGGGGGGGTTTCGGCCGGGGCGGGAGGCGCGGTCGGCCAGTACTGTAGGACTTTTGCTGGTTCTGATCAGTAGTAGCTCGCCGCAGTCCTGATTCGGGACCCATTCCGTAGCCACTGCTGGCGGGCGAACGATCGCTGGAGGAAAAGGGAGGGCAACTCAGTGTAGCGAACAACCGCCACCACAATGAATGAAGAGACGAAGACATGATTAGTCACTAGAAACAATTTTTTTTTTCTTCATCCTGTTCATCAGAATCATTGGTCCGGGGTAAGAGGCAGTCATTGTGCCGGATGCCCCCGCCCACCCCCCAAGGTGACGTCGAACTTGAAGAACGTCCGGGGACTTCCGCCGGCGCTACGGTGGCTTGCCGCTGCATACGGCTCCCCTCCTGACAACGCACCCCCCGGGTACATCCCGAGCCTGCGGGATGATGAAGGCAAAGGAAGTGCGATCGATGATGGAAGAGGAGGAGGAACGATCGCAGGGATGGACGGTCCATGTTTTTTCATGGAAGGACAGGAGATCGGGACAGCCACTCCCGTCATCCGCCCCGTCCGTCCCGGGTGAAGAAGAAAAAGAAAGAAAGAAACAAAGAAAGAAAAACAAAGAAACACATGGCAGAGGAACACGAGAAACGTCTCGGACATGCACATACTTCACCAAGGGGAGGCGCTTCATAGACCCGGACATAGAGTCAGCATTGTATCATCACTTTGTGTCGGGATATCCCATGAGACGGATGATGCCGTGTGTGTGTGTGTGTATGTGTGTCTATTTAACGCCTTGGCAACCCCTCGTAAATACTAGCGGTGGTGAGTTGAAGGATGACGGATGATGCCGTTGCCGTTCCTAGTCTAAAAATGAGATGAAGAACATGTCGCCTCTGCCATAGACGTCCCCCCCATATGCGGGCTTCCGAACGTGACATTGATATTGTCATATTAACCTTGCATGCCTGTCGCCGTCCCGCCCCCAGGCCTTACTCACTTCCCTACACACCAAGCAAAATATCCCGAAGTGCCCCTTCCGGTCCGATCTCTCATACGGCTAGTCGAAGGGTAGCTGCCTTGTCGGAATTTTCCGTCGACGTCGTACTCGGGAGTGGAGCAGAAGTAACCAGAGGATGCAGAACAACGATGGACAAGGAGAAATGCGAGATGTGTACTGGAGACTGAGAGGCTGAGAAAAGAAAAGAAGAAAAAAGTAAAGAAATGCTTCCTGAAACGACGAGTCATGTCGTACACGCCTTATTCCTCTATCCTTCTCGTGTTTATATGTCATTGTGTAGTCAGGTTAGACATGAAGATATGGGCTCGCACATCATGTTGGACTAGGATGCCGCGGAAGAGAAGGTTAGCAAGAGCATAGGGAGAGGTACTGAAAGTTCGAAATCAGTGAAGGAAATAAACTTGACCATAAGCGAAAGAAATGAAGAAACGTACAGGTCATGTGCATCGTAAGCATTGGCTCCCCCTGAAGACTTCTTCTGTCTTTTCCTTCCCTCCTTTTCTTGTTCTTCTTCCTTCTTTTTTTTGTCTTCCTCCGCTGGTCTACTGCCGTGTAACCCAGGACGATCGATGACAGCCAAGGCCGCAAGCACCAAAAGGAAACTTCCGTCGGGCCAACCCATTTTGACTTACACCCACTCCAGTGAGAAGCATTCCTTCAGTCTCATGCGGGGTGCACATCCGTAGTGAGATGCAGGCGAATGATCGGCAAGAGTTGGGAGGCCACCATCAGAGACGGGAGTACGTGTCCTGGAACTGTATATCATCTGCTCCCGCGGCTGGTTTGTCGCCGAGGGTCCCATGTGGAGTGGTATACGCAACACCATGGTAGACACCACGACATGACAAGGAGGCTTAGCAGCGGGGTTAGCAATGAGGAAAAGAAGAAAACAATCAGCAGTCTCTTCTCCGATTCAGGAGCCGCAGAGAATCATGGATCCGCATTGGAAACGGCCATGTAGGCAATGGAGGGGCCGCCGATGCAGCTACCCGCCTTGGAACACGGCCTGCCAATCAGTGAATGGAATCGCTTTAAACACAGAAGATCAAACCCACATAGGCCACATTTCATCCGGCCTGGATCCAACCTGCACACATATGATACGTGTCATGAACATGTTGCGCATCCGGGGTGGGAACGACAGAGATCGGGTCACTCTCCCTCGTCAGCTTGCAGTCTGCAAGACAACACTCTGTTGACCTCGAGGACGATCGAAGAAGGTGAAAGAAAGAAGAAGAAGAAAAGAAAAAAACGGATAGGGGGAAGGGTAGGTGGGTAGAGGGCAGCCAGGGGGATGAAGCGACCACACCACAGTGGTCGAGCCGAAGCATGCGTAATCGAATATCTTGGTAGAAAAAGACGCCACAGAGAGGATGCTGAACAGCTGCTCGTGGCTAGCTGTTACCAGAGACGGAAGCTCGATTCTATTTTGGGGGCAGGATGGATTGTAGGACGTCGAGGACAACTCGGCAATCCTTCCAGCGGCAGGGTGACTAGAGGCATATGGAGCGTCAAATCGTCTCTGAACCGTGTCGGCATGGTACCTTGACAAAAGGAACGGCGAGTGCTAGCTGATCTTGTCGGAAAGAACTCGAGATGGGTTAGCCTAGTAGCATTATCGACTTTCCCCTTTCGTCCGAGTTCGGTATCTGTTATGTACGTACTGTAATAAAAGATTTAGTCGACATTCGAATTCTGGAGCTGCCTTCTGTTCTGATGAGACAGTTTCAATGTCATTCTTTTCTCTGCAGCTTGGTTTTGCGAGCGATGAAGATTCCTGTACACGTAAAAAAAACTCGGTCATTGACTGCTTCATCGCACTCGCCAACTTGCGAAGGCATGGCCGTGTTAATGGGATCGACAGCTAGGCAACGCGGCTAAAACGTGCCGCCGGCGGGCCTATCCTGCTGCCCGGGTTCGGGGATTTGTTTGTTTGTCTGTCCGTAGTCAGACCGTCATTACGTTGCGCGCGTGGCCGCCAAGAATGCGGCCCAGACAGACTCGAACACGAAGAATACTACCGTGGCAAAAGAGGACCGTGTGAGCGTGTGAGAGGGAAACGCTGGGACTTTTGTGCTGCTTTGCCCTTATACAATTCAAAATCGTTTGCTGAAGCCGTGTCCTGGCCATCTCCTGGGAGGACGCGGGACGATATGAGGAAGCGTCGTCGGATGCATGTTCAACAGTTTCCAGGGGTTCGGCCCCCTTATCTTCCACATGCCGCTCCGGGGAGACGTTGAACCCTTTGAGCCGCCTCGCCAAATTCGGAACCACGTCCCTTGATTCCCCCTGCCAGCAGCTCCTGAGGAGACCGTGTCCTGCAATCCGTCATCTTGTGGTACGATTGAAACTTGTCCTTCGTCCAGCGCCAGGGAAAAAAAGGTTCTGTCTCCGATTTCGTTCGGCCTTCTCGAAGACCACTGTCTGTGGGGACACCGGAGTTTCCAAACATGCAATTTGTTGCCATTCACTGCAATTCTTGTCCCCTTTTTTCCCCTTCTTTTTCGCCGACAGCTTGCCGCGGGCGCCTGACCGAGGTTGCACTCCGTAGGTAGCGTTCCAGGATCTGCGGAAACACCCATGGTTCGTTCGTTTGCTTCAGGTCAATCCGGTGGATGGAACATCAACTTTACCATCGCCGCGAGGGTGTCGAGGGGTGTGGGTCGCTTGTTGGGGAAAGCTTACGATCAAATGCCATCAATGCCGTCGATCAACCAGGTAGGGCTGCGGCCGATTGTTGAAACAGGCCCGCCCCGCGGCGCGGAATGCATGGATATTGATTATCCTCCACCCCCTTCTTTTTGTTCGCAAAGGAGGCTTGTCCGAGGCCCGAAGTGTGGCCGGCAGTTCTCACTCACATACTTGTTCATAACATCGACGCCCTCATTTCTGCCCATTTATTGATTCACTGCCCTGGCCAGTTATCGACTCGGCCGGCGATTGGCGCTCGGACTGTGCCTCCGCATTTTACCATTGCAGGCGTATGACCAGCACTACGTATGGAGTATTATGGACCACAAAGCGTTTATCCATTTGAGCTGTGTTGTTGCGTTGCGCGTGGTCGTTTTGGCCGGCCCAGCTTCCTTCATTTCCAACAAAGTCATTGACCCCACAAGAAGATTGGGCTGGGAGCGAAAGGAAGAATTTGGTCTCGGGATCGTGCATGGTTTGAGCTGACCGTTTGTACTTCGTAAATGAGCTGGTAGGTTCGTCCCCTTCAAACCTTGCAGCATCGAACCAAGATCTAGGTCCCAGCCAGCTGCTTGCCGGAGGAGGCCTAGCGGGTGATTGTGATTTTTCTTGATGCAGTTCTCAAGTGCCATTACGGGATGTCCAGTCTCTGTGGCCAGGAAGTGGATATGGGGCAGGGGACCTCGTGCAAGCCTCCTCTTCATTAGCTCACAACCTCCTGCCAAATCTTAATAAGTATGCGTGTGGCTTCCGCGGGTGTCAGGGATTTGTGTTCGACGGGTGTCCGGCTTTGTGGTACTCAGTCAAAATCCTCCTCATAAGGGCGCCATCGAGGCCCGAGTAAGGGCGTCTGTGCGTGTGCAGATGTGTGAACCATGTAGGCTACTGCCGGCCCCTATGCGATGCTGGGGTTGTTTGATGGATTCTGTCTCGCAGGCTTGTCATCCTCACATTGAAAACCTCAGCAGGTACTCCGTGAGACGCGGGGTGGAGGATGAGAACAGGTGCATACCTTGTGGTCGGGGGATTTTGAAACCCCAACATCCACTCTGGCGGGCTGGGCCTTGGCAACTCGACCACCAACCAGCCAAGGGCAAGTCGTTTGAAACATGCTGCCAACGGCAAGCCGTTCGTCATGTTGCTTGCCCCCACCCAATAACCATCACACCTTCACGAGGTCTGTATGTACCAAGTATGTTAGCGGGGAATGCCAAAGAGCGATACTCTACCACGGATGGAGATGAAGCTCCTGTATGCACGCATATGTATCTCTACCATTGTGCCGAGGTGCTCTTGGATTTGTAAAAGGAAATCTCACCTGAGAGCAGAGGGTGCCAAATTAAAGGCGTTCCGTATCATCCGTCAGGGTATTTACCAGATGCCGCCACTGAGATCTTTCCTCCACCATTATCCAAAGGAAACGCGGTCCTGCTACCCTGGAGTTGGCACCGTCAGCATGAAGAGCTGATAATTTTTTGGACAATTGGACACTGATGTGTGTGTATTCCCGTCCTGTCCGTTGTGTCACCGGGAATTTCCGTTGGCAAAGGTGAACCCTATGATGCTGGTCCTGCCTCGTGCCGGTTGGGATCATCTGTTTTCGTACGGGATTATAAAGAATGATATGATAGGAAGCATCCGTACTTACCTAACTCGAAAATACAAAGTGGATCCTGATAACCAGGGAAAGAAAGGTACCTAGGCTTGCTCACTGATCAGATCTTCCTGGGCAAGGTTGGTTCCAACCTTGTCGGGCCAGGCCTTCTTGTGCCAGTGGCAGGCCCTTGTGTTGGTTGTTTGTTGGTCCGCTGGAGCAAGGGGGGATCCCAGATGGACGTCGACACGCCGAGAAGAAAAAGAAAAAGACAGGGGGTTTCCATTGTATGGGGTCTGACCTTCAAGGCCTTGACATTAATGAATCTTCGGCCGAAACACATACGGAAGAGAGGAGACCTGCGGAAGTTGTCTCCATGCGACGATAGTAGAGCATCGCCCGAGTCCCAACTTGTGATGTGCTGGACGTCTTTGGTCCTTCGTGGACGAAGATGTTGAATATGCTCCGTAGAGGCGACCAAGTTGGGATTTGTGAGGGTACCGGACGCGGTACCTCGGAACCGGGTGATGGGCTTCGGTATGCAAACTGGGTGTGCTCGGTGCAGCCACCCTTGTGCAGAAGAACTGCACGTTGTGCTTTATGCTTTGTGCTGTGCGATGGGTCGCGGCGTCGAGCTGTCCGACTCTCCGGACTGTCCGTTCGAGGGAGACAGGCTAGGATTGTTGCATCTGGAGGGACGGGAGCAGCAGGAACCGCTGTCAAGACAGGAGTGCCCGTGGCCCATGGCCATAATTGGGTGGGCGTGTGGTGCCACATGTAAGTGAAGGCCTTCGTTCTCCTTTTGAGCGCATCCTACTTCGTATGTTAGCCCTCATCTCTCTTCCCTGGCTGATCCCCCGCCATCCCACCCATTTGTGGTTTTCCTCTTCCCTCCCATAATTTTTTCTTCTCTTATCTTCTATACTACACTGAAGCTGTCCCCCATCATCCGGCGCCTCCTTCACTCCATATCACTTCTTTTCTTCCTTGCTGGCTCACCTATACTCTTCCATGTTCTCGCGAGGCGACCCGACAAGGTGAAGCAGTGGAATTTCGAGGTGTTGTTGAAACATCTCCCATCCGGATCAGTCGGCCATCGGAAGATTCTCGATTCTTTCAGAAAACGCCATCGACCTCTTTATTAGTTTGACCGGACCCTGCCTGTTGAACGACGAAGCAGAGAAGAATCTGGGCCCCGTGCAGGAGACACCCGTTGACAACGAGAGCCGGTGCAGAAACGGCGAGAAACGAGGCCAAATGTGGCGTTCGTGAAGTTCCACCCCCCAAAAAAATCATTCGAGCCAGAGTGCCGTCTCAAAAGTGTCAGAGCCACATGCACCAAGGCATGTCCATGTTCCAAACACAGGCGGCGCCCTTTGCGGCGGCCTTTTACGGTCTGGCTGGAGGGTCGTCGTCGTCGTCCTCCTCCTCGTCACAGTCCAAGGTACCGTATGACGGTGCACTCGGGCTGGCTGGAGACTTGTCGGTCTACGGACTTGCGCCGTCGCCGATTGGACTGCTGCGGGCAGGTGACGGCGGGGCAGACAGCGGCTGGGCGGGCGATTGGGAGGGGTCCTGCACCGGATCTGGACCCGGATCTGGGTCTAACGGTGCTGCGCCAAGCAGCGGGCCTCTGTGCGAGCCTTTTGATAACTGTGATCCTTCAGCAACCGGGTCAATGTTTGAAGACATCGGAGGGGGCGATGATGCGTATTCTTCTGGAAGGGGACTAAAGAGAGAATGGACGGAGGGAGGAGAAAGACCAGAAGAAAGAACAGCAATTCCAAGAACCAGGGCGTCAGGCGATGTTGCCGTGGTGGTGGCGGCGGCGGCGGCGGCGGCAGGACCAACCCACAGAACGGGTACAAAGACTGGTACAAGGTCAGGTACAACAAGTCCAAGTACAAAGCCAGGTACCCGACCACGTACACTTTCAACAAGGAGCACGAAGGAAGGGACTGCCCATGACCCTAATGTTCTTACACCTGCTCCGGCGTCTCGAAGGGGTACAGGGCATATAAAGAGGAAGGGGCAACACAGGCAGCCAAGTCGTCAGCCATACCACCAGCACCATCAACCATCGCCTTCATCGCAGTCGCCCCTTCTACATTGGTCCCCTACCCAGGTACCATCCTCGGGTACTCTTTCCCAAAAGGATTCACCTCTGCCTCTGCCTATAGCCAGTGCGACCGACACCAGCAAGGGTGACGCCACCAGCACCAACTTCAGCGGCAACAGCAGGCAGCCACAGGTACTCCCGGGTCCCAACGTCCAGCAGCAGCAGCACCAGAACCAGAACCGAAATAACCAACAGCAACACCTTCGGCGAAACCAGCACCAGCGCCAGCAGGCTGCAGTTACAGTTGCAGCACATAATTATCCCTATCCCCATACCAATTCCCATACTCATTCTCACTTCCACAACCCTTGCCATCTTTTGCTTCATCGCTCATTCACTCACCCACCCACACCCTCATCGTCTTTCGAAGTCCCGCAGCAACATCCACAGCAATTCCAGTTAGAGTTTCAGCTCCAACTCCAGCAACAGCAACAACAGCAGCGGAACCTGCAGGACCAAAGCCAGAATCTGGAGCCACATCCACAATATCACCACTATTCGTGGCAATCGCCAACTTCCAACGACAACGGTCAGCAATTCCAGCAATTACAGCAACCCCAACGTCTCAGCAACAACCAGAGCCAGACTCAAAACCTCGCTTTCGCTCACGACTTTCATACACCAAGCCCGGCTGCCTCGGCCGCTTCGTCTTGCTGTACCGCCAACACCACCATTACCATAGACACGACAACGACCTCCTCCACTCGGTCTACCTCCACCACCACTACCACCAGCCCACCGTCTGTCAACTCGAACACCCCCGCCCCCAACCCCCAAATTGCTCCGACTTCAGTCGTCTCTTGCACTACGGCTTATAACAACTGCTGTGGCTCCACCGACATGACGGGCGACCCCAGTTCCGAACCTGCTGTCCAGGATGAAGTTGCCGCTCAGCATTGTGCCGCCGAACGTTACGAACCAGTGCTTGAGGTAAGCTGAGCGATTTTTCATACCTGCCAGCCTACGTCGTCTCCCTTCTGACATTCCGAGCCATTTGTCAACACGGGCTTTGCTAACCTATGCCAAATGAACAAAAACAGGGGCCCTTGGTGGGACACAAGCTGAGCAGCGATGTCATCACCGCTGAGTACGCGAAAGCAGACCCCGTCTACGTTGAGAAGACAGTTGTAAGCTCGCTCCCTTTTCCTGTTACATCTTTCCCCGTCGTGCCCCGTGCAATGGCTAACCGAGTTGACGCTTTGCTTTTATTCCCTCCTCCTGTAGAATCTACCTCAGACCTATTCTCATTTTCGACCAATCCAAGGTGACGGTAACTGTGGCTGGAGAGGTGAGTGTCGGTCATGATTTATGTTCTGTCTTACATATGACATCCCCGTCACATTTGGCAAACGCCCTTCTACTCCGTATACCCCGCATCTCCATCTTCCACTCCCGTTCCCGCTGCCATAGCATTGGCACCTGTACTACAGAATGGGCTGCGATGACTAGGTATCCGGGAATGGAATAATCCCCGAGCCCTATATTGTGCATCGGCAAAACAAAACGATAAGTCGGTCGCGATGAACTTGTGAAGGCGATGAGACGCCATTCCCATTTCACGTGCAGCCCCTTGTCGTTTCCTTTTTGTGAAAAAAGAAAATGAATGCAAAAAAGGAAAGAAAGAGAAAGAAAAGGACCGGGAGGAACGGAGAAGGGGGAAAATCCCCCCCAACGCATTCACCAAGTTTGGCAACCGAAGACAGAATGCTGATATAGTTCCATAGCGATCGCTTTCAGTTACTTTGAACATCTTGTGCTTGCCAGCGATCCGGATAAGCTTCTTCAGGAAATCGCCCGTCTTACAAGCCTCAACAACTACATTTCCAATGTTGGTGGATACGACTTCACCTTGTTCGAGGACATGGTCCAAGAAACCGTGACCTTGCTCAAGGAGGTGGCCCAGCTCTCAGGCGAACCCCTTGCAGCCATGGATCACCTGCTCAAACGTTTCAATGACCCCGAATGTGCGAACGGCATCATCTACCATATGCGACTTCTTGCTGGCTCCTGGCTCAAGGGCAACGTCGCCGAGTACGAACCCTTCTTCGTCGGTGACGGCGGTCTCCATCACTGGTGCCACGTCAACATCGAATCCCCCAACCGGGAGATCGATCATGTCGGCATCACCTTGCTCACCGCCATCCTCCTTAAGCCCGCCGGCTTCGTCCTTGAAATCGCCTATCTCGACCGGACCCCCGGGACCCAAGCCAACGTCTACCGTTTCCCCGAGGAAGCCACTGGACAAGATGCGGACAACCTGGGTCCCATAATCTACCTGCTGTTCCGACCTGACCACTATGACATCCTCTATAAGGCCTTGCCCGAAGAGGTGCCCCTCTCGCGCACAGCTGGAGCCGTACCAGTATCAGATCCTTCACCTCCACCTGGTGCTGGAAATTTGCAGGTGAACCTAGTTACCTTCGCCCACCAACACCACCAAATTATCAGTGCCCCGCCTTCCCTGCGTGACTTTTCGATAGTTGATTACACCGAGCTGGCTCGGCTTCCCGGCTCTGGCGGCCCGCCTTCCGTCATATCCTCATCCGTGGCCGCCCCGGCGGCACCCTCTCCGATGCACAATGCATTCAGCGTCTCGCCTCAGAGTCCCTGGTTGATGGACCCCTTTCCCGAGTCTGGCATCCCACAGGCGATAGCGTCTCAGCCGCAACCGCTGCCGCCGGCTGTGTCAACCCAGGCGCTTCCTCATCCTCCACCACAACCCCTCGCCCCCGCGGCGCAAGCGAATCCGACTAAGACGGGCCAGACGGTCGACTACCAGCTGCGTTTCAGCTCGCAGTGCTTCCACCTCAAAAACTCCCCGGTGGAACGGTCCCTGTTGAGTCAGAACTCGTTTCCCGAACCAGGCTTCACCACAACCATGTTCAAGAACAGCCACTTCAACAAAGCGCATTACAACAACCCGCAGTTCCACCCGGAGCAATGGACACCGGACGACTAAGCGCTGGAGGGGGAGGAATGCAGCAACAACAAGAAGCCTAGGCTCAAATCTATTCACTAAATAACACAACCGCCGGGAAGGGTGTGGACAGTGCGAAGAGCGTTGGATGACATCAGGCTGATGTCCAGCCTGGTTATGAAGATAGGCCCCAGAATGGTGACGGGTGGTTTGGCCAGGTCCAGGTCCAGTGTCTGGCGGATCGCCTTTTATCGGTCTATCTTTTAGATCTCTCGACAGATCTCGGTGGTTCACGCGAAAGAGTGGCATATCGTTTCGTCGGGAGAAGGGTGCACATGGTAGTAATATTTGAGGGATCGGAACTTTGTGGCTTCGGGCCCGAGTGAGAACAGCTGATGTCGCTCAGCGGCGTGGAACATGACATCGTGTACTATGTGCGGAAACCGAGATGAAACAGATGGGTATGGTGCGACCATGACTGAATAATACACAAGATTTATCTTAGAACCGTCCCATTAGATTCTCAGCCTTACCTTGGGCTGCAGTGTATAAAGGCGGTAATAATGACGACACACCGACGGTTTCTCCAAGAGATGAACACGTATGTCATCGCAGAGCAAGCATGCAGTGAGGTGCGCAATCGCGTTTGTATGCAGTGGCCCGAGAGGATGTAGATCATCATATCGGAGGGGATTCTCGACTCGTCCTCTGATGCATTGCCGTTGCCGTCCTGCATTAAAGCGCCTTGCGGTTGCAGCCAACAGGACAGAGCAAGAGAAAAGAGGGAGGAAGACTCGATCGGTTTTATTTATTGTGGCACACCGGTCTCAAGATGCAGCAGTGGTGATGATGGATTCGACATCGACCGTAGTGGAGCGGACCCGCCCGTCCAGGCCGATGCGGCTGGACAGTTCAGCGGCCCAGCGGCGCGCCATGTCCTCGGCGAAGGCGGCGGCGATGCCACTTGGGGCGGCGGCGGCGGTGGTGGTGGTGGTGGTGGTGGTGGCGGCGGCGGGCGAAGCGGCGGCAGCGACGGCAGCAGCCCAGCGGCCCGGGGCGATTAGGTCGCGCACGCTGGCGACGCCCTTCCCGTCGAGACCGCAGGGCACGAAGCGGGCCCAGGGGTTGACGGAGTCGGGGCCGCGGGTGGCGACGTCGAGGTTCAGGGCGGTGCCGAGGCCGGTGACGTGGCGGCGGAGGTGGACGCCTAGGGCGGCGATCTTGCGGTCTGTGGTTAGGTCTGCTGGTGTGGGTGCCGCTGTTGCATCTGTTGCATCTACGCCGGCGGCGGGGTTGCCGTTTTCTTTGTCGCGTGCATGTTGTTCGCTTCCTCGACGGACCCAGACGCCCGGGTCGGCTTCGGAGAGGTGGGTTTGGATGCCGAGGTGCGGGTGGGCGAGGAGCAGGGCGCGGGTGGTTTGTTCGAGGAGGCGGGCGTAGCAGCGGACTCTGAAGTTTGTGTGGAGGGGGCTGCGGAGGTCCAGGATGGGCCAGAGGACGATTTGGCCGGGGCCGTGGTAGGTGGTTAGGCCGCCGCGGTCTGTTTCGAGGACGAGGGGGATGTAGTCTTTTGTTCCTGGTTCTTCTGCTGGCGCGGAGGGGTCTGTCCCCATGGTGTTGGGGAGGGGGACGCGCAGGGGCTGGCGGAGACGGGAGGCCTGGGTGGGCGATATGGGTGTCTGGCGGCGGCCGAGGGTGTAGGTTGGGGACGGGGTGAAGGAGAGGAGTACGGGGGACGGGGCGGAGGTCGTCGGAGAGGTGGTGGCGGCAGCTTTATAGGACAGGAATATCTGGCGAATCTGGGATTGGATCTCGGAGGCAACGGCGTAGGGAGGGAACGGGTCTTGGGAGGAAGAAAGGTGGATGTGGTTTAAGAAGACGGCGGGGGATGCGTCATGTTGGATGAGGTCGACGACGCGGGTGCAGTTCGAGAAACATCGCCGAGCGAGGTTGAGGTGACGGGGATGTAGGCGATGGGGCAGGGCACGCATTGGGCCGGGCGGTAGAGGAGAGAGATGTTGTGGGGGAGATATTCGGAGCTACCTTGTGGAAGGAAATGGGCGGTATTCGGATGTTGTGAGTTGTGATAATGGAGGGTCCATGTCGGACCCGATTTCCGGTCATGGGAGACGGAGACTCTATCGGGCCGGTCGATCTCTTATTACATAAGCCTGCGATCTTGGTGCTTACAAAGCAAAAAAAAAACAAGTAATTACTTGATTAGTACGAAGTAGTTCCCTGGAGCTGACAATAAGCAGTAAGAACCTTATTCTTAAGGATAAAATTCTCCGAAAAATTCATACTGAGCTCGGTACATATACATCTCTTGGCGAAATAGGGCAGGGAAAAACACTTAGGGCGAGGTTCTAACGTGGTAGCCGCTCAGGGGAGGTTTTCAGCGGTGACACGGTGGGCTGTTAACCGGGGCCTCCCAGGTCACGAATAGCACTGGCGGCCCTTCCCCTTTCCTTGTATATCCCTCAGCTGAGCTTGACGGGATGTGTTCCGATCGAATGACAAGCCCGCATTTATTATACAAGGTACAACTCGTAGAAAGAAAAGAAAAGAAGCTCGGGAGCGAACGATTTTGCCATCTGGGCATGGCGTCATGTATGTACACGTATGTGCTACACTAGTGTAGTGCTGTAGGACTTTGCCACAGCCGAGTGAAACGGTGCGTCTCCCAAGACCGCTTACTGATTAGTGCTAAGAAACGCGCGTCTCAGTCGAGAGGAGGGATGTTCGCATGCGGTCGAAGCGTGCGTTATGACGGCCGTTGTTGGTGCAGCATTGGTAAAAAGGTTACTGAGTTGGGTAATGAATTGTACGAAGCAATAATCCCAACTCAATATGAGGGATGACGTATCTTGATGGGCTGAACCGTTGGGTTTTTAGCTGCTAATAATGACCGGCTGGTAGTCTCTGGATAGCTGAAGTAATTTGGACGGAAACGTTGTCCAGCTCTCCTTGGTTCAGCTCTCGGCCTGCTCGATCTCGACATTGTCACAAGGAAGAAAAAAAGAAGCGGGCTAATAAGATGAATATGAATCGGAACTCACATCACTCAAGGGCCGCCTACTATTGGTCATTTCGAGCTCGTCCGTCTCTCTTAAAAGAAAGAAAAGAAAGAAAAAGGGAAAGAAAAAGGAAAAGAAAAAGAAAAAGAAAAAGCGAGTAATTGGAGGGTCCAAGTGGCATCGCTGATTGGTACACCATCTGCAGTGTGTCGTCATGTGCCGTCCCCATAAAAATGGGTACCTCGGTAGCTTCGGTGCACGCACCGATTACACTGTATCGCATGGATGGACGTAATGGACGTAATAATGGGCGGCCTTTGGCTGCTTTTTCCTTCCTCTCCACTTCTTCTCCCCATCCCTCCCCCATCCCCATCCCCCAAAAGCCCCCCAGCCTTCACACCGTCGTGGCACTACAGCATCAATCATTACAACGTACATATTCGGCTGCCATGGACGGTCTGCTACCGAATTTCCATCTCCGGGTTCCATACTGGTAATTAATTGGTGACTACGACTTGACCCAACGACCGTCGTCCACAAACCGAGACCGAACCCGACAGCGAAAGCGAAAGCGAAACCCACATCCACCGAACTCACCAGACATACCAAACATAGACGATCATCCCTCCGTCACCACCTCAATAGCTTCATCGACTCTTGCGGTGCCTGTCAATTCCTTCTCTTTTTTTAACCCGCATTCTACTTCTTTCTAATCATCTTTTCTAAACAACTCTACGATAATTCTTAACCACTAATACGCCATCATCTGCCTCTTTCGCGCAGATTATCCTCCCTGAAGGTGAGTAAACCCATACTCAACAGGTTACCGTTCCCATCTGTCTCCTTTCCATCAACCTGGTTCTTCACCCAAGACGGGACGACCGTCCTATTTTGTTGCTTTTTTTCCGGCATCCCGACATCCCTCTTCAATCCGTTCAGCTATAAGCACCGATCGAATTGAATCGCGCGGTCGGTGAAACAACTCAGCGCCAATGTCTCGGTCGTTTGCCAACCCGTACACCCCACCCGCCCAGCCACATACACACACACATACCATACATTAGCCAACACGAAAGACCTCCCAACCCGACTACCTGTTACCTGCCTGAGCCCTGTCATTCTGCCGCCCTTGTCATCACCTACACCGTTAACTCCTTTTGCTTGCCTCACCGCTTTCACTCTCGCGTCACCCGGCTGGAGTCATTCCCGCTAATATTTCCATGGTAGAGTCAGCACCCACTCGAAAGAACAACGCATACTTTCTTGCCGCCCCGGGCCGTCCTTCTTTCTTTCTATCAACCTCGCTACTAGCCCACCAGCTGCTAGCTCCCCACGAGAGAAGTCGGCACTCGCACTCTCCTACTCCTGATAAAACCCCGAACCCGAACCGAACATCACGACACTTCCAGCGATAGAGCACAAATACCACCGCAATGACCGCAAGGCCCATCATCGCAGGCCTCGGCCTCCTTCTCCTCTCAACCACCCTGCTCTTCCTCTTCTTCGTCATCCTCTCCGGCGTCCGCGACCACACGCCCCTCAACCAAACCTACTTCCTAGAAGCCGACACCTCCGGCATCACCGGCGCCCGGGACACCTCGCGATGGACCTACTTCTACGTCTGCAATGAGCGCAACGTCGACTGCTGGGGCGCCTGGCCCGCCCCTGCCTTCGGCTGGGCCTGGCACGCCAACCCCGACAACGTCCCCGACGGCCTGTCCGGCTCCCACGGCGGCGACACCACCAGCCATTCCTACTTCTACATGTGGCGCTTCAGCTGGGTCTTCTACATGATTGCCCTCTTCTTCGTCGCTCTTGCCTGGTTCAGCTCCTTCCTTGCCTGCTTCGGCCGTCTGGGCTCTGCCGTTGCCGCTCTCCTCTCTTCCATCGGCCTCCTGTTCCTTACCATTGCAGTTTCTCTCATGACGTATGTTTCCCCCTTGTTCTTCCGTGTCCTCTCCCTTGCCTCCTCCCTGGACACGCAACATGATGTGATCTTCCCTATAAAAAAATTCAAAAAATAACAATAAACTAACCTCGGTCTCTCCCTTCACAGTGCCACCTTCGTCCAGGCTCGAGACGCCTTCCGTGCCGCCGGCCGCGACGCCCACCTCGGTCCCTACGCCTTCGGCTTCAGCTGGGCCTCCTGGGCCGCCCTCCTCATCGCCACCGTGCTCTTCTGCATCGGCATCCGCGGCCGCGACGAGGGCCGCGGCTGGGGTCGCCGGAGCAAGAGCACCCGCTCCCGCCGCTCCCACGACCTTGGCAACCACCGCGTGAAGGACGACTACTCGTAGGTCGAGGAGTTGTTCTCCGCGTGTCGGCGCCAGCTCGACGAAAAGAAGCAGCAGCAGCAGCAACAGCAGCAACAACAACAACAGGAACAACAACAGGAACAGTCGCCAGCAACGATTGAAAAAGGAATGGGTTCTTTCCGCCACAACAACGACGGATCGAAGTAATACATCTTGTTGGTACGAAGAGCAGAGGGGGAACCCCCAAAAGAAAGCTATGAAAAGCGACCGGGAGAGGAACAAGGGTATACTGGAACGCAGGAGGGAGGTTAATTGGTTGGGCGCGACAACATTTACGACCCAGGCAAATATGAGTGACGGATTTCCAGGACTAAAAATAAGCAATGAAAGGCGTGCACAGTAATTGCCGAAACATGATGGACTTTGGTATCACTTTACCGGGAGCAAAGGAAGAAAGGGAAGACAATATTATGCCTCGGGAAAACGGCGTTTCATCGCAAAATGAGACACACCATCTTTCACAAAAACGTAATGAGACAAACGTGTTCCTACATCCGTCCGATTTCCCTCACCGTGACGAGACTGGTGAGACTCGTTGGTCCGTACTCTGAATCGGCCTGGATAATTCACTCTATTCCAATGCTACCTAGGTATAAAAGCAGGGAGGCCAGCGAGTTGAGCTCCGCGATCCCGCACAGAAAGGTGACGTCTTGTCATCACTCATAAGGCTTTGGCTAATTCAAAATGTCGACCAACATAATACGAAGAGTTCGCGCAGGACAACCTCGTCCATATGATATTGTCTGGTCTATCCAGTCCTTTCGCTCCCATGAACGCTACATCAAAGAAGTCATGCGAGTCTCATCATTCATTTCTGTTATGTACTTTCTCCTTCAGTTCTCTCTTCTCCCTTCGTCCTGCCCCCGCCGTCGTGCCCGCTGTCCGCGTCAGCCCATTGATGGACGATGCAAGTCTAGTGGAAACCCGCTGAATTTCATGAGAGCCCTAAACGCCAGGAATAAAAACAACATGTCGCACCCATAGCGTGTACCCGCCCAAGTCGTCCTCAGTGTTCGGCAGCCCCATGGTCGCGGTGCGTTGCGGTGCGTTGCGGTCCGGTCCGGTCCAGTTCCAACCGCATATACGAATCTTTTCACGTTCCCAGGAATGCAATGACGGTTGGAAAACAATGATCCAAAGACGTCGGGGTACGAGAAGCCAACAGGAGCCTGACTCCGGGAGCCGGTTGATTCACATCCCGTTGCATGGGAATGTCTCTTCGTCCTGCGTGTAGAACTTGCCTCAGGGATTCCCTTAAGGCAACTTCCAGCTTGCTCGTGAAATTTTGGTTCGGTATCGTGGTCTTGTGCGACGACCATGGCTGTAACTGATTTTCCCCTCGCGCCACTTTACATGGCCGCAGCTGGACTAACCGCCGCAGGACTGACATCAAACGGTGCGGCATGCAATGCCGGCCTTTGCGGGGCACCATCGGAGACGCCTTTCGCCTTGCGCTCAAGGATCATTTTGACCCAATCGGCTACTTCCTCGTCCTCTGTCCCGTGATTGAGATGCATTTTACCCACCGCGTCGGCGACAGCATCAGATTCGTCGCCTTCCTCCACCTCTTCTGTGATTGTCTCAAACTTGGACAGATGAGCAATCCAGGGGTGCTGGAGGAGCATGGCGTACGTGGGGCGCTCCTTGGGCACTTTGTTCAGACACCGCGTGACGAAGTCGCGTGCCATGTCAGAGTAGTTGTCTGCGGGAAGGTCTGGTGGGTCGCCCTCGACGATGGCCTGGGAAAAAGAAGTCAGCTAAAATACAACAAAGTCGGGAACAAGGCCATCCTGGGCATCAGGGATCGGGCCGGGTTGGTGCGTATGATAAAGGGCACGGAAAAACACTCACACTTAACTGGCTGAAAATGGTCGACGATACCTCCGGCGGATAGGGGTACCGTCCCATGGCGCACTCGATGATGGTCAGACCCAAACTCCAAATATCGCTCTGCACGCTATAGGTGCCGTCCGCACCGGCCGCCATGCCACCCCCAGATATCCGCTCCGGAGCCATGTAGCTTTGGCAGCCAATGTTTGTCTTGGCCATGCTGGCCACAAGGTTGCCGCTGACGCCGAAATCACAAATCTTGATCTGACCACGCGTGTTGACAAGGATGTTGGTAGGCTTGACGTCGCGATGAATGATGCTGTGGTCATCCTTGAGCGACTTGAGGCCCAGAATCGTTGAGTGGGAGATCTTCTTGAGGACATTTTCGGGAACACCGCCGGCGTAGAGCTTGTCGATGGAGCCGCCGTCCATGTACTCGATGCACATGTATACGGCGCCCTCTTGGAAGAAGGCACCGTAAAAGTCAATGATATAGGGTGAAACGCACTGATGCAGGATGACGAGCTCCCGCAGGATCGTGGTAAACTTGGTCTCTTCCAGCTCGAGCCTGATCTCCTTCATGGCCATGATGGTGCCACTGGACCCATTGTCTCGCGTAGTGATTGGGTAGATGGGTGAACCCTCCTTTGCGCCCTGGCCGCCCACACCCTGGTTGGTTAATGGGTCGGTGGCGGAATGACGGAGGCCCGCAGGCCTCTTGAAACCGGTTAGCCCGGCTCCGAAGCGCGGCTTGCGCGGTTTCGCGTGTTTAACCTTAAAGACGGTGCCATAGTTTCCTTTCCCGAGCTCGTCCAGAACCTCCACCTCGTCAAGCGATATGCGGAAGGTCTGCCCGCTGGCGAAGTCGACCCCGGAGCCGGTAATAGTCGCAGTGCCGCCGAAGGTGATCCAGCCCTTCTCCGAGTCGATGTACTTCTTGAAGTCGTTCATCTTGGACCCTTTGTTCTCACCGCCGGCGGAGCCGTCCCCACCGTCGCCACTAGGTGCAGGACCGCCACCCATGTCGGACAGACTCATCTTGGGCTTTCTCCTGCTGGAGAGACTGGCCGGGATGGAAGGAGCAGAGCGGGGCATATTGCCAGGGACAGGTCGTGCGAGCCCAGGGGGGACACCACCAGGCAGTCGCATATTCGAGGGAAGGCCGCCGACGGGCGAACCAGAGGATGCGGGCGAAACAGGAGTGTTGGCAGGGTTGGGAGGATGCTCAGTGGGGGCGGCAGATCTGCCCATGCGCTGGGCGTGAAGTGCGCGAGCCCTGGCCATGACATCGTTGACGGGACCGTTTCCCATCATGGAGACGGCGGCAGGAGGCGGGCGCCGGGCATTGCTCAATATGCCGAGCGGTGTGGACGTGGGGTTCATGCTTGGAGGATCGGAGACGGGCCGCAGAGATGGCACCTTCTTGTGGTCGGCAGCCGTCTCGGTAGGTGTACCTGCGTCAGACGAGTCGATGGAACCCGGGGTATCTGGACTGCTCAAGGCATCATAGGGGCCAGCCAGCTCGTCCGGAGTGGCCGGGAAGGAGTCGGGAGAGTTGAGACCCGACATTGTAAAGCAGACCGTGATGAGTTCTCGAGACAATAATCAGAGTGGGAGATAGTCGGAGGGTAGATGAACGGGCCTCGCAGGTTGCGATGGTAATTGATAGAGCGCCTCGCGCTCGGCTGGTAAGTTTTGGCAGTTGGACGATGATAAGTATAAGTCACCATGTGGGGAAATGGGAGCTCGATATGGATTGTTCCAGCAACAGGATATGGCACAGCGTGCGAAGCTGCTAACGACGAGAAGGAGAAATACCGTGGAGGGTTGTGGCGGCCGTGTGGTCTTAAAGCGAGGTTAGATGTACGCTAGCGATCGTGGCACAGGGAAGGTCGAGGCGGACCGGAAAGAGGAGACAAGCGCCGCAGCGAGCCGATACAAAGAGACTGCAGAGTGCAAAAAGCAGCCTGTGACTGACCGTTGTGGTTTGCGACGACAGAGTCCGGACAAGGCCGACTTCTTCTCCTGCCCGGGGTCGGCTCGAGGCCCGGTTCCGATGTGGGGAGGAACAACGGGAATACGCAGTCGATCAGTTCGCAGTTTGAATTGTCGGAGTGAAGTAGGAGGGGCTGTCGATGTATCGTTTGTTTTCCAGCCCGTTCGTAAAAAGGAGAAAGCGAGGACAACAGCGCCAGAACGGCAAGCCAGTGAGCCCAAGAGCTGCGACTAGAGCAGCCGAGTCTAGTGAGAATAGAAGGGAGTAAGAACAGGGCCTGAAAGTTTGCGGGAGCTGCGGATTTATTTATTTATTTATTTTCCTGGGGGGAAGGCGGAGGGAGTCGGTAAAGGGAACTATAGGAACTGGGTTCAGCGACCAGGCCCAAATAGGCCCAGCCCGGTAGAAAGCCTTGTACCTGAACCGACCTGGCGTGGCGCGGCGTAGGTCGCGGATTCGAACGAATATCGTAGTGACCACTAGCACGAGAGCAAAGTGGATTGACCGAATCGATGCGATTATCTCTTCCCAAGAAGGGCCTTTGGTTTGCCGACTGAGAGCCCAAAGAAGCAGAATATCTGACGTATCAAGGACTTGGAGGGATGAAGAATATTATTACCGGGAGGGGAAGAAGAAGAAGAAGAAGAAGAAGAAGAGAAGAAGCAGAATAGGAGGAAGGTGGCGGATAGGAAGCGGTGATAAGAGAGGGAGGGGGAGAGAATCGAGGATGTTGGATGAAGACGGCAGACGAGCAAGAGAAGAAAGCATACCCGGGTAGCTCTTGCAGTGCAGATTTTGGGAGTTGCACCTGCACTTGCTCCTGCACTTGCACCGATTCAAGTGTTACGAGATATTCGAATACGTACTTCACACCCTGCTTCGCGTCAAGGTATATCTCCCCGCCAATCAAACGACCTATATCCATAAGGTACACGACGCACTGTAAATTCTACCTTTCGAGAGCATCGAAAAAAAGCGAAAGAGGGGAAACGATGGCGAAAGGAGGGGTTCGCCCGACGTTTCACAGATTCACATGTACGTATTCGTAGGTACTCTACTCCGTACTCCGTACTGGACAAGGATTGGTCCAGGTGGCGTCGGGTACAGGTGTGGGTCGCTTGCCCAAGCCACAGGATGTGGGTCATCGAGGTTGCCTCAGTGTAAGGTAAGGTACCTTAAGTGGGTAATTACCTAGGTACTTGGTACAACCGCTGTTCGAGAAAACGCCATAAGGTGCGGTGATGGTCTTCAAAGCCTCTCTCTCGGGTTCAACACCGGGATTTCGAGTTTTCTCCATTCAGGTTCCAAATTCCATGGAATGGAATTCCCCGTAATCCGGGAACACCGCCCGTTATTCAAGGCTAACCACGCCGAAATATTCCACCTAATAGTAATAGAGCCAGGTACGAAGTCTGTATTGCTAAAGTTGTGCCCCTTCATGCCCCCTGGATATCAAGTACATACATGTGTACTTCGTAGTACCCTCTACTGTACGTCCTGCTCCGTACCTTAGGTATCACGGCACATGGGCAGGAGCGGGATGAGTACTCCGTACGAGTATTCAAAATATAAGGTACCTTAGGTACCTAAGGTAAGGTAAAACACGATGGTGCCGGTGTCTCCACGAGGGATTTTCTTGTGCTTTCTCAAAAAAAGAAGTAAGAAAAAGAGAGAGAGAAATTTTTAAAAAAAAAAAAAAATTGTAAGGCGAGTCACTTTCGAGAGGGTTCTCATTGGGTGCTCTCCTCGGCACAGTATTTCCCCATCCGTCAGCATGCCACATTATACCTGGTTCCTGTCGCAATGGGCCATAGCCAGGAGGTGCGTTGTACATTGTACATCTGCCGCTTTTATGCCTGGATATGGGATTTGGAAGCTGCCTTACCTTGCATATGTATGCCGGTCTCTCGATGACACATCTGCGAAGACGAAGCAAGTCCTACACGTGTAGTGTAGAATGTCATCCCACGCCATGCTCTGATCAACAGCGATATCGACAATCTATGCCTTTGAACAATTACTTGCGATGCTACCGGAACCCTGTGACTGTTGTACGAGAAGGTACCTGTGATAGATTGCGCAATGACGCCCAGGGCCGTGCTTCAGCAAAGCCGCCACTAGCCTGCCTCCGCGGCGGGACATGCCTCGGAATTAGCTCCTATTATAATGGTTTATTACCTGCAGACCCATCTCCGTTTATTCGCTCACGTATAGGACGAAGTCTGGCCTTAGCAAGGTCACCGAAACGCCTGTCATAACTTTAAGTGGACTATACCACGTACCTCGTGCCCGGCATTGGCGGGAGAGATGTGGCTCATATGTGGCTCATTCGTCTCCATGTCCCCTCCCCGTCCAATTCTGACGTCGTTCCTACATCCCCTGGTCCCATTTTCACCTTGTCTTTGGTGTCTCGCTGTTCACCCTGCATCGTTTAGCATAGGGATGTGGAACCTTTCTGGCCAATTGCTTCGTCCTCTGCCATGGTCAAAATCATTGATCCTTTGGATAACTGGGAAGAAGCATTCGATGCGAGTTCATAGAGCTGCTCCGTACGGAAAACCGAATATGAACGTTCAGAGTACCGACTGCTCCTTTGATTGCTTACGTATTTGTATAAGGTACGAAGCGGCCACTCCGCGCCCCCGACATCCCGGATCAAAATCTCCGCCTGCGGCTGAGGTTTGTTTGGTTATTCAGCCGTCCACGCTAGTAGAGTACCGTAGCTTACTTGGCTACCTAAGGTCGGCCACTTTTTATCATTCTCCTCGATGGGCTACCTACCTACCTAGGTACCCCCTCCGTAGTCCTAACAACCAATAAATCCCCACGTTCCATTTTCGTCTCCCCAGTTATTCTGACTTCTTCGCCACGGGGTCCTGTTCGGCATGAGTTACTCCCTGAAAAACGCCTCATTGGCCTGAATGCGACTGGAGCCCCTTCCGCTTACCAATAACAGCAATCCTTCGCTTCGGCATTGTGTCCGCCATATGGTCAACACTTCACTAGCCACGTAATGCTCCCGCCCCCTGCCCCCTGGACTCATCCCCAAACCACCAATGTCAATTGCAATGTCGGATACACTGCCTGGTCCTGTCGTTCCACGTTGGCGTTGACGAACGCCACTTTAACACCACGCCACTTCATGCCAACATCTATGTACAGGGTCCTGTTGCCCGACAAAATGCTCTACCCGCAGCATACGGCACATGTCTATGGTGCTCCGACCGTAATCAGTGCGTGGATCTGTACGGCGCACACACATCTTTATCAAAGGTGCGACGGGCGGCCCCAACTCGTCAGGCCTATACGGAGTTACGGACAACTGGTACGGAGTAGATCTTAATGTAAGTAATCGAAGTCAATTCAGGGGCAGTGATATACAATCCTCTCTATGCACTGATTCGTCCAAAGCCCGGACTTGATAGAGTACGAGTACAATGCGTTATCTCTGCCCAAGGACTACACCTTGGCATATAAATTTAGTAGGTTATCAAAAGCAGAGGGGAAACCTCATCCAAGGGGGGAAATCAAGAGGGTTGCTATAAGTCGACGCAGAATCAGGACCGCCGGGACCGAGTCTCCTACTCTACACCCCTTGGCCTTTCTACAATTTGGCCAAGATGATACGGAGTAGTCCGATAATCAAGAATTTTGGCTGTATCTTCCATGGCCCATGTTCTCCCAAGTCCTTTGACTTGGGATGGCTGTTGCAATACGAAACAGCCTCAGACTCTCGATGTAAATTAACTTTCGTGGGCTGAACGCCTCCACATCATCCGAGGTACTCAGAGGCAGGAGTAACTTCGTTTCCTTCTGATCTGATGCCCTGGAAAAGCCGCACAAGCCCTGCGAGAAAAGTAGATAATCTTTGGCTCTACCTGGACCCTATCTCCTCCTGTCCATGCAGACTATAATAAGACGTGAGATCAAGAGATTCCGCGCAGAGATATCTGACAGGACGACGTTTGATATTCGACCCGACCCGAATTTGACCTGCTTTCAATAAGCACCCAAAGTAGGGAAAACCAAACATAATCGCCGTGTCTGCTCCCCATCATGGATAAGGTGCAGACAGAGGGATAATTGGCCGGTGAAAGCAACACGGAAAGACTGAGGTGGCAACCTAACCACCCAATATCTTTCGCAAAATCCGAACAAGTCGTCAAAGAACAGATCTCCTAGAGCTTAATTGCCCCCATTACGACACGAACAAGCTGAAGAGGAAGGTGCCGAGCGACCGGAGATGAACCAATAACCCCTTTCTCGCAAGAAAGAAAAAGAAGAAGTGGCTCTGGTTTTTTTTTTTTTTTTTTTCTTTCAGGTCGTGAAATCACAGCAACAAAGACTTTACTTGCTGGGATAGGCTTCTGGTGAATTCCAGAATCCAGCGTTCACTTAAAGAAGTTCTGCCTTCTATCGCTTTCAGGTATCGTTTCCCCCCTCTGATAGACAGATAAGGTCATGGAAAACTCACTAGAAACAGACAAGAATGCTTGGGGGCCATCTCATTGCCCTACTCGAGAACATTGCAGCCTTGGGCAACCAAGAGATAAACGAGTCTTACGAAGCCATCCAGAAGTTGTTCCTCAACATGAACGGAGCCCAAAAGGAGGGATGGGTGCGCTCGCGCGACGATGAGGACGCCAGAGCCAAGGTAGCATCAGTCCGCGGGTTGGCTGGGGAGATCCGCTCCTACAATGTCGAGGTGGGAGCTGCCCAGTTCCGGGAAGAGCGCCGCAAGGCCGAACAAGTCATCGCCAGAAGGAACGCCGAACGTGCCATCCAGCGACTGCGGGACAGCGAGCGCGCCGCCGCCCAGGCCCACGAGACGCGTAAGGCAGAGGAGGTAGCGGAATGCAAAGCCAAAGAAGCATATGAACCGAGAAACAAACTATTCTCCGAGGGACTAGCCAGAGCCAGAAACAAACAAGAGGCGCTGAAACGCAGAGCCGAAGAAGAGGAGGAACAACGCAAAGCCGAAGAAGAGGCGGAGAAATGCAAAACGGAAGAAGAGACAGAGAAGAAGGCCACCGCCGAGAAGGACGTGGCCGAGTCCGCCCGTGGAACCGGCCTGCTCCGGAAAGTCCTTGACAAGGCTTTCAGGCGCTCCCCCTCTCCCGCTCCCGCTCCCGCTACTGCTACTGCCCCCGCTCGCGCCGCCACCCCCGAGGAGTACCGCAACACAGCCGCCGTGCCTGACGGCGGGAAGAGCCTCCGGTTCGTGGTGTCGACTGCGAGCCCTCTGACCACGGAAGACGACGATTCATACGACGACGCCTACCTCTCCCTGTCGGAGATTGCCGCGGACCGTATCTGGGAGCAGAAACAGAAGATCAAGGTTGATAAGGACGGCAACGCTCATGACGGAGATTGGCTCGTTGTATACGCGCGAGTCACTGCTGACCAGGGCAGTGGTCGTGACTAAGGTACTAAACGACCTAGCGTCTTGTCAGGCCCCCTTTCCGATATTCTGGGGATGAGTGTCAGATATGGTAATATACGGTTGCGATGGTGCGTCGACTTGGGAGTTTGAGAAAGGGTTTAATACGCTACCTGCCGAATTTCTCTGGCAAAGAAGTCGCTATTACGGAGTAGCTACCCTGATATGCCCACACATTAAAGTAGTAACACAACACGCATTTCGCAAAATCGGAAATCCAAATCGGATACGTGCGCGGCATCTCCTCGATGGGGACACTTGTGAAAGAATTGGGGAAATCACGTGATGAGAATCGTTGTGCGAGTAGTGAGATCATTGTACAGTAGACCGGAATTGGCAGAGAATAATAAAGAACAATATCAGTTGTTTCGCCAGGGCGTCCAGTATGCTACGTGGCAGTCGTGTACTCCGTAGGGCGAATGAATGAATCAGGTAGACACGCATTCTCTCGACGATGCACGGAGCGTTTCGTAACGTGTACGGATACACTGGTCGACGTTGGGCGCAGATGACGCCTTGCTGCTAAAAAACATTGTCAGTTTCAATACCTTACGTCATTGAACCAAGGCAGAACGCGGCATGGCCTATCTATCGCTCCTCTCGTCATCGTGGGCGACACTGGGCCTCTGATTGGTGGTGTGTTGGAGCTCTAAAATTGTGAGATAATGGGCGAAGCGGAACAGCTCTTGCCATTCGACGATGATAATTGGCTATAAATTTCCGATAAGATAAAGCCACCACTGACCTGGGAGGCAGACAGGTACCGCCAAGTCTAAGGTACAGATGTCAATGGCAGTCCAGGCACCAACCTTTGGGTACACATTTTAATTACTCGTGCTTCAAGTATAGAAAGTATTCCGGGAAAATCGTGCGTTTTAAGATATACCTTATATTACTAACAGAGTCGCGCCCGGTATAGCCACAACGATAGGAAAGACGTATTAAAATTGCCGAATTAATATGGTCGGGGGAAACTCCTTAGTAGTTTTAAGGATAAACATGGATAAGGTAGAGGTAGAGATAGTGTCATAGCTTGGACATGTTCTAAACGCTGAGGTACCTAGTTACACAAAACGTTGTGATAAGAAAGTACGGATACATCGCGACGCGTCCCCCGGACTTCTGACTTCCAAAACTGTCCGCTTTTTTTCTTTGTTTCTCCTCTTACCGTTGCTTTACCAACCGCCATCCAAGGCTACCCTCTCATTGTTTGGCTGGTACCGATACATCATAAAGAAGAACCGTGTACTGGTGTGGAACGTACTTGCCTCTCGGTCAAACTATTTCCCCCAGACCCAACTTTTTTTCCACTTAGCTCGAGCTCTCCCAATAACCAACTGGCACTGCCCACGGATCCCTCTCTCGTCTCGCCCTCCCGATCTCTTCTTGCCATCCTCGTCCAACGACTTTACTGGAGAATGCTGACTTTACGCTGTGTTATCTTGAATCGGCTGCTCCCTCCTGGCCTGTCGTGATTCTAACCCACAACTCCTTTCAACGCCTCCTTCTCCCCCATCCTTTTTTTTCTTCTTCTTTTCTTCTTCTTTTCTTCTTCTTTTCTTCTTTTCTTCTCCCGATACAGGCTTCGAGAAACTCGCAAAAATCGAACCTTCGACGTCGTCATCTTCGACCTAAGACGCCCACGAGACGCACGAGGCGTTCGTCGGTTCCTTAGACGGGGCCCTTATTAGAGACAACCTCTTCGATTCACCCGACGCCGCTCCGGTCCGGCCTGCGGAGTCGCCCTCGCATTGCGTCCAACTGAGGAGGCGCAAACTTTCGTGGCCACCACCGCAAAAGTCATACCACCGTTGGCATACGAGAGTACCGTTTCGTGCCGTGGCATTGCCTTTCTTATCCTTATATTTTCTCCTTTCCTGTGGTGTTTCGCTCGCCATGGCATTCGAAGGCTTTTTCTTCAGGTCGCCCACCTCCTACGAACCGCCTTCCCTCAACCTGCAACAAGCCATGGTTCACGATTCGCATCCCGCCTTTGACCATCTCGTCCTTCTCGTGTTCTCGGCCGTCCTCCAGGTCGTCTGCGTCAGCTTACCGGGCTACATCATCGCACGCCTGGGTCATTTCGATACCGACAAACAAAAGTTCCTCGCGAACCTCAATGTGATGCTTTTCACCCCCTGTCTAAGTATGTTGAACCTGAAGCTGTGTCTGTTCTTTTGCTATGGCGGGTTGTTCGTTGGGCTGCTGTTATTATGCATATCATATCCATGCCCACCCGAGAAAGCCGTTGCCGTCTCTGACCGTCCGATACAGTCTTCACCAAGCTTGCCTCTCAATTGAATGCCAATAAACTCCTCGAACTCGGCATCATCCCTGTTATTTTCATCATCCAGACCCTAGTGTCATGGATCGTCTCCATCACCGTCGCCAGACTTATGGGCTTCAGCCGCCGGGCCTCCAACTTTGTCACGGCAATGGGGGTCTTCGGAAACTCCAACTCGCTGCCCATCTCTCTTGTCATTTCCCTCTCTCAGACGATCAAAGGACTACACTGGGATCGCATCGCCGATGACTCCGACGATAAGGTCGCCGCCCGAGGTATCCTCTACCTCCTGATTTTCCAGCAACTGGGTCAGCTCGTGAGGTGGAGTTGGGGTTATCATGTTCTCCTCGCCCCCAAGGACAAATACCCCGAATATCAGGACCAGCAAGTGGAGGATGGACGTTATTCCCCGGAGCAGAATCAACATCGGTATCGTGAACATGGTGATGACCATGAGACCACCCCTCTCCTCTCGTCGTTGGGCGGCGATACGGCTGCCAGCTCCCGTAATGTGTCGACTAGCAACCTGTCGCATTTGGACCTCGATGGCCGCACTCCCGTTATGAACCGTTCGCACGTGTCTCTCCTCCAAGCGGATTCTGACGACGACGACCTCTTTACTCCCAGGAAGGCCAGACACCAGAACGGCACGACGCCCGCTCATCACACCGATATCAACGACCACGACGACCTCCTCTCGTTTCCTCGCATCCGTACCATGAGTGAGCCTGACATTCCCAATGGAGTGGAAGGTCTTCCAGCACGTGCCAAGGCATTCCTCAGCCACAAAGCCGCCGCCTGCCAACGCTCCACAGTGAACTTGCTCACGAGGATACGAGACAGCCTCCCGCGGCCCATCCGGATCGTGCTGGACAAGGTGGTCGGGCTGGGCGCCATGGTCTACAATTTCCTCTGGCAGTTCATGAACCCGCCGCTCTGGGCCATGCTCATTTCCATCGTCGTCGCGTCCGTGCCGGGGTTGCAGAGCCTCTTTTTCTCGCCCGGCACGTTCATACGGAACAGTGTGACGAGCGCGGTCATCTCGAGCGGCAACGTCGCCGTGCCGCTCATCCTCGTGGTGCTGGGCGCGAACCTCGCGCGCAACACGCAGAAGCACGAAACCCACTGCGATGCCGAGGAGAAGCAAATCGGGCGTAGGCTGCTGATCGCGTCTCTCGTCTGCCGCATGCTCCTCCCTACGCTCATCATGGCGCCCATCCTCGCCCTCTTCGCCAAGTACGTCCCGGTCAGCATTCTGGACGACCCCATCTTCGTCATTGTCTGCTTCCTCCTCACGGGCGCGCCTAGTGCGCTCCAGCTGGCTCAGATTTGCCAGATTAACGAGGTGTACGAGGGGGTTATGTCTAACATTCTCTTCCAGAGCTATGTTATCTGGTATGTTATCTCTGGCTGTTTGCCTTTCTTTTTTCTTTTCCTTTTTTTCCCCTTTTTTCCTCTGTGCTGTAGGTTTCGAGAGGTCTTCGCTCACACCCTTTTTTTTTTGTACAGGATTTTGCCTTCGACCCTGGTGCTCGTCATGTGTGCCCTGGAAGTGGTTGAATGGGCCCTGTAAAGCATTGCTTTCCACCCCATGGTCTAGACGGTTGCTCCCTACGTACTTGGGGACCGTTCTTTTGAGGTGTTGGGCTTTTTCTTTCTCGTTCTCTTTGCTCCTGCCCAGGCTCTTTGATCAGAGGCGTGTATAATTTTACCTGTATTAGTGCGGTACATTCTTTTTCTCGGGGGTTCGACGATTTCTGCACTAGCTTGCAGCTTTTTTTTTTTTTTTTTTTTTGTCTTCGGTTCTAGGGTCAAGGTCGTCGAAGGGAACGGTCCTGGTAGGGAATAGGAAAAATAGAGGGTTTGCTCGGTCTCGGTCAGTAGGAATAGTTTGGCATTCAGTACTATCCTAATGGGCGTTTGAATAAGGGATACGCCCCGAAGTTTGACGAGGCTGGAGCAGTGTGTGAGCATGCCAGGTTGGCCATGGAAAAGACGCTTCTACCGGGCCTTCTGATATACAGTCAATTCTCATTGAAATTCCCATGCTCGTCGTTGAATCGCAATAGCTGGGGCGGATGTACTCTTCCATCTTCATCTGCGATGAAAATGGGTTGTTAATTCTTCTCGCAAAGCCATCTAAGGAGACTTTCATACCATTCAAGGATGCTTACTCTCCTTTACCCATATGTTTCTTCCACCTGCAAGAGAAGAAAGAAAACGTTTCCCCTGGTTATCCTCCACTCATGCACAGTAAAACCATTCCCATGCGTAACTCCTGATTCCGATTCGCAATTCCTACCTATACAGCCGAATCCTTGATTTCGGTCGTCGAACTGCAGGAAGCCCGAGTATCACAAGCTGCCTCGGCCAACCCGGCCACAAGGCCTATTGCACCCCATTCATGGCCGCACCAGGGGCCCCTTCGTCCGCCAACACATAATCGCGCACACCACCCTTCCAATCGCTGATGCGCACATCGCTGATGGAGACGACAATAACGCGGACGTCCTCCCCGGCGACGAAGCACCCTCGGCCGCCGTCCTCGGCCTGCACGCTAGGGGTCGGGGGTGCGTCTGCTCCGGCGTCGGCGGCGGGTTCGGGAGGGGGGAAGCCGAAGGAGACGCCCTCGTTGTCGAAGGTGTTGTTCTCGAGGTGCTGGGCGCGGTAGAAGCGCTCTTCTTCGGAGGCGTGGTCGAGGAGGCGGGCGGTGCCGTTGATGGTGGCGCTGATGCTGGAGACGGCGGAGGTGTTGAGGTTTAGGAGCAGGGCGGCGAGCGAGGAGCGGTGGGGGTCGCGGGTGGGGGAGCCGCCGGAGGGACGGCGGGCGGTTGTGGGGGGGCGGTGGGAGACCCCTTTTTTGGGGGGGGGGGGGGGGGGGGCCCCCTTTTTTGGGGGGGGGGGGGAGTGAGGACTCATGTTAGCGGTTGTGCTGCTGGCGCAGAGAAGGGACAGGCAGGCGGAGGAAGGACACGTACAGTCGTGGACTAGGAGAGAGACGTTGGGGTTGGAGAGGAGGTTGTTCATCTTCTTGGAGGCCGGGTTGGTGGTCATGACGATGACGGGGGCGGACGAAAACGGGGACGAGGGGAGGTAGGTGTAGTTCATGAGGGAGAGGTTAGGGACGTTGCCGGTGCATGTTGCGAGATGGAGCTGTGGTTTTGCCAGTGGTGTCAGTGTCGTGTCGTGTCGTGTCGATTACCAACTCGTGGCAGAAGGGCGTGCATGGTAAGTGAGGTAGGTAGATTACTTACGAAGCGAGCATTCTCGAGACATTGCACGACTTCTGCGGGCAATGTCGCCGTGGTCTGCTTGTGGGTGTCACCGGCCGAGGCCTCCGAGTTGAGAGGGACAGCGACAGGGTCCATGATGTCTGAAAGAGCAGGTCGATGTCTTGATGTCGCTGTTCGTGCAACGATGGGTGATGTCGTGGTAGTAGTCGACGTTGGACGGCCCTGGAACGTTTGGGTTTGGGAGATGTACAAAGTTGACTATGAGGCACCGTAGTCGAGATCTGCAAAGACGCAGGACCATCAGTTCTCGGCCGCAACGTCCGACGATTGTCTGGGCCCCGCCCATGTCATTCTGGGTTCGGCTGACTAAGGAGGGGTACCCTTGTAGATACACCTCCGCGAATGACGTAATTAGGAGGATGAGCTAGGTATTCCACCAGCTGTGGACAGTTGCATAACAGTCGGACCGCGGTCGACTTGTCCCTGCGCTTCAATGCGGTCCACCGGCTACCATCGGCAGCACCATGAGGTCCAAGAGTCGAAGTGACTTCACAAGTTCACAGGCTCGGGATTCTTCTACGGGCATTCTCGCTCCCACTCCCACTCCAACCATCCAACTCCCCTCTTCTCTTTTCCTCTCGACTCCGAGTTGATCAATTGGGAAAGTCAGATCGCTCAATTCTTCTTCACCCCCCCTTTAACTCGGCCTATTTCCATCTAGCTTTCCGGCTTGCCCAATATGCGCTCTATCAAGGCAAGGCATCGGCTCGTCCGCCCCCTCCCTCGATTGCTCAGCACATCATCAACGCCATCTCCCTCTTCCGCCTCCCCTCAGATCACTCCCATCACTTCCCTTCTCATAGCCAACCGCGGCGAGATTGCCCTTCGAATTCATAGGACAGCCGATAAGCTCGGTATCCGAACCACAACCCTCTACACCGACCCCGATGCCTCTTCACAGCATGCCGCCTGTGCCCCCCACTCCCTCGCTCTAGGCAACCCCAAGGCGTACCTGGACGGCGAGCGCATCATTTCTCTGGCCAAACAGAACGGTATCCAGGCGCTACATCCAGGCTACGGCTTCTTGTCTGAGAATGCCGCGTTCGCCTCTCGGTGTGAGCAGGAGGGCATCGTCTTCGTCGGCCCTCCGGCCCAGGCCATGGCCGATATGGGAGACAAGGCCAGGAGCAAGGAGATCATGAACGCGGCCGGGGTGCCCTGCGTTCCGGGATACCACGGGCCAGAGCAGTCGGAGGAGCAACTCCTCCGCCACGCCCGGAAAATCCAGTTCCCCGTGCTGCTCAAGAGCGTCCGCGGCGGCGGAGGCAAGGGCATGCGCATCGTCCCGTCCGAGGCCGACTTTTCGCAACAGCTCCGCAGCGCGCGCGCCGAGGCTCGCGCTTCGTTCGGCGAAGGGGGCGAGGTGATGCTGGTCGAGAAGTACATCGTGCGCCCGCGCCACGTCGAGGTGCAGGTTTTTGCCGACAAGTACGGCAACTGCGTCGCCCTCGGCGAGCGCGACTGCAGCGTCCAGCGCCGGCACCAGAAGATCCTGGAGGAGTCCCCCGCGCCCGACCTCGACGAGGCCACGCGCCTCGACCTGTGGGAGAAGGCCCGGCGCGCCGCCCTGGCCGTCGGCTACGTCGGCGCCGGCACGGTCGAGTTCATCCTCGATCGCGACTCGGGCGCGTTCTACTTCATGGAGATGAACACGCGTCTCCAGGTGGAGCACCCCGTCAGCGAAATGGTCACGGGCACCGACCTTGTCGCGTGGCAGCTGGCCGTCGCGGCGGGGGAGCCTCTCCCCATGACGCAGGGGGAAATCTCCGAAGCCATCGCCGCGCGCGGGTCTGCCATCGAGGCTCGCATCTACGCCGAGAACCCGGAAAAAGGGTTCATGCCGGATTCCGGCACGCTCGTCCACCTCACGACCCCCGAAACGGACCCCGACGTCGTCCGCATCGATGCCGGTTTCGTCCAGGGCGACACCGTCTCCGAGGCCTACGACGGCATGATCGCCAAGCTCATCGTCCGCGGGCCCGACCGACCCACCGCGATCCGCCGCCTGGAACGCGCCCTGCAGGACTACGAGGTCGTGGGTCTCAGCACCAACATTGAGTTCCTCAAGAAGATGTGCCGGTCCCCGGCCTTTGTTGCCGGCGACGTCGAGACGGGCTTCATCGACAAGTGGCGCGACGAGCTCTTCGCGCGGCGTCCCACCCGGGACGAGGTTTTTGTTCAGGCTGCGCTGGGGTCCCTCTTGGCCGCTGCGGAACCGTCACCATCACCGTCACCGTCACCGTCACCGTCACCGTCACCGTCACCGTCACCGCACGGCCAGTCCCTCGGGTTCGGCGACCCCGCCACGACAACCGAGCGCAACTTTGCGTTCAAGGTCCTGGACGCCTACGCCGCGGAAGAGGGCCAGGTCGTCCAGGTGCGTCTCGCGCAGACGTCCCCCGCGCACTTCCGCGCCACGGTGCTACGCGGCAAAGAAGGGGGGGACGAGAACGGTCCAGCGGCGGTGTACGAAAACGTGGCGTGCTCGTCATCGTCGTCCGTGGCCACGCCTTCCACCAACAGGCTGACGAGCTTCTTCCCGGACGAGAGGATACAGTCGACCGTGGTGCGGACCTCGACGGCCCGGACCGCCGCCGAGGGGGGGGCGTCCAGGTTGGTGGTGTTCCAGCACGGCGGGCGGACGGAGCTGGCGCTCCTGCCGCCGTCGTGGTTCGAGAAGGCCCTCGGGTTGAAGGAGGTGGCTGCGTCGGTGGCCGCGCCGATGCCGTGCAAGGTGTTGAAGAACGAGGTGGTGGAGGGGCAGAGCGTCAAGAAGGGGGAGCCTCTTGTAGTGTAAGTCTTTTCCCCTCTCTCACTGGTGGTTTTCTTTTGTTCTTTCGCTGACGGCAAACAATAGCATCGAGTCGATGAAGATGGAGACGGTGATTAGGTCACCTCAGGACGGCGTGGTGAAGAAGCTGACTCACAAGGAAGGGGTAAGTTGTCATATATCTCGTCCCCTGGTGCACTGTTTGTACTGATAAGGCAATTAGGATATCTGCAAGGCTGGAACTATACTAGTACTGTTTGAAGAAGAGGCAGTCAAGGAGGGCGACTCATGACTTTGCGTCCATTAAGCAATGACGAGCAGGATTGTTTGTATCGTATGTGATGATGCAAACCAGGAGAAGGTGGCGTCTTCCACAGGAAATGAGGGGGGCGGTGGTTTACAAAGACATTCGAGCATACAGGTATATTACTAAAGATACTCATAAATGGGAGCGTTTTGAACATTTACTTGCAGGTTGCTTCGTCTGTTGGTGTGGGCGTGAATCAGTTAGAACCCTGTGGACTCGACGCCGTCCAAGACTCAGCTGCCCCTATTTAGCCCCTATTTAGCCCCTATTCTCTTCCAAGTCCCCAACCTCAAGCGAACCAACATCTTATCCCCCGCGATCCTAGCAACCTACCGACCATACCAGAAACAAACAACAAACTGGTACTCACTCCTCAACCCAGACAAGACCACCAGCGGAAAAGAAAAAGAAAAAGAAAAAATGTGCAAAAAAAGGGCCCTACACTGCGAAACCTGCAACACGACAACCACGGTCATAAACCGCTGCCCGGACGCCCAAAGGAAAAGCAACAAGAAAGAAGGCGTCTGGGTGCAGTGCGCCCATCTTGTCGACAGCGCAGGCACGCTAGACGAATCGGATTGCCCGACGTGCAGAGAGCGGCGGGAGGAGGAGAAACGAGAGAGGGCGGAGAGGCGGCAGAAGAGGGAAGAAAGGCGAAAGGTGAATAGGGATGACAAGGCGAGGCAGGGTGCGGGCCCCGGGACTAGATCAGGTTCTGGTGTCGGAGGCGGAGACGGAACGGGAGGAGGGTCAAGTAAAGGAGGAGAGGGAAAGGAAGGGGGCAGAAAGTCCAAGGTGAAGAATAGTAAGGACAGGTGTGTCCTCATGTAGCTCTGGATATGCCGAGAGACATATGGTAGTCTCGTTACAGCGTATAGGTCCCGACATCACTCGAAAGGCTGCGGCATCAATACCGAAGAGATGAATCAAAATCCAATAAATGAACCACTATGACACCTACACCCTCACCATCTGTGATGAACACCGGCGTGATCTACATGTGAAGGCGCAAAAAAGTAAGATATCCTTTAAAATAAATACAAGTTTTTTTCCCCTGACCGACAGAATTTTGTTTGGTCACCCACAAAGCACCACCTCTACCGCCTCTACCCCCTCTATGAGCTCTCGGCAATCTCGAGGAGACCCTGGAGGTTGATGCTCTTGGGGCGCTCGATGGGGAGACCCAGGGCGCGGTCCCAGATGAGCTGGGCCAGGGGGCCGAGGCCGCGGGAGACGCCAAAGGTGGCGGTGTAGTACAGGGTCTCGTGGAAGCCGTAGTGGTGGAAGAGGACGCCGGAGCTGGAGTCGACGTTGGGGTAGGGGTTCTTGGTCTTGCCGTGCTTCTTGAGGACCTCGGGGGCGACCTCGCTGTTGAGCTTGACGAGCTGGAAGACGGGGTCCTGGGCGATCTCGGGGCGGGCCGAGGCGTAGTCCATGAGGGCCTCGAAGCGGGGGTCGGGCTTGCGGAGGACGGCGTGGCCGTAGCCGGGGACGACGCGGCCCGAGTTGAGGGTCGACCAGAGGTAGTTGGTGACTTCCTCCTTGCCGTAGCTGGCGGGGATGGCCTCCTTCATCTGGAGGATCCAGCGGAGGACCTCCTGGGCGGCGAGGCTGCAGGTGTGTTAGCATGTGGTGTTATTGTGGTATGTGGGGGGTACGTCGTGGATGCAGTAGCAACAGAAAAGAAAAGGAAGAAAAAAAGGAAAAAAAAAAAAAAAAGGGGGGAAAAAGGGAAAAAAAGAAAAAAAAATAATAACTCACCCGTGCAGGGGACCGGCCAGACCCTGCAGACCGGCGCTGTAGCTGAGGAAAGGATCGCTGAGGGCGCTGCCGACCAGGTGGGTGGCGTGGGCAGAAACGTTACCACCCTCGTGGTCGCCGTGGAGGGCGAGGTAGAGGCGGAGGAGATCCTGGAAGTTCTCGTTCTCCTTGCCGCCCTTGCCCAGCATGGCGGCAAAGTTGTAAGACCAGTCCTCGCCGACGTCGATCTCGGCGGGGAGGGCGCCGGCGCCGCGGTAGGCGTTCTGGTAGATCTTGGCGGCGATGGTGGGCAGCTTGGCGAGGAGGGAGATGCAGTCGTCGAAGGTGGGCTCCCAGTAGTCGGCCTTGCCCAGGCCGTTCTCGTAGGCCCTGGCGAACTTGGAGTTGTAGTTGAGGGCGGAGACGGCCATGGCGAACTGGGTCATGGGGTGGAGGTCCTTGGGGAAGTCGTCGAGCATCTTGTTGACGAAGGCGGGCAGCTGGCCCTGTTCGGCGAGCTCGCGGGAGAACTGGCGGACCTGGTTGGTGGAGGGGACCTGGCCGGTGAGGAGGAGCCAGAACATGGCCTCGGGGAGCATCTCGGTGCCGGTCTTGCCCTTGGGGAGCACCTTCTGGCAGTCCTTGATGGTGCGGCCGTGGAAGCGGATGCCCTCGTTGGCGTCGAGGACGGAGCCCTCCCATACCATGGCCTTGAGGCCGCGCATGCCGCCGAGGGTGTTCTCAATCTTGACCTCGCCAATGACCTTGGAGGAGTGGGCCTTGACCTTCTTGAGGAGCTCGCGCTTGGCGGGGATGGCCTCCTTGAGGGTGGTCTTGAGGTCGGGCTCGGAGGAGGAGGAGGAGTAGGGGCGGACGTTGACAGCAGCGCGGGCCGCCATGGGCTGAACGTTTGGACCATTTGTCAGAAAACCCAATTCATGTTCAAGAACGAAACCGAAACTGTGAGGAAGCAAGCGGACATGGGACATACGCGGAGAGCACCAAGCGCCCTGGTGGTGGTGCGGACGTTCATCGCCATTCTTTGACCGGTGGAAGAAGTCGGTGAGGTAGGAAGGGAGGAGGAAAGTCAATGAGGATCGACTATGACGAGGAGAGGAGAATAAGAGGAGAATATGGCGATGACCACGGGCCGATATGGTATGGGAGGTGGAAGGAGACGGACGAGGAAAAAGGAAGAAGAAAAAGTTGACGACGGGGAAGAAGGAACTGAGACAGAAGTAGTCTCGAAAGTTGGATCTCAAGCCGAGAAATGTACCTCTTGAGCCGACGAGAGACCAAGTACGAAGTACGAGAGTCGGACGAGGGAAAGGCAAGAACAACCGGGATCCCGGGGTCTCGGGGGATCATAATTGGCGGGGCAAGCTGGAATCGTGGGGTTGTGGGACTTGGATACGTGTACCTTGGGTAGGTACCCCACAGTAACGGTACGAACGGTACCTGTGGCACCTACGTAGTGCCTACCATTTTGGGGAATTTCCTGGAAATTACAGCGCCCTACAGCGCCCTACAGCGCCCTACAGCACGCTCCGGTGTACTCCGACAGCTTTACACGTACTAGCACTTCTGGGAACTGGGAGTAACACAGGGTGACTACAATTAGACACACAGGGCGGAAGGTGAGGTGCAGGTGCCCGTTGGTGGGGGAAACGGGAGAAGCTTCAAGGGTAATACCGGTAGCTCTGAATGGTCTCAGAATACCGAGGGAAGCCGAGGATGGAGACAATCAGATACCCCGGCAATGGCAACGAAACCGACCCCGGACCAGCGGTACCTTACTTTTACTTACCACTCTGCTCACCTTAGATAATACTTGCGCTTTTCCTTATCCATTGGCCAGTAATCGCTCCTTCCCGTGAAAGTCCCCCTCTTCCGTCATCGTACTATTTCTGCGGGAACCATTTACCGCTTAACCAAGGCTCATTGGTAAGGTGAGGCAGAAGGTATTCTTTCCTGTCGTTCGGCCCTCTAAGGTACGAAGACAAAAGTACGAAGTACGACCCTCTACAGCCGCTTACCTCATCTCCAGCGGTCCATTTGCTAATCCTCACCATTGGATCTAGACCACCTAATCTTTTTTTCTTCTTTTTCCCCCTCTCCTCTGCTGGTGGGGGGGCTCTGCTCTACTTATTCTCTTGCTTTACGTATCCATATCCGTTCTCAGGTCTCCATTACCGGTAGACTGCGTGACCTTAGGCCCAGTGGTCATTCAACCTTTCCACCTCTTAGCCGAGTATCGGTCGGATCGGATCTCCGAGCCATTCCTGGCTCTCGCATCTCCTTCGTCCTTCGTCGGCAGACTCCTCAACACCTCTCTTCCTCCAAGTTGTAAGTACTCAATTTCTTTCTCCTCCCCCACCTACCTGGCTTCTCACGCAAGAAATCTAACCCGGAGACCGTCTTTCTCTTCAGCCTTTCTCATAATGATGCGCCGGTTCGTAACACGAGCCCCCCGAAGGGTCACAACACTCGGCCCCCGGGCTTCTTCTATGTCTCCCGCCTCCGTCGCCATCCGCTGTCTCTCCACCTCACCCAGGATGGCTCAGTCGCCGCCTGCGAAGGCCTTCGCCGCCCCCGCAGACGCCTTCCAACTCCTCCCCGAGTCCAGCAAAGCCGGTTCGGCCGAGGACGCTCTATATGATGCCCAGATCAAGGAAGTGGAAGCCTGGTGGCAATCGCCTCGCTTCGAGGGCATCAAGCGGCCCTATAGTGCCGCCGATGTCGTGTCCAAGCGTGGTACCCAGCAGCAGACCTACACGAGCTCCCTCATGGCCAGGAAGCTCTTCAACCTCATCCGCGAGCGTGAGGCGGAGGGAAAGCCCATCCACACCAGTACGTTGCCCTCGGTCCTATTCTTTGCCTGGAGATGATATGATTTGATTTACTAACCGAGCTACAATATCCAGTGGGAGCCATTGATCCCGTTCAGATGACGCAACAAGCTCCTCACCAAGAGGTCCTCTACATCTCGGGCTGGGCTTGCTCCTCCCTCCTGACCACGACCAACGAAGTGTCCCCCGACTTTGGCGACTACCCTTACAACACCGTGCCCAACCAAGTGCAGCGCCTGGCCAAGGCCCAGTCCATGCACGACCGCAAGCAATGGGATACCCGCCGCAAGCTCTCGCCCGAAGAGCGCGCCCGGACCCCGTACACCGACTACCTCCGCCCCATCATCGCCGACGGCGACACCGGCCACGGCGGCCTCTCGGCCGTCCTCAAGCTCGCCAAGCTCTTCGCCGAGAACGGCGCCGCGGCCGTGCACTTCGAGGACCAGCTCCACGGCGGCAAGAAGTGCGGCCACCTCGCCGGCAAGGTGCTCGTCCCCGTGGGCGAGCACATCAACCGCCTCAACGCCGCCCGTTTCCAGTGGGACGTCATGGGCACCGAGAACCTCGTCATCGCCCGCACCGACTCGGAGAGCGGCAAGCTGCTGAGCAGCGCCATCGACGTCCGCGACCACGAGTTCATCCTGGGCGTGAACGACCCGGCCGTCGAGCCCCTCGCCGAGACCATCCAGGCCATGGAGGCCAAGGGCGCCGCCGGCGCCGAGATCGACGCCTTCGAGGCCAGCTGGGTCAAGAACGCCAAGCTGATGACCTTTGACGACGCCGCCGCCGCCCACCTGCAGAACGTCGGCGCCCCCCAAGCCGCCATCGACGCCTACCAGGCCGCCGTCCGCGCCGACCGCGACATGGGCATCTCCCAGCGCCGCAAGCTGGCCGCGCAGCACACCCCCGCCGGCGCCGAGCCCGTGTACTTCTCCTGGGACGTCCCGCGCACGCGCGAAGGCTACTACCACTACCGCGCCGGCATGGACGCCGCCACGAAGCGCGCTCTCGCCTTCGGCCCTTACGCGGACCTCCTCTGGGTCGAGACGGGCGACCCCGACGTCCGAGTGGCGACCGACCTGGCGCGCGCCGTCCGCGCCGTCTACCCGGGCAAAGGCCTCGTGTACAACCTCTCGCCCAGCTTCAACTGGATGGCGCACGGGTTCACGGACGAGACGCTCAAGAGCTTCATCTGGGACATTGCGCGCGAGGGGTTCGTGCTGCAGCTCATCTCGCTGGCCGGCTTGCACTCCAACGCTACCATCACCCACGAGCTGGCGCGCCAGTTCAAGACGGATGGCATGCTGGCGTACGTGGACCTCGTGCAGCGCCGCGAGAAGGAGACGGGGTGCGACGTGCTGACGCACCAGAAGTGGAGCGGTGCGAGCTACATCGATGGGATCTTGGGGGCTATCCAGAGCGGTAGCTCGAGCAGCAAGAGCATGGGCGAGGGTAACACGGAGGACCAGTTCAAATAGACCATGTTTGGGTGGTGGCTTTTGAGTGAGATGGAAGAGAAAAAGGGAACGGGGCATTTTGGGCGGCGTTTTTTTCTGTCGTGTTCTATTATATATTTTGGCATAGTTGACCAGCCACCTACGATGAAGGCGCTGTTTTTCTCGTTGGATGTACAACGCAAGATGAGTTTCTAAATTTGCCCCTCAGTCTACGGCTTCACCTGACTGGCAAAGTTGACAGGTGCCGGAAGGGGAGGGCCCTCAGGGGTCACGTAAGCCTTGGACATGGCACCATCCACGACGAGGTCGTGACCGTTGACAAAGTTGGACTCGTCCGACGCGAGGAACAGGACAGCCTGGGCCTGCTCGACAGCCTCGCCAAAGCGGCCGGTGGGGAAATGGATCTCGCGGCGGAGGCGCTTGGGCTTGTCGTCGCCGAGCCAGTCCTGGAGGAGCGGGGTGTTGAGGGGCGCGGGGCAGAGGGCGTTGAAGCGGAAGCCCTCGCGGGCGTGGACGACGGCGAGCTCGCGGGTCAGGGCGAGGACGGCGCCCTTGGAGGCGGTGTAGGCGAGCTGCGGGGTGGCGGAGCCGACGAGGGCGACGACGGAGGCGGTGTTGATGACGGAGGCGCGGGCCTTGGCGTGGCGGCGGAAGGAGAGGACGGCGTGCTTGCAGCCGTACCAGACGCCCTTGACGTTGATGTTGTGGGTCAGGTCCCAGATGTCGTCCGGGGTGTTGACGGCGTCGTCGTCGCGGCCGTGCATGATGCCGGCGTTGTTGAACATGACGTCGACGCCGCCCTTGGGGTCGAGGGCTTCGACGACGGCTTGCACGTGGGCTTCTTTGGAGACGTCGCAGACCTGGGCAGTGGGGTGATTTGTTAGAGTGGGAATGGAACGGACGGACTATGAGACGGAAAGCCAAAAGGTGAAAAGGAGGGGAAAGAAGGGAGGTTGGGTGGCGATGAGGCAAAGGCACCTTGGTATCGACGCTGGCGGATGGGATCAAGGCGAGGAGCTTGGCCTTGGCCGTCTCGAGAGCCGGGGCGGAGATGTCAGCCATGAGGACGTGGGCACCTTCGCGGGCGAAGAGGATGGACGTTTCCAGGCCAATGCCACTAGGGTGGAGAGGAGTCCATGTCAGCATTCTCTTCTCTTGACAGAGAGGGTAGACCGTAGGATCATAAGCAGGAGTCAGGGCGAGGAGACGTCGGTTTACCCTGCAGCACCAGTGACGATGGCATTCTTGCCGGCCAGTCGGCCACTGCCCTGGAGCGTGAAGGCTGGAGGGACGGGGGCCATGATGTTAACTTGTGACGTCGAGTGGTCGAGGTTCTCGTCGGGGTGGAGTTCTAGTTTGGTGGTGGTGGTGGTGGTGGTGGTGGTTGTAGGGGAGAAGAGACGGACCACGGAGTACGGAGAGGAGCGGAGAGGAGAAGGGGCTGCCTTTGGAAGTACAAGGTAGATAGGGGAGCTATCGTGCTAGGGTAGACCTCTGACGGAGTAGGGCGTGCGGAGTAATTACCCAGGTACCTTAGGGACTGGGAGGGGCATTATGGCAACATGAGGGGCAGCTGACACGTGGGGCCAAGCAAATCTAGAGGGGTCCTCAGGGCACGTAGGTAAGGTATCCGTACCTTATCTTATCCACATGTCTACCTTATCTTATCGTTATCCAAGTGACGATCTTCCCTGCTTCCCTGCTTCCCCTCGAGACATGCTGACACCCCTTGGCAGTCTGGCATCCCACACGTCATCTCCTCCCTTTCATCGTGACCTCGCAGTCCACATCCCATCCCTCCGCTTCCCTGCTCAACCAGGTTACTACTTACTCCCACCGCGCCACCCAGTCTGCCTTCGCTGCCTGCCACTTCAGCTCTCCCGAGTCCCGCCATGCCGCCCTCCAGGGTAATCACCGCCGATGACCTCCCGGCGCTCCTGAGCAGCGACAACAAGGTCAAGGTCGCCGGGATCGACGTCGACGGCATGCTCCGCGGCAAGCTCATGTCCAAGCAGAAATTCCTATCCATCGCCGAGTCCGGCTTCGGTTTTTGCTCCGTCATCTTCGGCTGGGACATGCACGACCTGGTCTACCAGCGCGAGCTCAAGATCAGCAACTCCGAGAACGGCTACCGCGACGTCGTCGCCGTGCCCGACCTCTCCAGCTACCGTCGCATCCCCTGGGAGGACAACGTGCCTTTCTTCCTCGTGAGCTTCTTTGATCCCGATACCATGAAACCCATTTGCGCCTGTCCCCGCGGCCTGCTTAAGAGCACCCTTGAAAAGCTTCAGGCTAAGGGGATGGGTGCTATGGCCGGGGGTGAGACCAACCTGGCTCCTTTCTTTTCTTTTTCTTTTTCTTCCTTTTTTCTTCCTTTTTTTCTTCTTTTTTTCTTCCCCACCCTTCTTTTTCGTGGCGCGTGCTAATCACAGCCTCCCTCTCACAGCCGAATACGAATTCTTCCAGTTCAAAGTCCCCTCGAGCGCTCTGGAAACCCAAACCTCTGCAGCCAAGTTCCTCTCGGACAATCCCCCTCACGCGCTGCCTTCCTTGACCGAGGGCATGTTCGGCTACAGCGTCACGCGCCCCGTTCAAAACAAGGACTATTACTACGAGGTGTTCGAGAACTGCGCCCGCTTCCAATGCGACATCGAGGGGTGGCACACCGAGAGCGGACCGGGCGTCTACGAGGCGGCGCTGGAGTTTGGCGAAATCGCCGAGATGGCCGACCGAGCCAGCCTGTTCAAGTACGTCGTCAAATCGACCGCCACGAAGTACGGCATCACCCCATGCTTCATGGCCAAGCCGAGACAGGGGCTCCCCGGGAACAGCGGCCACATGCACATCTCCCTCGTGGACGGAAGCAACAAGAACCTCTTCGGCCGGGCCGCCGACGACGCGGACCCGAACGCGCCGTGGCCCGACGTCGCGCACCTCTCCGACCTGGGCCGGCACTTCCTCGCGGGGATCCTCGACGGGCTGCCGGACGTGATGCCCCTCGTGGCGCCCAACGTCAACTCGTACAAGCGCCTGGTGGAGAACTTCTGGGCGCCCGTGACGGTGTCGTGGGGGCTGGAGCACCGGGCGGCGTCGATCCGGCTCATCGCGCCGCCGACGGCCAAGGCGGGCGCCACGCGGTTCGAGGTCCGGGTCGGCGGCGCGGATACGAACCCGTACTACGTCCTCGCGGCGGTGCTGGCGCTGGGGTGGCGCGGCGTCGAGAGGGAGCTGGCGATCCCCGTACCGCCGCTCGGCAGGGGGGAGGAGGTCGGGAGCAGCGCCGACGGGGGGGTCCGGCTGGCCAGGAGCCTCAGGGAGGCGAACGAGCGGTTCATGCGGAAGGGGAGCGTGGCGCGGGAGGTGTTTGGTGATGACTTTGTGGACCACTACGGCGGCACGAGGGAGCATGAGATTCGGCTGTGGGATGAGGCGGTGACTGATTGGTACGTGGGCCCGTTTCCCGGTTTGCTTGCTTTTTTTTTTAACGTTCCGCCCCCCCTTTTCCCCCATTGTCATGGTTTGATGATTTTGTGGCGACATGCATGAAAAGCTCGCAAATGCTGACATTCTGTTTCTTTTCGCAGGGAGGTCAAGAGGTATATCGAGACGGTGTAAGCTGGGGGAGTGCAAGCGATGGAGGACCGGAGCTTGGGCGATTGGTAGTCGCAGTCGCAGTCGCAATCGCAGTCGCAGTCGCAGTTACAGGCGGAGTTGCAGCGTCAAATAGCGGATTGGCTCGTTGGATACGATAGAACCAGCTTTCTTCTCAGCGTAGGCCACATTTTATCCGGTTAACCATTTTCGTCGGGTTCGGAATTGCGCGGGCAGCCAGATTAAAACGTCGGCCACTTAAACAGAGGGCGAATGAACCGCATTCCAGGAGTGGGGAGCATTATCCCGAGCCGCATCACCGACTTTACATGTGCTTGGCGAGGCCTTTGCAAAGAGAAAAAAGAAGAAGAAGAAGAAAAGAAAAAAAGAAAAAAAAAAGAGGACGGCATAGACGGCTAGGCATGTACGGATGTGTGTGTGTGTGTGTGGCCGTCTGGTGTCTTGATTGGCCGGTCTCATCTGTGATGGGTGACAAGAAGGAAGGCGTCATATATGTGAAGCACGGCGTAGGCGTAGATGGGAGGAAGGATCGAAGAAGGGGGGAGAAGGTGAAGGGGATGTGGTGATGCGGTGATGTGGCGTGGCACTTGGAGGTGATATGGATGGGCTTGGCCTGAGGAGGGATAACATTGCGGGTTACTCATTATGGGGTGATCTTTAGCCCGACTTGCCGTGACAGAGCGGAAGAAGAGGTTCACATTCTCGCTTATTGGTTAGAGTGCGAGATGAGCTGTAAAGTGCAAATCGGGACAGTCGTGTATATGCCGGAGCTTGTCACGGGCGCGTCGGCGTGTTGATGATGGTAGGGAGTTGACAGGGACGGCTGGCTGCGGTTGAAGGATTTTTTTTTTCTTTTCTTTTTCTTTTCATTACGCGCGCGCAGCCCTAAAGCTATGGCGCGGCACCTATCGCCCTGTAGGCTAATAGGCCAGTAGAAGCTAAATACAGTAAATCACAGTGCTAAACAAAGCAAATCCTCCGTAACAATCTGCCTAATAACCCTATAAAAATCGGGAGAAACCAACCCGGAATAAACTACACGTGTAGACCGCAGAAATCAAGGGTTGCGCCCTATATGCAAATAAGCTTAAAGTGCAGACAAAGCCAGTATTAGAAAAGATCGTCGTCCATCCCCATGACAAAACCTGGCCGAATGTCGCGTGGTGCGTGGTGTCGCGTGGTAACAGGGGGGAATAGCGGTGGTATCGGTGTTAGTGGTGTTAGTGGTGGTGGTGGTGGTGGTGGTGGTGGTGGTTGTCGGCAAAGCACAGGGCACGGGACGGGTAGTGATCCACCCGTCGGGCCGCTCATGATGTCCGAGACTTGTACGTACCTTTATTTATGTTCATTTATGTTCATTTATTTTCATTTACTTTTTATTTGTTTGATTGGTTTCGCCTGGTGGATGGTCGAGGGAATGCAATGTGTCAATGGCAAGGACAAATCACGGAGCAAAGTCCGGTTATCTGATCTAAATCCGTCTGCGCGTGTCTCGGTGGCGCATTGCAGCGTTGTCCGCACCCTCCCACTTCCCCCCTCTGCCGCAGTCTGCCGCAGTCTGCCGCAGTCTGCAGGATCGCCATGTAACTTGCAACCAACCCTCCTATTAGCTCGCTTTTTTCTTTTCTTTTTTTCTCAAGCTCCTTTTTTTCTTCTTTTTCTTCTTCTTTTTTGGTCTGCAAGTCTGACAAACTGTGACCTTCGGCCCTGAGCGGGTGGAAAACTTGAAAGGGTTAGTCTATGGGAAGAGAGGGCTGAAAGAGGCATCGGTCAGGGGTCAAGTTGAGCCGAGAGCGAGAGACCCTCTCCCTCGTGTAAGTCGATGCGTTTGGGCCCTTTGGTTGGACGCATGGCATGAGCATGATGGGACTGACGTCTCACCGCCGCAGATATGTGCGCGTGGGCTGGTAAGCTAAAAATAAGGACCATTTTAGTTCATAATGAACTTGCTTTTCTTCTGTATTGTCTGTATTATATATCCACTGCGGAAATCAAGGCATTTCCCGTGCCCTATAACTGCAAGTTCCTTACCTATAGTACAAGCGCCTAAAGAGTGAGTGAGAGTGGTGAGAGTGAGGGTGGTGAAATGAAGAGAGGAGAGATCAGAGACCCGTCCGTCTCGTCAGCCCCTGATACCATGCCATGCCATGCTCAACTTCCAACGTCCTGGTTCATGGGCTGGTTGTTCGCTCCATTAGGTCGATTGCTTGCTGTCCGATACTTGTGATAGCTCATTAATCCCATTCACCAAGTTGGAAGAATGCCCATGTGATGTGATGTGTCTAGTTGTCAGCCACTCACAAGCATATGACGAACGAGAACTTTGTTTCCCTCCTTTTCCGCCCTCTTGGCCCCTTCACATCACTCGCATAATGCCTCTGATTACATGCGCCCTGGCCTGTCTCGCTTGTCTAGTACCACAACACGCATATCACGCACATCACGCATATACAGGCACTGGAGTGGACCGCTCCACCGCCAACTCGCTCACTCACATGCTCTCACTCTCTCTTCTCGCTTCAACAGTTGCTTACTCCGCCGTCAACAAATAGGGCTCGGCTCCAATGAAAAGCCCGGGGAGCCCTTCCGATGCGGTTACGTTAGGACCGGTCCAACCCCGTTCAGCCCCATCAGCCCCATCAACCCCTTTCCACCCCTTTCCACCCGAGCTTGTTGGCCCTCTTATTCTCTGCCAAGGTTGTTCTCTGCAGACATATCCAGTCGTTTACCTTTGCCCTCGCTTGTCGTTGCCAGACGCGACGGCCCTTTTACACTGCAGCGATTTACGACTTGGTGCAGCCCCCCTAAAATAGTTGAGCAATATATTTATTGCCAGCCGGAAAAAAAAAAAGGACAAAAAAGGTCTGCCCCCCCATCGTCGATCGCTGCGTCCTGCACCCGAAGGATGGACGCCGCGTCTTGTCTTGGGGGCCGCGAGGGCTGCGAGGGCTGCGAGCTCGGAGAGTGCCGTCGCCGCAGACGGACATTTCGTTGACAATTCTGCCATCCGCAAACTCGGGCACCACCAAGACCATTCATCCTCCTATGAGAAACTCACCGACTGAAAAGGCCCTGCCCGGCTGAAGAATAACGAATGACATGTGTACAAAGATGGGGGCTGTGGCCCATTTACCCATCCATCGCTCTCAACTCTAACTCTAACCCTATCCCGATCCCGATCCCAATCCTACTCTTATGCCGCTCTTCGTCTCGTCCCTTTTCCTCGTATAATTGATCTGTAAAATCCGTTAAGAAGAAAAGACCCTTCCCCCCCTCGATTCGTCATTTTCTCCTTTGGGGTGTGCTTCATCTGCGACTTTTCCTCTCAGTGCTCCGACTGCGGCTGCGCTGTGGGGTTCAATTTCGTATCCAAAGACGAGGCTTCGGTTTGTAAGTGATGAACTCCCCAGGGTCTCGTGCTGAGACGGCTCACATGCGCTATTCTCCCGGCTCTTGTATTGTAACACTGATGTCCTCGGGCGGTCCTCTCCTATTTATCCCCCCCCCCCCTTTTTTTTTTTGCCTTCACTGACGTCGAACCGTTACTGACCGGTCTCGTTTAGCGCCCAATTTCGAGTCCGGCGTCGCCGTCTTTCTTTGACTCGGAGGGGCCTCTGACCTCTTGGCGCCCCTTCTACCGAACCGTTCACTCAGGGGGGACCATCTCCTCTGTACGGAGGACTGAGACCAACAGTGACCTGACGTGACCAAACGACACTAACACCAGATCCGTCAGCGGCTTTGCGTGACCCCCTACGGGGTCCTCTAAACTCCCGAGAAAGGGAAAAAAAAAAAAAAGGAAAAAAAATCGGAAGAAAAAATCGACCCCAACCGGATCGCATCTCTCGCCCGGAGCCCCGTCAGCCTTTCTCTCCGTCGCTTCTTAAAGGCCGAGGGTGTGTGAAAAGGGGAGGGGATCTTCCGATAACGACCCTCCAAGGGTTCGTCACGACGCCTTGGGGTAGGAAGCTGGGAACTGCGACGCCAACTCGAGGAGGCGAGCAAAAGGTGGGCAGGAATGGTCAACGAAGAGCGGAGGGGCACGGCCGCCCGGCTGTCGCAAGGCGATCGGGCGGCCTATTCGATAACCAATGCGCCGGCTCAGGCAGCGGACAACAGGAGGGGCCGTCCTAGTAGGCCGACAAGATCGTCTCGAAGCGAACAAGCAAATGACGAAAGCGACGAAGAGGAGGACGATGAAGAGGACGAACGCGACGAAGACAGAGACGACAACGACAACGACTTCTCCTCCGTCTCCACCGACGACGAACCCCCCCCGATCCACGCCTACGGCCACACCTACCACGGAAGCGGCCGCATCCTCATGCCCAACGACGAATCCGAGCGCGCCCGCCTCGACATCCAGCACAACCTCTTCAAGGCCTGCCTGGACGGCCACCTCACCCGCGCGCCCCTCGACCCGACCCGCCCGCTCGCCATCCTCGACGTCGGCGCCGGCTCCGGCGTCTGGGCCGTCGAAATGGCCCAGCGCTACCCGCTCGCCCGCATCCGCGCCGTCGACCTCTCCGCCGCGCTGCTCCCCACCGCCGTGCCCCCCAATGTGGTTTTCGAGATTGTCGATGCCGCGGAGCCCTGGCCTCCGGGGGAGGGCGAGGGGGAGGGGGAGGGAGACGGCGAGAAAGAGGCACGGGGGGCGAATGACGGTGAAGGAAGCGAAGGCGAAGGCGAAGGCGGTGAGAGTGGGAGTGGTGGTGGGAGTGGTAGGGAGGGTCTCGACTTTGTCCACGTGCGGAACCTGGTCGGCGGCGGCGTGAGGGACTTCCGCGCCCTGTACGCCCAGGCGCTCCGCCACTTGCGGCCCGGGGGTCAGATCGAGGTGGCGGAGGTGCGGCCGCGGTGGTTCCATTTCGAGGACAGCGCGAACGACGAGGAGGACCTGGATCGGCCGCTGTTCAGTTTTCGTCCGGAGAAGGCGTCGTCGTCTGGACGAGAGGGCGCGGGGTCCTCGGATGCGGCGAATGCGGCGACGACGGCGACGACGGCGAATGCGGCGACGGCGGCGGTGGAGGCGGAGCTGGAGCGGTTGAGGCTGGAGGGGGAGGAGGCGGCGGACGATGCCGCCCGCGCGTGTCGCGAGATGGAGATTTACATCAAGCACTTCTCCGAGCAGCTGGGCGTGGACTTTGATCCCACCCCCAAGGTCCGCAGGTGGCTGCGCGACGTCGGCTTCGAGAAGATTGTCGAGATGTCCGACTTGGTCCCCATTCGGCCTGTTGGCGGGGACGAGAAGATGAGGCGCAAGGGGGCTTTGGTTGCACAGATGATGGAGTATGGTCAGTGTGCCCCATTCCCACCTTTCTTCCCCCTTCCCGCTTGAGCACGAGTGCTGACCGATGGTAGGAATGGAAAACTATACGCTGGCGCTGTTTGGCAAGGGAGGCCTACCGGAAAGTCGGGCGCGGAATTTGCTGGAGAGGATCCAACGCGGCGTTCGGAATGCCTCGTTCCAAGCCTATGTGAAGGTGTAAGTCGACCCCCCTTTCCTTCACCAAGTATGTATGGCTTGCTCAGGGGCTGGCTGTACAGCCTGTACTGTACTGTCCCCTCGCATATACTGATCATCTGTTGCAGCACATTCATCACAGCCAAGAAACCGTTGCAATAGCGTTAGAACCAGGGTCAAAGGTTCCTCGTTGGGAGGGTAGGAGTTGGATGGAATCAACAGGTGGAACAACGTGTCTGTGTCTTACTGGGTGGTTTGGTTATTCGGATATTGGTAGCGAAAAGGGGTCGGAGTAGGGGTATCACAGGGACATATACCATCTTATATTAAGGGGTAACGGGGGGCATTCTAGTCAGCTTGGACGCGGCCGCTGTATTGTCATGTCTCATGAGTTCGTGAAGAGTCCTCCATATGCCCAGCCCACCCCAGTTCAATGGTTCATCGTTGCCGCAGGTTCGCTCTTGATATCATCGACTGTCGTCCCGTCGGTTGTTGTGCTCTTCTTGGTCCCGTTCATCTTTTCAGCTTCCATGGCCTTCGCCTTCCTGGCCAGCTCCTCAAACTGCCTCTTGGGCTCGTTAACCGGCTGGAAAGGCTTCGCCAGTCCGCAGCGCGAGAGAAAGCCGTTGACCCGGGCGTATACAAGGTAGTAAGCGCTCGCTAAGCCCAGTTGGATCATGGGTATGACGGCCAGTGTGAAATTACCTAGACGTTGACGTTTGCCGTTAGTATCCGTCGCATCCCCTGTCCATCGCATCCCCTGAGGACCCAAAGACGGGGAGACTCACTGAACACACCCTTCCTCCTCGTAATGACCTCCCACAAATCCTCCGTCATGACCTGCACGGCACCGGGCCACGCCCACGGCCCCACGAGGCGGAACTTGACCGTAAAGTTCGGCGCAGCCGCCCAGATCCACGGAAGCCGCCAAAACGGCCTCCTCGCCGCATGCGCGAACCCCAGCCGGACCACCTGCGTGAAGCTCGGCGCGGCATCCATATCGAGGGCGAGCTGGTACGCGTAGCTATCGTGCTCCACGCCGTAGCCGAGGCGCGCGGCCGGCGGGGCGATGAGGCGGTAATGCCACTCGTCCTCCGGCAGCAAGGGCTTCCGGACGCGGCCCAGGAGGTGGGCGATCCAGAGCATGGCCTGCAGCTCCGACAGCGGGGGGATGGCGCCGAAGCCGGGGCGCACGAAGCCGATGAAGGCCACGGTGGGGTCGTCGCGTTTCCAGATGGCGCGGACGTCGGTGTCGTGGGCGAGCGGGTACGGCTTGCGGCCCTGGTTGGCGGGGGGTGGGAGGAAGGGGAAGCTCTGCAGGTAGCCCGTGGCGAAGATGAGGACGTCGGGCTTTATGAGTTGGTTCTTGATCGAGTGGTATTCTTCCCGGCCGTTGTCTTGGAAGTGGGCTACGCCTGAGGGGTCGATGTGGGATGGGAACGGCGCCAGGTCGATGATCTTGTCCGAGTCCTCGACGGGGGTGTGGAGGATATATTCCCGGATCCTGTCTGGTAGGGGTTTGGGGCCTCTGGGACGCCAGGGGGGTGTGACGTGTTTGTTTACGTTGGGCCAGGCCTTGTTGAAGAAGAGCCGCGAGGCGTGGAACTTCTCGGGGGGTACGGCGCCGATGAACTGGTCGAAGCCGTGGGGTGCTCCGGTCGATATCCAGGCACTACCGACGGCCACCTTGTCGTAATGGTCCCAGACGATCATGGAGTCCCGGACGATGGGGTGGACGTACATGGTATCGAAGAGCGAGAGGTGGCTCACGTCGACGGGAGGCGATTCGGGCAAATAGGTGGGGGCGTCTTTGGGGGGTTTCCAGATCTTGGGCAAGAACCTGGTGTTGGCCAGTTTCTGCAGTTATCCATGGATGTGCTGTTGGTAAGTGCATGTGACGAGAAGACGAGACAACAAGAGAGGAGGGAAAGGCAACATAAACTCACCTTGGGTGCAGCAAGCCATCCATTACGGTGACATAGGACAACCCTCTTCGTCGGCGACCGAATAGCCAGCGCAGCGATATCAAAGCTCGTCTCTCCGCACCCGAGGACCAGGACCGTCTTGTCGACGCCAAACTGCTCGCGGCTCTTGAAATCCGCCGAATGCATCACCACAGGGACGTTCTCGACGCCGGGGAGGTCCGGGATGTTAGGAACTTGATGCAGCCCGGAGCAGACAGCCACGGCATCGCACTCCCATTCGACCTCCTCCCCCTCGGGGGTCCTGTACGTGACCACATGGCCGCTCGCCTCCGCCACGTCGCCCCCTCGCCGTACGGACAGGACGCGGGTCGACAGGTGAATATGCGGCCAGAGGTCGAAAGCCGAGGCGTACTGGTTGAGGTACTCGAGGTAACGCTCGGCGGAGAGGAAGTCCGGGTCGTCTCGCCTGGGGCGGAAGTCGGAGAAGGAGGTTAGGAACTTGGACGAGACCAGCTCGGCGTCTTCGTAGACGTGGTGGTAGAAGATGCCGCCTATCTGGGAGGCGGCCTCGAAGAGCTTGGCCTCGATGTGCGTCCCGGGGAAGAAGTCGCCGGCTTGGGATAGGTATTTGAGGGTGACGAGGCCTGAAGGCCCACCGCCGATGACTGCTACGCGCATCTCGATTCCCCCGGACTGTCCGAGCTTTTGACTTGTGCAGAGGAGGCACAGAGTACAGTCACAATCAGTGGGGTTAGTGGGCAGGTTATGGCGAAGGTTATAGCGAAGGGGACAAGAACGAAGACGAGGACGAGGTCGAGGACGACGATGGCCGGCGGCAGAGAGCGGAGCGCGAAAGTGGCGGCACGGCGTTGCCCACATGCACCCACCCTTGCGTCCATGCTATTCTCTTAGGTATATTACAGCTATTACTGCTCAAGCTATTACTACTGTAGGCCGTAGACGGTAGCCAAACCCAAGCGCTTGGTAGACTGGTCCAGCGTGGCATGGCGTTGGATGGAGTAGAAACCTGCAGTGGAAACTTGGAACTCGTTCTCCGTGGATGCAAGTTGCAACCAACGGCATATGTAGGCATGCGCCATGCAGAATGCACCACCACTCCTTCGTACGTTGTGCTCCGTAGTTCTCCAAGCCTTTCGTCGTGTTCCCTCAGTGGGCATGCCGGATCGTTTATTACATAAATCGTCCCTATCAACATGTGACGGGCCGTCTCCTGGACCCCATGGCTTTGTGCAGAACAAAACAAGGATGAGGAGGGGCTCAGGGTGGGACCTGGGTGAGGTCGGGATTCAGTCTCATACCACGACAGACGATGCAGTCAAGCCAGGATCATCATCCATGAGACCCCTGGTCCAACACTGCTTCCCCTTCCCTTTCCCCCAAGAACTATGCTCTTTGGAAAACACACAAATACAAAATATACGGAATAGTTAGATACTGGGAACCGATCTGTGTGACCAACCACACACTCGGTGGTTACCGATTTTCCCAAATCAGCATCGGGTGTTTCCATAACCCGGAGCCAAGGCCGAAGAGGCCATACCCGAAATAGGGGCTAGGGTCGTTCTGGTATAGGCGATGGGTAAGGGGCTGGGGTCGAGGGGCCCAGATCATCTCCACTCTCCTCTTCCCGCCCCCTTTCCCCCCCCCTTTTCTGCACTTTCTTCTCTTCCTTTCCCTTCCACTCCGTCCCGAGGACCCCAGGAGACGGTTTGTTCGTCAGGGCCAACCCGATGCCATGGCCACGGGCTTAGATTTGTCTCATATTGAGTACGTTGTATAATTTCTCACCTGGTAGTACCGGTATGACCCGGCGCAGGGGTAATCCTTATCCTGAAAGATATTTTGATATAATTTCTTTTCCATTCTCTTGCTTCCGCCCTTCGTATGTCCACATCACCGCTTGGCAAATTCGATGACTGCATGCCCATCCAAAGACACCTCAATGCCATGGAAAGCCACCAGCCGTAAGCCGGCCCGAGAGCCCACCTCCTCCCATAGTGCTGCCGTCCTCTCTTTGCCGCCCGACATCATCATGATAAAGTCCATCCAGATGGAAAACCGGCTGGGGGGGTTGGACATGACATACTCGGCCACCAGAAGCCTGCTGTCGTCCGCCATGGCCTCGGCGGTGCGCTTCATGATGCCCACCACCGTGTCGTCGTCGTAGTTGTGCAGGCAGTGTCTGATGTAGTAGATCAAGGCGCCTGTTTAAAAAGGAAGGGAAGAAAAATCAATCAGCAAAGAACCCTGCTCTCAATGCACAGTCCAGTAAACGCACCTTTGACGGGCTGCTCAACGTGAAAATCAATCGCCATAAGCGTCACCCCCGCCAGCCCAGAAGCCTCATCGCTCCGCACAACCTCAATCACCGGCGCCACGTCCTGCAAGACGCACCGGTCCTGCGAGAGAGGCGAGTCCTCGCCCGCGCAGAACGCCTTGATGCAGTGTCCCTTGCCCCCGCCCACGTCGACGAGCAGCGGCCGGTTGTGGTCCGAAGAACTACTCTTCTTCTTCTCGTCCGCCACCACGTCGGCGACCCAGCCAAAGTCGTACAGCCCCGTGATGGGACCCATGAGGGGCACCTGCTTGTCGATGGCCGTCATGGCGTGCATGAACACCTGCATCCGGCCCGGCTCGGCGTTGAGGACGTCCCAGAACTTCTTCTCCGGGGCGCCGTGCGCGAAGGTGAAGGGGATGTGGGTGAGGCCCTTGGGCTCCCTGCGGCCGTAGGTGCGGAAGTAGCGCGGGAGGGAGGCCGATGATGTGAAGGAGTTGTCGAACCTATGTGTTTACCAGTGCATGTTAGCCGGCTCGGTCCCGAGAGAAAGTTGAGGTCCTGCTTCTTCCGACGTACATGAGCTGCCACATGCTCCTGAGCGGGACGCTCTCGGTAAGCTGTCTCGACTTGGGCGTATGTCTCACTCGGTCCTCTCCCACCTGTTCCAGCAAGCCGCTCGAGACCATCAACCACGCCAGCCGAGCTGTGTTCGTTTCGCTCTCCCCATCAGTCTTTTCCCTCAACTCTTTCACGCCCGCCCCCGCCCCCCCAGCTACAAAGGCAAAGGTGAGAACTTTCCGCGTTTCAACTTGAACTTACTGAGAAGCTGCACCTCGGCGTCCATCTCGTGCGCCAGATCCTCATACGAGATGCTCCCCTCGACGGGGATGACTTCAAAAGCGCCCCATTCGATAAACAGCCGGAGGGCGACGAACTCGGCTCCCGCCGTCGACTGGTTCATCCACTCGGGCTGCGGAGGCCTCGCTGCGTCCACGATGGCCTGCGCCGCCTCCACGATCCGCTCCCGGCGCTCGGTTTCCACGCGGTCGGCGTCGTCTCCGTGCGCCGGTGTTTTCGAGGACGTCGCCGCAGAGTACGCCGTGATGGAATTCAGCAGCTCGGGTGTGAGGAGGTGGAGTTTCTCGAGCATGTCTCCTCCGTCGGACTCTTGGGCTGGGGTGCTCATGGCTTTTCGACGGGTCTGTGTCCGTAACTGGACGCGTTGCGGGTGTCCAATAGTTGGGCGCGTGAATATGGCTCGAGATCCCCTCGAGAGCCTACGGCGTGAGTAATTATGGCACAGATAACGGTCCGGAAGAAGGTTGGCGTGCAGGCTTCGAAGGAGACAACTTGACAAGGACAACCCCTGAACGTAGGCCATCACTGAAGCTCACCATCCATGCCCCCCACCCCCACTGGAACGCATACAGAGTGGAACGCATTCCGTCAGAGGATGTCCCTTTCCCTTTTGTTAATTCATGTTCCCACCCTTATTATTAATTACCCCTAAAATTGCCAACTTATCACTGAACAAGTGACACGCTACTGGCGGCGGTCCGGTCCTTGAGGTGTCATTGCACGCAGCTTGGCGGGACGTTTTCTAAACATTGATCATCTCGCAATCGCCTCTCGGTGTCTCTCTCATTTTCAGTGTTGGCGTCCTGATAGGCAGATGGCCGATACAAGTGTCTGTCCGAACCACACGCAACCATAAAAACAGAGTCCTGCTTCATCGCCCTCCTTCGATGAGTTCATGTTTGTTCTCACAGGAAACCGGTTTAACTACTACCGTCTCATTTATATACTTACCTATCAAACATATCAAACCGTTAACTATGTTTCATACATATCCCTATTGTTCGCTTTCTTTACGTATATATTTCACATGCGTAATGTCGGTGAGTTGAGGCTTTCCAAAGTGGCGTCTGGCTCTCATCCAAAGCGTAAGGAACCAGAAGCTTCAAGCCACGGTCGTAATTAATTCCACAAATCGCGGCGTCTCCCCCGCAGGAAGAAAATACTAAACATACCTTTCGTAGCTGTATTCGTATCCGTAGTAAAGAAGCGGAACCTTGTCAGAGTAGAGGCTTCAAACTCGACAGTTCTTAGACGACCACCCCATCGCATTCACCACCTACGACACCAAGTCCGAGGCATCAGAAACTACGTTTAACACGTTTGGACGGTTACCGACGACCCAACCCCTCCCAGAGACTGCATCTACAACAAATCACATATGCCGTCTGTCTCATTATCAGAATTATCCTTGAGAATGGCTCCGAGTACGTCCACCCTGGCCCGAGGGTCACACCATCTCCCGTTCCCTTTTACTATCACCCATTAACACCGTATGCTTCTCTTAAGCCGGGAGAGAAGATCGCGGCCTCTTGCTAGGTAGTCCCGTGCGAGCAGACGCACTCGAGACACGTGCAGCCACCGGTGAACCAAAGAAGCCACCCCAGTCCCTGCGGCCATGCCTCGTGCGGCCTCATAGCGGGATAGACCAGAATCAGAAGCCCAAGAAGCAAGTCCGGTTCCGCTTGCAGGGATCTACCGTCGCATTCCCAGGCGTTGAAGTCGATGAAGGAGGTGAGCAGTGTTCTTCCTCGCGGGGCCCCGATAAAGAGTACGATACCAACGATCTCCAGGTCCAGTTGGCGTGGCCACAACTGTGACGAACAGTGGAAGTTGTAGCCTCGGAACAACGTCGAGTTGGAATACGATACTCAACCGGCGAACATCCTCGTATGAGAAGAGACACAGAGACCGAAAAGAAAGGAGGAAACAAAGGGAAAAAAGGAAGAAGGAGAAAAGCTATCGACAAGAACTGGCACGATGGAGTTGGACGCATGTAGACCAAGGGAAAGGTGTAAAGTATACGTGAATCTGGGACCAAAGTCGTTCTCACTACTTTCTACACATGTATTAGTGTCTACCGAGAATGGCATCGAGATCCTTTTCGGGAGAGCAACACCGGAAACTAGAACTCACAAGGACCAGAGGAAGAATGTTGTTCGCTGGAGACGGGAAGCAAACATCAGGGAAAATCTTAGCGTTATGTCATTGCAAATATACATGGCAACTGACGATGCCTGCCTTTCGTCCTCCTCTGCCCTTCTCTCCACCATACATGTAACTACAACGTGACCCGACCCATCATCTTGTCGGCCTTCACTTCGAAGCCGCCCTGCCCTGCCCCCGACTCGGTCCCTGGGACAAGCCCTGGCTCTGACCTCCGCTGGCGGGCATGCCTGGAAGCCCCTTTCCTTTCTCGTGTTCGGGTAGAGGGGCGGTCTTGTCGGCGCGGGAAACCTTGGACTCCTACACGGTTCCCTCGGTCAGTACATACAGGGCAAAGCCAAGACGAATAGTACGTCTGCGTTGTGGCGAGGAAAGGAAAATAAACGCACCTCGACCGGGCCGGCTCCGTGGATGATGTTGTGGCCCGTCTCGGTGGCGTTGTCGGCGATGTGGCCGGACCCTTCACGAGGCATGTTGACGAGGTGGATTTGTGGATTTGGTTTTGTTGATTTTTGTTTGACTTGGGGTTTTACGTCCTCGAGGGAACTGATCGGGTGAAGAGCGGCGTATGTATCGTTTGTGATAGTTCAAGCTTGCTTGATATTGATGAGAGACCAGAGCTGAGAGCTCCACATCGTCGAGCTACACGGGTGACGGGGGTTTATATCGCGGGCCTTCCCCTCTTCCCTCGACGTCATTTATGCTATTCATGTCGAAGTACCTTACTCCCTTAAATTTAGTCCGCCTGGTACATCGGTTCTTTCTAATTCTCCCAGCTACCTTACTAAGGTATGTATATAAGCCATTGACTCGTAGCTAGGAGGATGCTAAAGCCCAGTCGTCATAGGAAAAGAGAGCTACGGACGGGAGGAACGTCATAGCAGGGGCGTACTCCGTACAGTGTGCTAATTATAAGCTATGAGGTAACGACTTTGCGTGGCTCGTGCTCTGTTAAGTCGCTCCGTAAGGGTCCGTATCACACCAACACTGCGCAAATCATAGCGAAACCCCACTGTCCTCCGTATACAGGTACAATATTAATACTGTCACTTCCGCAAAATCATTTTTCCTACATCTCCGATCCACCGATAGTTTGTGGCCAAAACGACCGAAGCGCTCTGCATTATGTGCTTGTGTAGAGTTGCTTCGCTACGGACCACTGGAACTCGCAGGCCAGACCGGAGAACGTTTTGGAACCCGCCACGCAAGACATTGAATTACACATCCGTACTCTTCTCTTCTGCTATACGTCTGGGGATTAAACGAGCCGTCTGATCGGATCCTGTGTCCTATGCGCTTAATAACTCGAAGTCGAAATGAGGACCGCGGCTCGGCGTCAACAAGCCTGACCTTATAGAGACAGCCCATCCTTGAGAAAGAAGAGGAAAAAAAAAAGGAAGAACAGAGTAGTGGGAGCGATGGTCTTCCGTCTTCTGCTAACACATAAGATTCCTTTTCAAGTAAACCGAGTCTTGAGTCCAGCACCATCACAGATAGCCTCCTACTAAGGTATATCCCATTAAGGACTCTCCGTGGGAACCTCGGAACTGGGCACACTAGGAGGCCCCAATGCTCGTGGCTTCATCCTCTACGGCATCGTCATCCCTGCCGCTGGCCGTCCACGCGTTCGGGGTTCGCCTCTTGACCAAATCTCCCCCATCTCTCCGCGCCGTTGGCATCTCACCGAAAGTCACCTTTTTACGCCCCCAGGTGAATTATGACGAACGAGTGTACTATCGTCACCTCCTTCATGATGACCGTACGAGGCAGGAGAAAAGTGATTTCGTCTTCCGATTCGCCCAAGATAGCACGCCACGCGACGGACAGGCACGCCGTTTCTCCTCGGACCTCCGGCGACAGACGAGTACCTACGTTGTACGTTGTAAAGCCCTGATGCCAAGCTACCAAGCCGCGAAGAACCCGGAGTGGATATCCGGCCACGGTCGACAGGGGGCCAACTCCGCAGATTTTTTCTTTCTTTCTTTGCCCCTCATTTCCTTCGGCGATTATTCAGGAAAGTCAGGGTAACTAAGAAATAGTGGGCCTACTAACCGTCTTTGTTTGTTTTTGATTCTAACGCGTGGCCGCCCCCCTTCTTTTTTTCTCAAGCGCGCCCCCTTCTTTTCCCTTCCCTTTTTCTGTCTTAATATGTATTTGAATCTATGGCTATTTGCCCTGATATGCGTGCTTGAGAAGACGACTTGCTAGACGAATAGGCGCCCGGCAGAATCGCGATACTAGTTTCGTGCCTAGTGGTGGTGGTGGTGGTGGTGGTGGTGGTGGTGGTTTGGTTCCTCGGATATCGAGATACCTGCGAAACCCACTTAGTTTTGGGTGGTGGAGATGTAGTGGATCATCTAACCCAAAAAGAGTTGAGTCGACCCGGAGGATCAAATAAGGAGGGACGGAGGACCGGTACTCGGAAAACATACGGACGAAGAAAGGAAGTGGAGTGGACTCGAGGATCGACGAGTTAAGTATCCGAAGTCAGGACCGATGGAGAGAAGTCCCAGAACGGAACAAAAAGGGATAAGCGGTATATGGGGCCCGTGGGACGTGACGAGACGAAAGAGACTGAAAGCTCCATTTGGTAGGTGAGTGGAGCATCAACGGGACGCTAAAAATATTAATCAAATTCGCTTTCGAGCATCGTCAGGTACAGCGAGACTAATAATCGTGGACGAAGGGGAGGGGGGGAGAGAGGAGTTGTGATGGAGGAGTTAAGACGTGGTGGACGCTCAGTGGGCGTATAATACTGAGTCCTCCTTGGCCGTGTATCCGTGGAAGAATGTCAGGCTATCATGTCAATGAGTTCCTCGGAGGTTCTAACATCGTGGGCATCGGCATCGTTAAGAAGGCCGTCCTCCATTGCCCATTGCCCATTGCCCATTGCCCCCATCGCGATCGTCCTGTCCTTCTGTACGTTGTAGGTACTCCACTTCCGGTGAGTCGGCCGAAAACTGGGCCACGCCGTGGGGATCACTCTTGGCGAGACAAGTGCAAAATAGGTCGGTATTATTCGTGTGATGTGAAAAGTGGTGTGAGAAAACTCGTCTTGTTGTGTCAGGACCCTGGGGGAGTGAGGATTGGTATAAGTTACGGAGCGCAGTAATTAAGGTATTTAGTACGAAGCATCCGGATATAGAACCCTGAAATAGGTGTGGCGCTTAGATAACGGTAATGGAGGCGCCTGTCAGATACAGCGTAACTAGAACCGTGCAAAAATTAGGGTCAAAATTGAAGGGCAAATGTTTGAGGTGATTCTGTAGTTAGAGCCCACTGAGATAACACACCACCACCGTTAATGGCAGAAACGAAAATGACTGCAGGCTAATTACCGCCGTGGGGTACAGAGTTAGTGTTCCTAGTGTTAAATACCTAGTGGCAGGATGCCCCGGACGTAGGGAGGAAGAACATACGAAGTAATACTCAAGTGGAAGGAGACACTAGCAGGTAATTAGACCGACTTATTATCTGACAAGAGTGGAAGGGCTTTGGCTTGACGAGCAAAGGACTTCCGATAATAATGTTAAGAACCTAGGTAGAAGGTTGGCAGCCACTTCCTTGACATTTGATATGATAGACCCTTGCTATATCGGAAAATGCCACGGGTAGGTAGTGTATTGCTGTAAGGTAAAAGTACTTAGAGATTCCGTACTTACGGAACTAGGCACGGAAATATACTTAGCAGTGTGCATGAATGTTGGCGCAGGCCAAGTATCCGTACGAGTCCCTGGAACGCTGGTGATGATCGCTTTGGGTTATTTGCAGTCTAAGGCAGTGGTCCACACGCCCACACGACCTGTACGTTGTACTCCGTGGTCACCGCGTTGCCCTCCTGTCAGTAGGAGCCTTATTCGTCATGGTAATCTCTTGGTAAGGTATTCAGGGTAGGACCACCTCGATGACATGTTACCATCTCTTATACGTCCGAATGCAAGACTTTGTTTGCCCTTACATGTACCCCCATACAATCGGTACAAACGCCGACCCCGCGCATTTGTACTACTACCTTACCTTTTATGGGTAATTCCTTCCCTTGGAAAGGCCCCCACCCAACTTTCAACCACCATACCCGTCACGCGTCAACCGTCACCCCGTGGGTCGTCACCCCATCACTCTTCCCCCGCGACACGTATTTCGTACAACGTACATACCACAAATCAACACCAACACCCCCTCCAGATACACAACTCGATATCGAGTCGCGCCGTATCACGACTCTCTTCAAACACACACACACACACACACACACAGAGAGAGAGAGAGAGAGAGAGAGAGAGAGAGAGAGAGAGAGAAAACACAAAACATCTTTTCGTGGCCCTTCTTATTGTTTGCTGTGGTTCAGAGTTGCTTCCTGGTGCTCTTGTCTACTGAGTATAACGATCACGGCTGCCCCCTCCCCAATCTTCATCCCAAAGCGATCCCGGTCTCCCAGCGAGATCTCTTCTTGTCTTGTCCGTCCATGATTGAGTGACTGGGGTCAACCCCGCCACCACCACGGCATTCTTTTTTGCTCCTCTTGCTCCTCCGTCTTGCTACTCCATCCTCCCTTCTCCTAAATCCTTCATTTCCTTGTTTGGGTTTTCTATACCTTTTTTTTTTCCTTGCTTTTTTTTCCCCTTTCCTGTTTCCCGTCATTTTCTTGGCGGGGATCCCTCCTCTCTTTTCCACCTTCCCCGCCCCCGCCCGACCGCTCCTCGAAAAACAGCTTTGCTCCCCCGTCGTCATCCGTGATACCTTTGCCTCGTCGATGTTACCGACCCTATCATCATGGTTGCCCCGAAACTCATGCAGCAACCTGGCTTGACTGCTGCCGCTCTCGAATCATCCGCCCGCCAATTGAAGTCGTCCACTGCGCCCGCAAATCTGCAAAACCGCGCCTCCCAAAGCATCAGCCCCTATGTCCAGAGCCATGCCAACAGCCCTGTCGCTTGGCAGCTCCTCGACGACGAGACAATCGCCCTCGCGAAGAGGGAGAACAAGCTAATCTTTCTCAACATTGGCTTCAAAGCGTGCCACTGTAAGTTCGACACCTCTCGGTCCCCTTTTCTAGCACACAACCCACCTCTCTTCTGCTGCCCCGTCTGCTTGCTCGACTTCTTGTTCAGCAATGGCCGTTTCCTCTCCCGCTCCCTGATGCCGTCGACTCTTTCTTTCTCTCTCTCTCTCTTTCTTTTGCTCTGTGTAACAGCCAAGGGCGTCGGTCAGTGACAGGATTTACTTTCGTTGCCGCATTCCACCTCTCTCGGCTGCTGCTTCAATAATACCCTCCTCGTCTGGCGCGTCCTCGACGAACCCTTCTTGTCGACGAGGACCCAACCTGTCCCTGCTTCCCAGGGCATCTGCTGACGCACTCGCAGACTGCAGGCTAACCTCGATTGAGTCCTTCTCCCATCCGGAATGCGCCGCTCTCCTCAACCAAGATTTCGTGCCCGTTATCATCGACAGGGAGGAACGTCCCGACATTGATACCATATACATGAACTATGTCCAGGCCGTCAATGGCGCCGGAGGCTGGCCTTTGAACCTCTTCCTGACCCCCGAACTGGAGCCCGTATTTGGCGGCACCTACTGGCCCGGGCCCGGAGCCCGCCTCAAGACGGGCCCCGAAGAGGAGGAGGGCGTTGATTTCCTGACCATCCTCAAGAAGCTCACCAAGGTCTGGCAAGAGCAGGAGGCGCGTTGCCGCCAGGAGGCCAGGGAGGTTCTCGTCAAACTGCGCGAGTTTGCCGCCGAGGGCACCCTGGGCACCCGGAGTACGGTACAGATGAGCAAGATCGGCTTGAGCTCTTCATCCACCGCACCCGTCGCGTCGGCCGTCTTGACCGAGCACCTCCAACCAACCAAGTCGTCGGACGCCGATGTATCCAGCGAGCTGGACTTGGATCAGCTCGAGGAGGCCTATTCGCACATTGCCGGCACCTTTGACCCCATCTACGGAGGGTTCGGTCTCGCCCCCAAGTTCACTGTCCCGGCCAAGCTCTCCTTCTTGCTTCGTCTGCCGCATTATCTTTCTCCCGTCCAGGACGTCGTCGGCCCTACCGAATGCGCCCACGCCACCGAGATGGCCCTCTTCACCCTGCGCAAGATAAGCGACGGCGGCCTACGTGACCACGTCGGCGGCTGCGGCTTCTCCCGTTATTCCATCACCCCCGACTGGAGCATCCCCCACTTCGAGAAGCTGACCGTCGACAACGCCCTCCTCCTGGGACTGTATCTCGATGCCTGGCTCATCAGCAACGGGGACAAGGATGGTGCTTTCTACGACGTCCTCATCGAGCTAGCCGACTACTTCTCCAGCCCGCCCGTGCGCCTTCCCCATGGCGGCTTTGCCTCGAGCGAGGCCGCGGACTCGTACTATCGCCGCGGCGACAAGGAGATGAGAGAGGGGGCTTACAACCTGTGGACACGCAAGGAGTTTGACGCCGTCATTGGCAATGACCACGAGGCCAATATCGCCGCCACCTACTGGAACATCCGCGAGCACGGCAACGTCGAACCCGACCAGGACCCCAACGACGAATTCATGAACCAGAACATCCCGCGCGTGCTCAAGGAGAAGGGCGAAATCGGTCGCATGTTTGGCGTCAGCACCGAGGAAGTCGATCGCGTTATCAAGTCGGCCAAACGGAAACTGAAAGCCCACAGGGAGAAGGAGCGCGTCCGGCCCGAACTCGACGACAAGGTCATCGCCGGGTGGAACGGTCTCGTCATTGGTGCCCTCTCCCGGACAGCCGCCGCGCTTCGGACCATCGATCCGGAAAAGAGTGGGAACTACCTCGGAGCGGCTATCCAGGCAGCCGACTTTGTGCGCTCGCATCTCTGGGATCCTCAAGAGAAGGTGTTGTACAGGATCTATAGGGGGGTACGGGGACATACCAAGGCCTTTGCCGACGACCATGCCTATCTCATCGAGGGACTCATAGACCTCTACGAGGCGACGGGAGAAGAGAATTGTCTACTATTCGCCGACGAGCTCCAGCGTGCGTCTTTTCTCTCTCACTTCCCCGGTCCTTACTGACATTGCTATCTACCCCCAGAAACCCAGATCAACTTGTTCTACGACGATTTAACCCCGGTCTCAACGACGTCACCCAATACGTTGCCCGCCCGCTCATCTTGCGGCGCCTTCTACACTACCCCGGATCCCACCCCCCATGCTATTCTCCGCCTCAAAGACGGAATGGACACCTCCATCCCGGCTACCAACGCCATTGGCGTTTCCAACTTGTTCCGTCTCGGGGTCACGCTGGGCTCTGAGACGTACCCTGCGCTGGCCCGCGAGACCATCAACGCCTTCGAGGCCGAGGTCTTGCAGTACCCTTGGCTCTTCCCCGGCCTCCTCTCGGGCGTCGTCAGCGCTCGCCTAGGTGGCAAGATCTGGGCAATTGTCCGCGATCCGGCCGGCAACGACGGCGAAACCACCCACAAATTGCTTACCAAGCTATACGGTGAAGCTCGCGGCGGCCTCCGGAATATATTCATTATTAAGACCGAGAATGACCTCGTCGTGCAGCGAAACCCGCCTCTCGCCGACATAGTGAAGCAGGGCCCCGGGGCGTATATCTTCGACAATGGACACTTCCGACCTTGCACCAAGACGGATGTCGAGTATTAGACTATTTTCCTAAGGAAGAGGCGGAAGGGGGATGGGAGGGGGAAGGACCCAGGTTTTCATGATATGTTCAATGGGTTTAAATGCAGATGGGTTATTTATTTAGATGGTGGTCGAGGTGGTATCTCCCTTGGATGGGCAATGGATTATCTACATTGTTTATCTACACACGGCCTGGTTCTGGTCTTGGGTATTCGGATCTTGGGGACATATTGGGGATATAAACGGGCGTCTACGCTATAGGCGGCCAGCCAACCGGACCGTAAAACGAAATCCCAGCTGGATGTAATTCTTTTCCGGGACCCTGAGACCCAATATATACGAGATATGTATGTTCCTGGCTCTCTCGACTCCTTTCAGGATACTTCCTCTACGCCTCAGGTAAAAAAAAAAAATTCGTTTCTTTTTTCATTGGGAAAAGGGTATCTATTTCTACACAGCAGAAGTGGACGTGATAAAACGAGACCGTCTCGTCGGGAACAGCTCAGTCGAAGACGAGCCTCTGTGCCAGCCAGCGTTCGTCCCACCCGTCTCCTCCCGATTAAAGCAAGGTGATGTAATGGCTTCGTCCTCTGCCCGGTAGCCTGGTCTCCCTCGTCTCAATAGGAAATGCCAACTTGAGGCTGTTTGGCTTGCTGCAAGCCACTTTGCCAGTATCCAGACGTCCACGGTGTGAAAGCATGAGTGCTCATCAAGGGAACAAATAGTATTTACCCTCTTCTCACATCGCCCGCCCCCCTCGGCTTCCGCTTTTCTCATGCGCATCTCTGAAAACCGGCTGCCCCCTATCTATTCAAAACATGGAAAACAGAAGGCAAAAAGGAAAAGAAATGTAGGCAGGTAGCGGCGGCACATGGGAAAGACGGCCCCCGGTCATCGCTCAGGAAGCACTCGCCCGCGGGGTGCCGACACTGCCAGCAGCGCCACCAGCGCCGGCTGTCTTGCGGTTCATCAGACCGCTGAAAAAGGCCTGGAGGTTCTCCGTGTCGATGACGTCGCCGGACTCGGCGGCGCCGTCGCCCGCGCCCGCGCCCGCGCCGGGGGAGCCGGAAGCAGCCCGGTCAGGGATGGCGGCGGTGTAGGCCTGGCGGTCCTTGAGGCGCTGGACCATGTCGTCGGCGTCGACCTGGATGCCGCCCATGTTGAACTGCACGGGGCCGATGTGGTCGCTGACCTTGCCGTCCGAGGCGGTGGTGAGAGGGTGGCGGGCCGTGCCGTGGTCCAAGGCGGCTGAGGAGGAGGAAGAAGGAGGGGTGGCGGACCGGGCTCCTTTGGTGGGGTCCGATTTCTGCTCGGCCTTGACCTTGTAGGCGTCGAGGGCGGCGAGGCTGGAGGAGAGGAAGTCCTGGGCCTCGTCGGACTGGACCTCGAGGCGGGAGGCGGAGTCGGCGTCGTCGGCGCCCAGGGCGAGGGCTTCGGATGCGGTGGTGAGGTCGCGGATCCAGTCTTCGTAGGGGGCGATGGCGGAGGACCAGGTCTCGCCTTGGTACGAGCCGTCCGCCTTGGCCTTGGCGAGGACGTTGAGGCCCTCTGTCGTCATGGCGGGGTCGGTGAATTCGGATTGCAGGTCGCGCGACCAGCCGATGCTTGTGGCCTCGACGTCGAACCCGTCGCGGAGGACGCGGATCTTGCCCCAGGAGTCCCAGTTTGGCGGGACGAGGATCTTGTCGCGATCGATGACGTTGTGTTTAAGGGGTTGCCTCTTGAGGAGGGAGGTGACGCCCAAGCTGGAATGGACCAGGCTTGGTAGGGGTGAGGGTACGTTTGGTGTGGTGTAGATGAGGGATGCTCCGTCTATGCGAGATTGTGTCAGCCCAAGAGGACAGATGGATTCTAGATGCGATGTTCCGAGGTTTGTCACCTACGTCTGAGTAATGTCGTCCGCAAGTACTGCAGGACCTGATCGAAGTCGCCTTCTTTCCAACCTTGTGACTTTTCCAATAGTTCGATCTTCTCGGCCTAGAAATTGTTGAGTACATCATGTCCCTTGACGGGAGAGGGAGGGAGGGAGGGAGAGAGAGTAAAAGTCCGTACGTACCCTTTGGCAAACCACGCAAAGGGGCAAGCCCAGCGCTTCCTCCCACTCTCCTGGACCCAGGGGCAACGAGACGTCGTCCTCGCCCGTTGCTCCGGTCGCGGTGCCGTCGAGATTGACAGAGCTGCCGCCGCGCCCCCTGTCTCGCCAGCTGACCATGACTTCCTCCATGACGGCCTGGGATTCGCGACTAGTCTTTTCCAGCACATTGCGCATGAAGAGGATCCATTTCCGCAGTTGTCGCATCCAGAGATGGGGGGTGGACCAATCTAGCAGGATGACGAGGAGAGTATTCGGTATGGACTCGGGGGTGAGTAAGGGCTCGAGCAATGCGGGGAAGGCTTCGGAAGGGTTGGAGAGCATGTAGAGGGATATCCGGGCCAAGATGTCTGCCGATTGCCCGTCAGTATTCTAAGAAAGAAAAAGGGTGAGTGTCTATACAGACCTTCATGGTCGGCATCTAGTACGTCGTAGTAGGTATAACCGAGGGCAAAGCTGTTTGCGACGGGAGGTGCCCTGGAGCTCTGTCGATCGAGACTGCGTTTCTCGCTCCCGTTGGATAGGGATTCTAGGAAATCTCTCTGCGATTCGGAACTGCCGCCTAATACGATGATGTTCTTCTCCGGCAGACGTTTGCCGCTGGCGACTGAGTCGAGGAGGGAGCTCCAGAGATCCTTCCTCTCCCCATTGCGGCCGTCAGAGGCCCCCGATGCAGCTGTGTACGTGGAGGCCCGGTTCCCATTCGCAGTCATGGTCACGTCTGCCCACTGGCCTTCATGGGTGAAGGGCGACGCGGGGGGCAGGAAGCTATGTTGTCGTGGAGGCCGAGTGCGAGATTCGAACGCTCAGAGTATACGAATGGTTTCGAAGGGCGTTCGATGGGGAGAGCACGACGCGTCTAATCGTGTTTCTGTGATCCGGATCTGGCGTTGGAAGTCCACGACGACAGACGAGATATTGATAAGGTGGAACGGGGCGTAATTAACGACTTGTTGGCTGTGAGAGATGCTGAGTTGGTCTCCATCTCAGAACCCCCTTCAACGGTTCACGGACCAGGAGCTAGACAAATCGCTGGACTGGACCCCCCTGGTACAAAGGAGACGTGACCCTGGGTGTGTCTATCTTGTATCGGCCCGATGTTTTTCCAGTCCCACTTCATCTGCCGAAGCCGAAAGGGAGGAAATTGAACCCTTGCTGCCACCCGTGTTCACCTGAGACTGCTGTACCTACAAGGTACCTGGAGATACTCCGTATTCCCTGGTACGAAGCTAACTTGAGAGGTACGCACGGGGTATATGTCAGCGCTGGCGTCAGTCACAGCTGAAGCCGAAGGAAGCTGTGCTTCGATCATTCTCTCCGTCAGCCTTGCACCTTGAGCCTTTCCACCTTGCGCAAGAAGCTGCCTGTCACCTTCTGACCCCAACACAGAACGCGATGAACCAAATACGTGCAATACAAGCGCTAAACAAGAAGGAGATTGAAAATGGAATGTAAGTCAAAAGATTGCTTCTTATAACTCTTTTCTCTCTCCTAGCTTTCCGCACGAACAACAAGTTTGCTAACACAACCCCAATCCAAAAGCTCCCCCGAAGCCTCCTGGCACGTCGACTACCGCGACACCGCCTTCGTCTACTTCGGCGGCCTCCCCTACGAGCTAACCGAAGGCGACATCATCACCATCTTCTCCCAGTTCGGCGAGCCCGTGTGGCTCAAGCTCGCGCGCGACAAGGAGACGGGCAAGTCCAAGGGCTTCGGCTGGCTCAAGTACGAAGACCAGCGCAGCACCGACCTGGCCGTCGACAACCTCGGCGGCGCCACCATCGGCCGCCGCCTCGTCCGCGTCGACCACGCGCGCTACAAGTTCCGCGACGACGAGGACCCGGACGAGGGGAAGGTCGACTGGGCTACCATGACGAGGCGCGAGCGCGAGGCGGCCGGGCAGGGGCCCGACGAGACCGAAGAAGACGAGAGCGAGCGGGGGGGGGAGAGGCCCATGCTGCCCCAGGAGAGGGAGCTTGCACTGCTCGTCCGGGATCACGACGAGGATGATCCCATGAAGGCCTTCTTGGTCGAGGAGAAGAAGAAAGAGGTCGAAGAGGCCGTGGGGCGGTACGAGAAGGAGCAGAAGAGGAAGAGGAGGAAGGAGGAGGAAAAGGAGAAGCGTGAACGGCGGCATCGGTCGCATCGGTCAAGACGACATGATAGCGATGACGAGATGCGGGACGCCGATCGCGACGAAAGGCATAAGAGCCGGAGACTACGACGGGATGATACCAATACAGATTCGGACCGTGAGGACCGGTCCAACAGGCGCCGTGATTCGCGCGAGCGCGAAAGAGGCCTCGACCGGGAATCCAAGCGTGAGAGGAGAGATCGCGATCGGTCAAGAGAGCGGCGTGACAGGGACAAAGACAGAGACAAGGACAGAGGTGGGAAAAAGGATGTGGATGACGATCGAGAGGAGAGGAGGCGGGATTACCGGCGGCGACATGATCGAGACGCGGATAACGGCCTTCCCAGGCGACGACAGTATAAGGATGACGAAGTAGATGATCGTCGATACAGGAGGCCAAGTCGGAGTCGGAGTCGGTCAAGATCACCTCGACCGCGGAGATAAGGAGGCCAGCTGGTGTATTGCTGAGTTAATGAATCAAGATATCACGGAAGAAGAAGGGGCAAAAAGAGAAGAAAGAATAAGAAAAGAATAATCAAAGCTCATATTTCCCTATTCATGATGACGCTCTTATGCCAAGTCCCCAGTCCCAGTCCTGATCCTCCCATAGCCTCATAACCCTTGCCGTGGTTCCGTCGTAACGCCAACATAAAACAAACTGCCGAAAAGAAAAGGGAAAAGAAAAAGGGAAAAGAAAGAAAGGAAGCAAGGAAGAAAGAAAATAGTCAAACCGGTCCACCAGTATTGCTCAACACACCGGCACCACCCTCCTCAGTACTGTCGTCCTACCGAGTACTGCCCAAGCACCGTCTCCACCCCTCGCGCACGCATTCGCGCTTCCCGTCCACGCCGTCCCGGGTCTTGCGGATGACAAACTTCTCCCACTTGGGTTCGTGGCCGGCCCCCACCACGACCAAGGTGCTGTCGTCGATCCAGCCGATGACGCCCTGCTGGGGCCTCGACGCGGTTGAAGAGACGTCTGTCCGGGACTCAAACACGGCGCTGGCAAAGGAGTAGGTGTCGGAGAAGACCCGGGGCATGAAGGGCATCTTGCCCAGGAACCCCCACTTGCCTTTTCCGTCGTCCTTGCTCCCGTCAACAGAGGTCGAGTCCTGACGGCCCGGCGCGGGCATGTTGGCGAGGGTCCCCGTGCCTGGGATGGCGGTAGGTATCGAGCCCGCGGCCGTCGTCGAGGTCGTCGTCGTTGAAGACGGATCCGGTTTGTTAGGATGCGGCACGTCGAAAATGTGCAAAGTGGATTTGTCCGAGGTGCAGGCGAGCATGGTGCCGGAGGGGTTAAAGGCGAGGTGGAAGATGGTGGAAGGGTCGACGCCACGGCGTAGCTCGGCGAGGCGAGCGCGCGTCCTAGTGGACCAGATGCGGATGAGGGTGCCCTTGTAGCTGGCGGTGGCGAGGAGCTTGCCGTCACGGCTCATGTGGAGGGCGCGCAGCGGGGAGTTGTGAGCCGGGATGATGTTAACGGTCCTGGTGGCGCGGTCGACGAGCTGGACGTGGCCCGGGGTATTACCCAGCAGGGCAAGTAGGCGGTCGGACATGCAGCAGAGGCCGAGTAGATTCGGGGCCGTCTCGTAGTGGGAGACGAACTCGGGCCTTTTGCTGACGGTGTAGAGCCTGACACTGTCCTGGAGGACGACGACGATGTGGCGTTGACCCAAGAGATCGCCTTGTAGGACGCGACGGACGGGCTGGAGGAGGGTGATGTAGGTTCCCGGTTTGTCGCGCTGGTCGTCCCATAAGACGACCTTGTTCTGGGAGAAGTGAGAGTGAGTGGCGTTGCCCACGAGGGCAAGGTAGTTAGTCAGGCCCATCATTTCCACATGAGCTATGGGACCCTGAAAGTCTGTATAATGGGGGTGTTGTAAGCAAAAGGGTCGAGATGATTGGGAAATTGTGTGAGAGTAAAAGAGACGAGGGAGAGGGTGGAAATGGAAGACACCAACCCTTGATCGAACGGAGTGAACATGTCTCTGTCACGAATACTGGGATGAAACAGTTAGTAACAGGTATATCATCATCGACTATCACGAAAATCCATGAGAGAGACTTGTATTTACCGGCATAGCCCGAGTTGAGGCCCAGGGTGAAGTGTGATGCATTATTGTTGAACGAGACGGAGAGCACCTCATTCGGCACCAAGCCCTTTATTGAGGGCTGGGTATACATGTTGAAGTGCAGAAAATGATAGTATAAAAAAAGAAGCCCTCCGGACGGAAAGAATAATGGAAAGCTGACAAGAAACCGAATCTGGAGCAGGGGACTATGGCTGTGCGGTTGAGAGGAGACGGCCACAAGCCTTCAGTGTCGTCCTCAAGTCCAAGTGTTGACGGGGGCGGTGATGACGAGTTGCAGGTGGCTAGTCGTCCGTCATCCTCGGAAACTGTCCTCTTCCAAGCCTTTTTCGTGATAAAAGATGTTCAGATAATCTAGTATCAGTTAGTGATTGTCCGGTCTATCAAATATAATTGATGAGAAGTTGCTGCATCGTCTCTGGAACCGGGGGGTTATGATGCGCTGCCCATACAACATCGGTGGGGCAGCGAAGACGGCATTCAGGGGAGGTGGGTGAGGTGAAAGCCGAGAGCGGACAAAGTGATAGGAGATGACTAGTCACCTTGGAGAAGGGGAATCCTACCACCGGCCTCAAGGGTCAAAATTTAAGAGTTGCAATACTTCTTTTGGGTGTGCTGTCCAATATGCCTGATAAGGTACCTTGGAATAGTTGAGGGGGAGGGATCCAGAGGTCAAAAGTCAAGAGACGAGAGGTATAGGTTTGATTTCATCAGGGAAGCGAAACAGGTGTGAACGGGCTACTCCAAGGCTTCATCAAGGTACCTATGCATAATGCCGTGATTCGTTGTCACTTTTCCCATTGAGGAAGTAGGCACCTGGGCGGCGTACGGAGTTGACAATGGAAGCCAAGGTCCAGTCTAGAATAACTTACGCAAGCCATCATATAAGGTATTCTTCCAGGTATACAACGTATTGTACTTACACGTATACTCTATACTACCAGGCAGGTCTAGGGTAGGTAGCTTGGATCTCTTATCTAAATATATAACCGGCCCGACTATTTATCCGTTGCATAAGGTACCTTGCTTGTTTAGGTCTCGTGTGGTCTCGAAATTTAGATGAGAGAAACGGTCACTTTTACTGGACACAGGACAGGGGTCCGTCGAAGTACACAGTACATAGTATTGTAATTACTTTGTATGGTTGGACACGGATGCCCAACGTACGCATAAGGTACTTGGTATATCCAATACGTACACCGGCCGTACTAAAAACCCGGCAGGTGGTTGTTTCCACTTCCCCCAGAAAACCCCCTACGAGTTCCCCCCCCTATAGCGCCCCCTGAATTGGCCTGACACCGTCTCCCCTTACCACTAGGACGTTGCTGCTTGTCGGTGGTACAAAGCAAGCACACCCAGGGATTGGCCGGATACCTCCTGCCTGCAACATTTTATGTGAAATTGCATTTTCAACCTCCCCCCCCCAAGTACCTTCACCCATAGCCAAGCCCAAACAACATCTTTTCCCCCATCTCCTTTAGCCTTCTTCCCCCCTACGCCCCCATTTCGCTGTTGCAACGACCTTCTCTGTGGGATTCGGCAATTCTCATCCATTGACGCCAAACATCAACGTCAACGGTCCTTCTCCATCCGCCTGGTCGTCCTCGTCCCGACTTCAGACCTCTTCCTTCTTGCTTCCACCGCCCTATTCTGAGCTACGCGACCTCCTGAATTCTCCCTACCGCGCTATTCCCTAATACCACCCGACTCCAATCCGACACCATGTTCTCACCTGCCGTATGTCTAGCTATCCTCTCGTGCTCTTCTTTACACATGTAGTTGAGCAATTGTGCCCCATCTCAACATTCCCCCCTTTCGTGTCCCTTTCCTGCTTGGTCCTGCTACTTTATGCACCGTCCACCGTTTCGCCATTCACCGCATTCACCACACTCACCGCGCACGAACACGCCCGACGTGCTGACCTTGTTTGTGTCCTGCTTAGAAGATGATGCGCAAGAAGAAGAACGTCAAGAAGGGTATCCAGTTCTGTCTGATGGTCTGTGGAGCATCAGGAACTGGTAAGTCGCCCTTTATTTTGCTCCTCTCGCAAGTATCAGAAAAATACACGACATAACACCAGACCAGCTGACAACGCGTGCCCTTGCTTTTCAGGACGAACCACCTTTGTCAACACACTCTGTGGCAAGACCGTTCTTGCCCACAAGGACTCGGACGACCCTAATGATGCTCATGTCGAAGAAGGTGTCAAGATAAAGCCTATCACCGTCGGTGCGTCTACAACATGGCCAGAGCGAGAATTTCAGCCCCCGACTTTCAAGTACTAATTGCTTCATATCCCCATAGAACTTGAGCTGGATGAGGAGGGTACCCGTATCTCCCTGACCATCGTCGACACCCCGGGCTTCGGTGACCAGATTGACAACGAGGCCAGGTATGGGAATCTCTTCCAACGCCCAACACCACTGTTTCTCCTGATCTAGGACTTTAACTGGGCTTCTCTTTGCCTTCTCTCCGGCCACCATGCTAATCTTTTTTTCTTCTTTTTTTTCGCAGCTTTTCCGAAATCGTCGGCTATCTCGAGAGACAATATGACGATATTCTTGCCGAGGAGTCCCGTATCAAGCGTAACCCTCGCTTCAGGGACAACCGTGTTCACGCCCTTCTTTACTTTATCACCCCGACTGGTCACGGGTACGTTTGGAGTGTCGGTTCCATGGCTCTTGGTCTTTTCTCGCTGACCACTCTCCCCGTGATAGTCTCCGTGAGCTCGATATTGAGCTGATGAAGCGCCTTGCTCCTCGAGTCAACGTCATCCCCGTCATCGGCCGCGCCGACTCCCTGACCCCTGCCGAACTGGCTGAGTCCAAGAAGCTGGTAATGGAGGACATTGAGCACTACCGGATCCCCGTCTACAACTTCCCCTATGATATTGAGGAGGATGACGAGGACACCGTGGAGGAGAACGCCGAACTGAGAGGTCTTATGCCCTTTGCCATCGTCGGCTCTGAAGATATCGTCGAGATTGGCGGCCGCAATGTCCGCGCTCGCCAGTATCCTTGGGGCGTCGTCGAGGTCGACAATCCCCGGCACTCAGATTTCCTCGCCATCCGATCGGCCCTTCTCCACAGCCATCTGGCCGACCTCAAGGAAATCACTCACGACTTCCTCTACGAGAACTACCGTACCGAGAAGCTCAGCAAGTCGGTCGAGGGCGGCGCTGGAGTGTACGTCGCGCCCCTGGACCCTTGCGCCATACTTCGCCGTGATGACACAAACGCTAACCCCTTTTCTTTTTATTATAGGGACTCGTCGATGAACCCCGAAGACCTTGCCTCCCAATCTGTGCGGCTCAAGGAGGAACAGCTCCGTCGCGAGGAGGAGAAGCTGCGGGAGATCGAAGTCAAGGTTCAGCGCGAGATCAACGAGAAGCGACAGGAACTGTTGGCCCGCGAGTCGCAGCTCCGCGAGATCGAGGCCCGCATGCACCGGGAAGCCAGCGCCGCCGCTACCCCTGTGATCGACCGCCCAGAGGCGAACGGTGGGGACGTCCAAAACTAAATCTGGCTTCCCTCTGTGGTGCCGCGCTCCCCGGAACATCCTATTGCGCATCTCGTCTCCTCGAGACGCCGCGCCACGTTGGTTCTTTTTCTATGCTGGCGTTGGTTCCTGTTGCCGCTTCTTCCTGCGTCGGTGGCGAAAGGAAAGAAGAAGAAGACTATTCCCCCCCTTGCGTCTGCGATTCTTTGTCTTTTATTTAATTTCTTCGTGTTGATATGAAGATAATAGTCATTCTCCTACTTGAAAGCTAAAAAAAGGTCCACGACTGCAACGATCAAAAAAAGAGCTGCTGGTCTGCTTCACCGGCAGTGGTGTTTGTCTGATGGTGTGCCGCAATAAGGTGCACTATCCTGCCGGTGGACACGTTTTTCTTTTTCGCTTTTCATTTCCTCTCTCTAGAGGCAGAGGATGGGCAAACCACAAAACAGATATAAGGGAAAGAGGATCTGTTCTCACGGGCCAAGACATGTTAGAGCACATGGCTACCTTGTCAAGGTGTGACTGTAAAGTTGAGGGCTTCTCCTCCATAGTCTTCGCTCCTTTGCACGCTCTTCAGCCTGTATTCCCTTTTCGCATAGTAGACTTCTAATGTAGATAGTAACCTCAACTTCAATGCTTCATGTCACCACTACTAGTAGGTCTGGTCTGCAGATTGTTTGGTCGGGGTGGAAATGTCTCCATTTACGCTACCTACCCACCTACTTGGATATTAGAATACAAGTCGCAACTGAGTCCTGCAAACACTGCGAGCAGAGTAGAAAGATGGGAGAGGACACGAGAACAGACGACTGCCGTAGAGAAACCGAAAATCCAAAGAGCCTGAAGAACGCCTTCTGTCCGAGATTGCCAAGCTACGGTCTGTCAACCGCAGCATCGCTGGGCCTGAATTACCATTGTTAAACCTCCCTCCCCCGTTCTCCCGCATGAGAGGATCTCCATCCAACCACGTAAAACCTGTCTTCCTCATCTTGACGTTTGGTTTCTTAACCTCTTCTTTCACGCCACGCAGCAATTTTGCGTACTCGCGCACGGGCCGCTCGCTCAGTTGTTACTCTGGCTATTCAGGATGCGCAGGATGGCGAGGAAGAGGTTGACGATGTCGAGGTAGAGGCTGATGGCGGCGGCGATCTCCTCCTCGACGTGGTGCTTGCGCATGACGAGCTGGGTGTCGACGAGGATGTAGCCGCTGAAGATGAGGGCGGCGAGGCCGCCGTAGACGAGCTCGGTGGTGGAGCTGTAGGGGAAGAAGGCGGCCATGAAGCCGAAGAGGATGAGCCCCCAGAGGGCGCCGAAGAGGTAGGGCATCCAGGAGGTGAAGTCGTAGCGGGACTGGCAGGCGAAGGCGGTCAGGAAGACGAAGATGCCGGCGGTGAGGAGGACGGCGTTGAGGACGATGCCGGCGGAGTAGAAGGAGACGATGACGGAGATGGTGTAGGCTTCGAGGAGGGTGAAGCCGGCGAGGAAGAGGAGGTTGGTCGGGTAGGATTTGCGTTTCCAGTAGGTGAGGAGCATGAAGACTATGGCGCCGAGGAGCTGGAGGGGAAGGGGGAAAGAGTTGAATGTTAGCGGGCGGAAACGGAGAGAAGGGGGGGGGGGGGGGACAGAAGGGGTGGGTGCGGCTTACCGAAGCCCAGACGAGGCCTGGGTGAGACTGGATCCAGGTCTTGTAGGCTTGGTTGAAGAAGCTGAGGGAGGAGACGGCGCCGGTGGCGATGAGCTGAACGGTCAGGATGGCGTAGACTTTGCGGATGAACTGGTTCCGGATGTCGATGGTCGCTTCGGCGACGGAACCACCAAACTGGAAAGAAAGACGTGGGAGTTAGTTTTGCAACGAGATGTTTTGGCAAGAGCTGAGAGCGCAAGAAGAGAAGGGGAATGTGGCCTGCGCCGGATAACATAGCATACCTTGAAGTCATCGGGAATGTCGTCGCCGTCCTGGCTGGCGCGCGGAGCACCGCCGCCGAAGAGCCGAGCTTCGTCCTGGGCCGCCGAGCTGCTGCCGGCTTCCTGGTATGAGGGGGGCGCCTGGTCATACAGGCCATGTTCGTTCTCTTCCGGGTCCCGGGTGGGCGCGGGGGTGTACTTGGTGTTGGCCGCCATGGTATGGTTGCAGCTGGACGAAGTTGCGCGGGAAGCGAACTGGAAATGCTGCGAAGTGGGTGGGGTTTCTGTACTAGGGGAGAAAGCAAGAAGCAAGAGGTTGTGGTAGGTAGGAGGCGAGTGGTGATGGTGATGGCGATGGCGATGATGAGATGAGAACGACGAGTCTCGAATGGTCACGATTCGTCATGTGGGGAGGCAGCCAAGCCCCCAACGCTAATGCTGGAATGGGTCGAGCTGCGATAAGACCTTATCGAGATCACGTGACGATCCCAGATGTTGGTGTTGGAGCAAGAAGGCACGAGAAGCACAAAGGGGCAAGTCGTGTAAGGTATGGCAGTGGTAGTTAGACCCAAGTGTTTGATATTGGACCATTTTTACTTTGACTATTACTAGCAGTTAACTAAGGTAGCATGAATTTTAGGGAGTCGTCACTTGAAAAGTCACTAAAAGAGAACAAAATCAATATGCGGATATTTCTGATGCAGAGAGAGGGAGCTTCGAGAAAGAAGCGAAATCGAAGTCGAATGCTAAGCCTCGTATTAAGGTGATGATTGGCTGTGGCATTTCAGATCTGGGCTTTGGGCCGAGGGAGTAATTACCCCGTGCGCACCACAACGTAGCGTGCCCTGTTAAATCACTTTTCCAACGCAATATCGCTGTCTCTGCAACGGATCAGCAGAAATCCATCCTTGGTGGGAGAAACAGACTCGTCGGTGAAGTGGGCAGTACGTTGCGTACATACAACGTACCCCTTATGTATGATATATAAAGTGCCATGGTATGGATACAGTATCTGCAAGTCGTAGCTGCATGACCCCCGCTTAGCCAGTGCCTTAAGGCACCTGTAATTAGCCAGTAACATCGTGATAGGCTAACCCGAGTGATTGGACCTCACATTTTCGGTACAAGGGACGACATTCTGAAGAGAGACATGGCAGAAGGCGCCACCCCTCTTTGACCCTCCCTCTCACCGCCTGCCGGTGCGTTTCGGAATCGCCCATCAAAATGTTCTGCAAAGGTATATTTCCATAAAAGTACGTACACTGTCGATGATATTGGTACAGCTACCTGAGCTTCGGGGAAATATGTGGGTAGTGGAGCCAATATAGATGGTCTACGAAGTAATAATGCCACTTATGTCGAGTGTTCCTGGCTGCAGGGTCAGAGTGGAGCCTGCCCCTATCTCAACCGTCCATTAGAACACGCTGTACGTTGTACGTTGAATTAATTCGGGACTGGTAATTCGAGGTACGGTACCTTGAACTGTGCTACCCAGGGTAACTCAATGGGCCGGGGCAGCTACTTTGTGTCCGCATGTCCCCTGAGAGGACCTGAGAGGATCGTCGATGGGTCTTTCCTTTCAACGCTTTGGTCCTTGGATGTTGCTCCGTCTCCCCAACCACTATATTCCCATACTCACTTATTTACAGGACGTGACTGCCAAGTCCAATGCTTGTTCAGTTGAGAGTCTCATCCCTCAAAGTGCAGAGGGCACCATCACGAAACGGCTCTTTGTTCTGGCCATTTATCGCGTCCTAATTATATCAACTACGTTTACGTTGTACTCCCTAACCTAGAAAAAGTACAGGCCATTTTTTTTTTTTCTTTTTTTCTCTCCATCTTCTTCCTTGCTTCTTTTTCCTTTTGTTCTCTTTTTGTTCCTCAACGGTTGCATCCACCATCTACATCCTCCTACCTCCCCTCCATCTCCCCCGGCCTTCCTCCTGTCTCTCCTCTAAACCTACGGCCGGGTTCCTTTTCTTCCTCTCCCGTCGTCTCGATCGAAATCGAAGACTTTTCGCCGAATCGCCACTCAATTTGTTCTTCCTAGAACGACACTAACCCCCTTGAGCCCCCCTTTTTTCCTTTTTCCTCATCCGCTCCTCCTGAGCGCTCAAACTCTGCCACTCTTCCTCAGCCGCGCCGATTGCCGACTCAAACGACTACACAGAGATCATGACGGCCCCCAAAAGCTACGATGCGAAGCCAAGCTTGCAGACACCGCCGGTTCGCAGCCCAGGCGCACCCAACAAGGCCACCAGCCACGGCCAGAAGCCGAAGAACATGAACGGGCCGCTCTATATGCAGAACGCTGGCAACAGCAATGTCGTCCTCGTGCGACGCGTCCGGAGGAAAGACGCCAGCACCTGGAAGCTCTTCACGCAATGGATGGTCGAAAACCAGATTGGTATGTTCTTCAACCGCCACTTCGTTCCGTTCCCGTGTCTTTCATACGGGTTTCACTATTTCCTCGTGGGGTGGGAGGGCCGAGGAAAGGAGATGAATACCCGAGACCTTTGCATTTTGACCCTTTTGCTCTTGACCACTTGGCCAATGCAAAGCAATTGCATGCCCTCTATCCGGAAAGAAAGAAAAAAAAAACCCCCAACATAGGACTAGAAACTGGCATTGACACGGTTCTCCCATCTCTAGGCCTCTCGTTCAATCTGCTCGCCCTCCTCTTCCTCGCCCATTACTTCATCCCGAAAGCCCAACCGCACACTACCAAGTTCTTCACCCTCTCCTACTACAATGCGGCCTCGGGCAAATACGGCAAAGGCATCGACGACGCCTACATGATCCCTTTCTTCGTCGTACTCTTCACCGGCGTGCGCGCTGCCGTGATGGAATACATCCTGGCCCCCATCGCAAAGACCATGGGCGTCCGCAAAACGAAGCAGCTCACCCGCTTCAGCGAGCAGTCCTGGTTGCTCGTCTACTATTCGGTCTTCTGGACCATGGGCGTTGTACGTGTCTCGTGTTTTTCCCGTGTTTTTCCCCGGCGGATCCTCGTCCTCCCCTTGTCCCTGAAGAACCGTTTGCAGCGGCCGACCCGGGCCCAAATGCTAGGCAAGGCTAGACAAGGCTAGGCAAGGCTAGGCTAACGTTGGGGTTTGCGCAGTACATTTACTACAAGTCGCCTTATTACTTCCTGAACCTAGAGGAGCTTTGGACCGGTTGGCCGGAAAGAGAACTCGGCGGCCTCAACAAGTTTTATATCCTCGCCCAGTGGGCCTTCTGGCTCCAGCAGATCTTCGTCATCAACATCGAGGACCGCCGCAAGGACCACATTCAGATGGTGACCCATCACTTCATCACCTGCGGTCTACTGTACTCCTGCTACGCCTATCACCACACGCGCGTCGGCAATGTCATTCTCGTGTTGATGGACATTGGCGACGTCATTCTTGCTGTATGTGGTAGAGCCGACGCGACGCCTCTCTCTCTCTCTCTCTCTCTCCTCTTCACATGCTAACTCGTGTCCAGATTGCCAAGTGCCTCAAGTACACGGGATTCACTACCATCTGCGACGTCATGTTCGGCGTCTTCATGGTCTCCTGGATCTTCGCCCGCCATATCCTCTACCCCATGGTGTGCTGGTCCATCTATGCTCACATCCCACGCGTCATTGGCTCCGGATGCTTCGAGGGCCCGCCTGGCAAGTCCGTCGGCCCTACACCGACACCCGAGGGCTATCGGTACCTCATCGAACCCTTCTTCGACATGAAGGGCCGTATTTGCTTCAACCCGACCCTCCAGTGGGCCTTTTTGGCGCCGCTGCTGATGCTGCTATGCCTCACCTTCGTCTGGTTCACGCGCATCGTCCAGGTTGCCGTCAAGGTCGTTCGAGGCGACGGGGCCGAGGACAACCGGAGCGACGACGAAGACGACGAGGAGGAGGAGGAGGAAGGGGGGGAGGGAGAGGAGTACGTCTACGAAGAGGCCCAGCCGCTCGAGGCGGAGGTGGGCGTGGAGGATCTCGACCTGAAGAATTGGGAGCGTCGCACCGGGCACAAGCGGCCGGCGACGGCCACGGGCGTCAGCTTGCCGGGCCACAGTGATCGGAAGGAGCTCCTCGGCCGGATCGGGTGCGAAAAGCAGGTGGAGTAGAAGATGATATTTTGAACGCCCGGTTTGCCAGCGAAGAGCTCAAAAGTGTGTTTTGAGAGGGTCTCGAACTTGCGCGGATTTCCATACCCACGATCCCGATCCCGATCCCGATTCCCCGACTTTTCCATGCACCATTACCAATTTTTAATTTTTTTAAATCATTGGAGGCGAACGGCATATATACCAAAGAGTTGGCGACGGTTGGCGGGCTGGAACGAAACGACGAATAGAAGATGCTTGCCTTTGAGGCGTATCAAGAGAGTTTTTGCTTTTGCGTAGCCTCTGGAGGAGACTACACATTATAATGATGATATTTTGTGTTTCGTTGCAGTTTCCAAGAACCAAAACCTGGGTGTCATGGCATTTTGCGATTTGTTTGTACGTCTGCGTCGTCTTGCATTCATTCAGATGTACACACGCATGATCCAATTTTTTTTTATTAATTTCTTCTTCTTCTTTTCCAGCCGGGCTCCCGGGACAGATTTGTATTTGCGCGATTGCCAATGCATCGCAGAGCGATATCTACCACAGGTCTTTTGGATACCATATCTTACAGATACTAAAATCATCTTCCGGTCCCATCCGGGGCGGGAAAAACACATAAACATCGTCCACCTGGGTACACAGCATATCCTACTTGCTCCAAGTTGCAGGTAGGTGAGAACTGTGTAACTGGAAAAGAGTGTGGGTGTTCTGCCGGGGCGATGGGGGCCGGATAAGTGTTCTTCCCCCGGGGCCGGGACTACCAGGTACGGAGGAATGAATACTAGGTACACGAATACCCGGAACGAGTTCGGCCGCCGGCGTCCGGAGGGATGTCCCGATGTCCCCTCTACAGCACCAACTCCTCTCGTTGTGAGGGTGTTTCGGAGAGTAGCATATACCTCAGTACCTTAGCACACAGACAAGAAAGTGACCTCCCGGACTAGACTACCTTGTATAACGAAGTAGCCTTGAAATGGTCACCTGACGGGGGTTGGGTCACGGGTGTCACGGGCAGAGGTGAAGCTGTGGGAGAGAGAATGAGAGAGACTGGTTCAGATACTACAAGTACAAGTAAGCATTGAGTCAAGTCACACGCCTCTCTCTCGTATCATGTCCATGTGCAGAGTAGCCACATTATAGCCACAGCACCGCTATTTTCGATACCTTTCCCTTCGTGTCTTTCTTCTTCTCTTCTCCATCTCGTCATCCTCACAGGGCCGAGTTGCTGGTCATACTCAGTAGAAGATCAGAGGAAGCCAAGTTGGTGGTAATCCTATCACTAATTCTATCACTCACTTCAGGACTTCAGACCCATCCATAGGTACAGATACCACTTCTCTCAGTACATACCACCACGATGAGACTGCTCTTCATCCCGCTTCTGGTCTCCTTCACCTTCCTCGCGGCACATGCAACGAGTGCAGAGACGAGTCAGACGACCCAAACCGAGCAAAGCAGAAACCCCGGCCCGGTCCCCTACCGGGTGCAGAAACCACCCCTGGACACGCCATGGACCTACACGGTCGGCACCAACCCCTGGCCGCAACACCCGCGCCCCCAGCTCCGCCGCGACGACGCCTGGCAGAACCTCAACGGAATCTGGACCTACCAGCCCGCCGCTTCCGCTTCCGCTTCCGCTGCCCCGGCGACCCCCCCGGCGACCCCCCCGGCGGGCGAGCTCGAGCGGGAGGTGCTGGTCCCTTCCTGCATCGAGAGCGGGCTGTCGGGGATCCAGGCGCGGAACGTCACGCGCATGTGGTTCGCGAGGAAGTTTTCCGTCCCCGCGAGCTGGGAGGGGAGGTCCGTGGTCGTCCACTTCGACGCGGTGGATTACGAGGCCACTGTCTTTGTGAATGGCGGCGAGGTCGGGTCTCACGTCGGGGGGTACGATCGCTTCACTGTCGACGTTACGCGGAGTGTCGAGTTTGGGGGGGAGAATGACCTGTAAGGGGACCAGACCTCTTTGTGACACGCATGCCCAGAGAGAGAGAGAGAGAGAGAGAGAGAGAGAGAGAGGACTAACGATGCATTTTGGTAGGCTGGTGTTTGTCCACGATCCTACGGACATGCCCCCCTACGTCAACCCGGTTGGGAAGCAGAAAAGCACGCCTTCACACATCTGGTACACGCCCTGTTCGGGCATTTGGCAGACGGTATGGATGGAGAGCGTGCCGTCGAACCACATTACTCGACTCGACATCTCTGGGGACATGAACGGGACAGGTAAGAAGTCCTTTGGGGGCAATATATATACATATTACTTATTTATTTATTTATTTGTTTATTTATTTATGTACTAACAACAGCATCACAACAGTCACAATGACAGCCCATGGCTCAACGAACCAATCCACACCGGTGGAAGTCTCGGTCCTGGGCCCCAACGGCGGCGTGTTGGCCACGGCATCCTCCCTCTCGGACGGCCCATTCTCCTTCGCCGTCCCTTCGCCCATCCTCTGGTCGCCTTCCTCACCGGCGCTGTACTCGGTTCGAGTGAAAATGGGCGACGACGAGGTGTCGAGCTACACCGGGTTCCGCAGCATCTCGATGGGCGTCGTTGAGGGGGTCAAGCGGCCGATGCTGAACGGCGAGTTTGTCTTCCTCCTCGGCACGTTGGACCAAGGGTACTGGCCTGACGGGATTTACACGCCTCCGAGCCACGAGGCCATGCGGTATGATTTGCAGGTGCTCAAGGAGCTGGGGTTCAATATGCTCCGCAAGCATGTAAGTGGAAGCTTGGGAGGGCTATGGGGGGCTATGGGGGG